GAAAGTGCACTACTCTCAATATCTTCACTGTCAGGATCTCCGCGTTGGCGATTTCGGCGAAGCGCGAGCTGTCCCTTTCAACGTTGGGTCTCGCTTGTCAGCAGACCATACGCCAGGTGTCCGTGTTGCGAAGGGTGAAACGAATATTCAAACGCCGTTTTATCTTAAGGCTTCCCCTACTATCCTTCCTTTTTCTTTTCCTAGTTAGCTTGGCTCCACCAGTATATATATATAAGCATAACTAAGCTGTTCGATAAGGGAAAAACAGATCCCGAGATGGAATGGGGTGAGGTCTAATCATCGCTCTCCCGAGTGTTATCTTGGCTGCGGAGAAGTAGGCACGGCGATCGACGTATGGTCTTTCGGCGAGATCGTGCATGAGATACTGACTGGTGAGCGGCTGTTAAATTGGAATCCATTAGAGTGGATGAGCAGCACAAAGAACGCTGGTCTAGTGCGGAAACCGCATCCGCAGAGACTGGACAAAGAATGGCAGAAGGAGACGTTTGAGACGCGCAATGGTGCAGTTTGCAACCCTTCAATCGAGTTTTGCGCGATGCACTTGTTCGAGACACAGTGTGAGCTGGGTGCCATGCCGCTGACCCTCATCGATCGGGCCGTTGCGGTCGAGAGCAAGCACGTGCGAGAACTCTTTGGTCGTAATGCGAGAGAACAGAAGTTCCGCCTCACTTCGCAATATCACTTAGACATTCCAAAACGCTTGTACGAGGTCACTTTTGAGCGATTCTCCACTGCCTTTTTCGAGCAAACCCGACGAGAACGGAATCGCAGCAGCTGTGGCAGACTGTTGTGGTCGCCACTCTTAGAGGAATGCGGTCCACATACCCCATCCTGCTTTCCTGAAGAGGACGGAGAACAAGATGAAGATGAAGATGAAGAGATGAGGCCATTTTCTGGTGAAGTAGATCAGAAGTCAGTAAAGGACATGGAGAAACATCGTGGTGAACAAGACCAACAAGATGATCATGATGAACAGAAGAACAGGGAGAAAACTTCAAGAACAGCTGCTCGACTCATGGCTCCTGGCAATGTGAACCCAAGGGAGGCTCTTCTTGACCTTCAGGAGAAGTCAGACCTTGGGACCTCCTCTTCTAAGACAGCACAATCTTCTTCGTCCTCCTCCCATCGTTCTCCTCGGTCTCCACTGGCGCTTGAGGGTCTAGCATCACCCATGAAGAGCGATGTCGAGCCGGCTAGAAGCACTGGTGGCAAGAATTATCCGGGCAAGACGAGTCAACAGGAGCGACGTGGTGGAAGTGGACTAGGACGTCCTTCGTCGAACAAAGGGAAAGTTGCAACAGCGGAATCGCTGATCCAGCGTGCGCGAAAACGTGCGGAGAGAGCGGAATCATTGATTCTAGCAGCCCTTACCTATGACCCAGAAAAGCGTATCGCAATGAACGATGTTTTGCGTCACCCATTTTTTGAAGATGAGGATACGACGTGGTTGAAATCATGCCTCGTACCCTTCGGAGGTATGGATGGTCATGATAATATCAACATGATGGAAGACGAAGAATCTGTCGACGAAGAGCTTTTCATCAGTACTACTTGAGCTTAGTTTACTCGAATTCTGAAAATGTCCGAGTTATTGACTGAAATAAGGGAGGTAGCTTTGACAGGGTTACTCGGCCTTGTTCAGTATCTCGCTTATTTTAAGTAGTTACGCGCTTATTTCAGGTTATCGAAATCGAATAGATTTATCTGAGTAAAATTTCTAGAAAGCAGGGAGGAGTATCATTTACAAGCTGCTGCTATGGGTCTGGGATAATAGAATAGCCTAAAGCATTATGTTCATGGAACAACGCAAATCCTACACGTCTAGACTTCGTAGTATGATAACATTTATATTTTCATATGGAAGTTACAGTTAGAGTTACGGGTCGTAAGCTTAACAACGTCGTGATCCTCGCATAATTTGATTGTTCTTATCGGCATCACGACATTTCAGTTTTGGTTGGTACAACTATTATTTGCATACTTAATCTAACCTAGCCAACATTTTTACCATTACCATTTTTGTACAGATGAAGCAAGATGAACAACGAACATTACCCTACCTGAGCATAATCATTCGTCGAAAGTTATGTACTATTCCTATAATTGCAACATCATGATCAGTTGTAACTGTAATGCCTCAACAACATAGCTAATGACTTTAGTCATGATTACGATTATAGGCTCTGTCTTTATTGTAATTATTGTGTTTTTATTCGGAGCATTGATTGATTGATTAGGATTACAGTCTTGATGTCTTTACTGTACTTCTCCTTCTCGCATTAGTGGTCGTTGTAGAGGTCGTACTGACATTATCAGCACATCACAAGTTGAAGTTACTTAGCCGATCAACATGGTTGTACTCTTTAATGCACTTTTTTTCGTACTACTACCGAGGAAAATAGAAGTACCCTCAAGAATATAATGGAAAAATACCTATCGAAGTCCTTCGTCTACTTCACATCAGGACATAACGAATTGATAATGAATCATATCGAAGATCCTATTTGTTTTCCTGTACAGAAGCAGAACTGACATTCACTCTTCACCGTTTTATCCTATGGATTCTGCCTCATTTCAAAGTTTACGTTCTACCCTACTTGAAATTCAAGTCTTGAATTTGTAATTCTTGTAACTACTAAATCATATGGTCGTGCTCCTGCAATGATCTACTACGCAGCCCTAGTAAGGACCATAAGCCTAGGTCAGAATGACTCCCAACATTCCCGCTGTTTGCAATCGATGGCAAGGTCTTCCTAGAAATGATGAAACTTCTAACTAGTAGAAACGGGTCAAACTGTGGACGGCGAGCCAACTCCTACCCTATCCTACGGGATCGCTGACCCGTTCAGTGGATAAAATGCTTGTTCGTCTGCAAGAATGGGTCAGAGTGTGTCCTTTCCCGTGAACAAAGGCGAAATGAATGAATGAACAAAGGTGAAAGAAGACTCACTGTAAAGGAACTACCTTGTCTCGCTAGTGCTAAAAGATGATCACCAGAAACGCGTGGTGAGGACTGAGTTACCAGCAGCCAAAAAACAAAAATGGAAAAATCCGATGGATGAAATTGGAATCTGATGTAGATGACGAATCACAACCAANAGGTGAAAGAAGACTCACTGTAAAGGAACTACCTTGTCTCGCTAGTGCTAAAAGATGATCACCAGAAACGCGTGGTGAGGACTGAGTTACCAGCAGCCAAAAAACAAAAATGGAAAAATCCGATGGATGAAATTGGAATCTGATGTAGATGACGAATCACAACCAAAACCAATAATGGTGGTGAAAACAGTTGATGTAATCCTGATCACTCTCACGCAATATCGAAAAGTAAAATACAAAAACACGTCCAACATGATATCATGCAAGAAGTTCCTGTTGTAGGTTTTGCATTTTTGTCGTGTGCTTCTTATTGTAAGATCATAGCGCTCTTGCTATGGCATAGAAGTACATCATAGTATTCACTTGTTAGTAAGTAGTAGAGAATCAACAACAACATGTCAGCTTATCTCCTCGCAAAGGAGCCAGCTTGTGGAGGCCTCTCGAGGCTCGTTTCGCAGAATGCAGCTCGAGCCATCTCCAGCGCTATTCCTCAGATGGCTACTGGAGCTATAATGCCTAGAAGGCATAACAATAACCCATCAAGAAGCATAGCGTCTACGGCGATACCTTTTTTGAGCGGCTGCGGGACTTCATCATCTTCTAGCAGCAGTAGCAGTTGTATTGGTCGAAGAGCTTACAGCACACCTACAACTAGTTGCGATGTCGTGAAACGGGCAAGTACAACTTCATCACCAGGAGGAGCAGCTTCACTTCGAACTACGCTTACCGCTTCTGGTAGAACTCCTAGCCTTGTTCCTAGTAGCACCACCACGAGAAGCTTGCTAGCAGCCGCGCTTACCAGGATGAGGATATCGTCATATCTACAAGAGGGATTCTTGAAAACTGCTTGTCGCTGGCAGACAACAGCGACTGAAAGACATAGTGGAAAGGCGGCGTTGAATTTGGATAATGGTATACTCATAGATAGGGGGGACCGTGCAGCCCTAAAACATATATAACACTGCGAACTACAGAATCAGCGAGTGCTAGTATGACATTGAGTGACTATGACCACATCGATATATGCCTGAATATATTCAAATAGTGAATATTTATTTCTTTGACACACTTCATTTCAAGGGTCTACTTCCGCCCAGACTCATTCCTACCTCTCCTCCAAGCACTTACTACAGTCCCCGGCACTCGTGAGACCGACGCCTACATCATGGTCTATACTTGCGATGTGTGCAAGCATAGAGAAGCGAAGAAAATCTCAAAGACGTCGTATCACAAAGGGATTGTGATAGTTACGTGCTCCAATTGCAAGAACCGACATTTGATATCGGACAATCTCAACTGGTTCGGCGATAAGCCCCAAAATGTCGAGGACTTCATGCGAGATAAGAAGGGGGTCTTCTTCAAGAACGCGAATTTCACGGTGAGCAGGAGAGCGAAAGGAACGCCGCAGAGTACTGCACCCGCTACGCCGAATGAAGTTGAAGAACATCTAGAGGGTGCTGGCATGTCAAAGGCAACTTCTGCCGCAGCAGAAGAGCAACTAAGTAGATCACGACCTGCTGAAGGAACGCCAGAACAGCAACATGATGACCATACTTGTTCATCTTCACCTGCACCAGTGGAGAGCCCCCCTGCTGGATCTCCAGCAAATTCCCCCTCCGCATCATCTTCCACCTCCGATGATATGTCAACTTTCCTCCGTGTCGAACTACCCGGTGGCGGCTACCAAGAAATCGAACTAGAAGGAAATGAGGTCTCCCTTTCAGCTGGCGACATTCTCCAGACCCTAGCAGCTAGCGATCTGCTCCATATCGAGCCAGCTGGTGTGCCCGCAGAAGTTGTGGGTGCTGACGGAAGTAGTGCTGCATCATCCACCTCCGTTATGGGATCTTTTGCGAAGGCAGCGAACAGTACAGCTGGATTCACGAAGGAGGTTGGGCCGGATCGGATAAAGGAAGTCTAAATTTAATGATTAAGTCAGAACACCACGAGGTGGACCATCTAGATCTACTCCATATTACAGATTGAATCTATCTCTTCACCCGCTCTGGCTCTCCAAAGGACAGAAGTACGATATCCGCGCGCCCGCAGTGTCCTGGCACCCAAACACCTCCACATGGTCAGAAGTAATTGGCTTCACATCATGATCTCTTTATTCTTCATAAATTTCGAACGCAACCCATTACCCCAACATGAGAGCCCTCTCTCTCTCTCTCTCGTTGCTGGGGCAAAACATGTGAGTTCTTAACATTGATTGAATACGTGGGGCACATCAATAGAGTCATGCTGATCTTGATCATCAATACACGAGTAGTGTTCTATTTCTAACCTATGGATCACCAAGATGAAACTGTATACTACATAGAATTCTGCTCGGCCCAGCTGTGTTGAGTGGTCTCTTATCATTGAATACGACGTCATCCACGAATGATCAGAATCGCTTATCATTCACCTTGATCCCCAAGACTTCTTTCTCGCCACTGATTTTGAATCACAATAGGAATCCTTGGAAAACCGATCTGTTCTAGTTGCTCATCCCCAAGAAGAAAACGGTTGATCTAAACTAAGATGCTAATCAATGTTCCTCAAAAACTCAACGACGTGACAAAACGATATGCGGCAATTGTTAGTCCTCCAGCAGCTTGTGCATGTTTTATGTATAGACCTTGTGCATTCGTTTCACTCTCATTCTTCGTACGTCGTATCCTTCATTAAAAAAGAATTTTCAACTTCATCAAGAAAATGAGCGGTCCCACTGCTCGTCGTCTCGTTGCTGGCGATGGTCCTCAGTTGAGGAACGCGAAGCTCTTCCCCGATGCCAAAGCCTTCCAATGCAGTAAGTATGCTTCGTTTATCAAGAAGCGATTGCAGGTCTGGGATAAGGTTTACGCCAAGCACCAAGCGGCGGAAGCTGCGAAACCAAGAAAAGACATCACCATCGAATTGCCCGATGGCAAGCAGCTACCGGGAAAGTCGTTCGAGACGACGCCCTTGAGCATTGCGACGGGAATATCGAAGAAATTGGCGGAGGCGGTGTGTGTGGCGAAAGTACTTAAATACACTTCCAGAAAGAGGCGCTCTTTACGCCTTAATTCAATTACAAGTCCTAATAATTTATAATTTCTGTGGTTTAAATACACTCACAGATGCAGATGAGAGTGATTGATACATTTTTTCAATCGAGATCTCCGAAAATGAAGATGCTCACAATTTTTTTCAAGATGAATAGATCTTCAGGACAATGGGTGAATGGAACGGGTGCTGCTCCTGCTGCGCGGGAAGCGCGATGTTGAGATCATAGCCCTGGCGCATATGCTTGTCTTGCATGATAGCGCTTTTGATCATCATCATATTTCAAACCCAGCCGCTCTTGCCCTGCATGCGCAATAGCGGCCACCTACACGTCGGACGCCCCTGACGTGTTCCGCTGGTTGCCATGAGCCTGCGCGTACCAGCTTTGCTCTTTCGCCTTTGCTCTGACGTGTTCCGATGGTTGCCATGAGCCTCTGCACTTTCGCCTTGCTCGGGTCATGCGGGATCAAATCTAAGAGCGGCGGTAGCAGACGACTTCCATCAGGATCAGCGACATACCTCTAGAAAAATGTTCTACTTCTAGTAGTACAACGGCCTTTTTAATACACCATGAGATCGACGATCATCATCAACAACTACTACAGGTCTACTACAAGGAAGCCGTTGCTAGTGATGTAGTCGCAGCCGACGAAGAAATAGAGACAGATGAGGAGAACTCAGATGACGAGGAGGAGGAGAAAGAGTCCTTCGTTCTATGGGACCTTAGCAGGCCGCTGGAAGGAAGCTGTACAACTACTTACTCTTGATAACAATTATGTTCATCAAGGAACAAGAAGAAGTAGAACTAGAAGCAGCAAATTTGTTCGGATTTTTCTGGAATGTTGAACTTGAAAGAGGTGCTACGTACAACTAGTAGTTCTTGCGCCAGCTAATCTCGACTTCCAATCTGAGAAGATCTCTACTCCTGTCCTTATAAAGCTATCCGTATCCACCTCTTTTCAACTTGAATCAGGTAAAATCGAGTTATTGAAATTCGACGATATCCAAGGGTCAGAAGCCTTCTGGCATAGTTCCTCACACCTTTTGGGATGGGCAATCGAGCAGGAATATGGCGCACATCTTACGATCGGACCATCGACTTCGAAGGGGTACTACAATTTCAATTTGACTTGTGATTTATGACCATCTTTGACTTGTGATCTGTACTTATTTGATTTTGTCTACAATTTCAATTTGACTTGTGAAGATTTGTAGTATTTGATTTGGTTGAACCAAAAATGAAGTAGTTGTTTGGACTACTTTCAAGATTTTAGGATTAGAAGCAAGACCAAGATCAACGCCGCCAGGTTCTACTACGACGCTTTCTTCGGCGAGAAGAAGATGTCCACCGTGGACGATCTTCCCAAGCTGGAGGCTAAAATTGGCGAAATCGTAAAGAAGAATGAACCTTTCATCCGCTGTGCTATCACGAAAGAAGATGCCCTTGAGATGTTTGGAGACAATCCGTTTAAGGTCCAGCTCATCACGAATAAAGTGCCGGATGGTGCTATGACTAGCGCTTACAGATGTGGCGATTTGATCGATCTCTGCAGAGGACCGCATCTGCCGACCTCGGGAAGAGCCAAGACCTTCTGGATTAACAAGAATAGTGCGAGTTTTTGGTAGTTCTTCACTTCTTTATTCCCTTGTATCTTTGGTTTTCGTTATTTCTACTTTTTATAACTTGAACAATACCGAAACATACTCACATGATTAAAACTTCTTGCCACTTACGAAACAGACTCTCTCTCCATCACAACTCTTCAACTCCAACCAGGTTGGGCAAAGACACCAACGACAGCTTGCAGCGAATCTATGGTATCTCCTTCCCGTCCGACAAGGAAATGAAGGAACACAAGAGACAGTTGGAGGAGGCGGCAAAGAGGGATCATCGTGAAATCGGCAAGAAGCAGGAATTGTACTTCTTCTCTGATTACTCTGCTGGAAGTTGCTTCTGGATGCCACACGGAGCTAGGATCTACAACAGGCTTGTAGAATTCATGAGAAGGGAATACGCGATCAGAGGATTTCATGAGGTATACTATAAATATAAATATATGTAGTTTTTGCTTATTTTGTACTTTTTGCTTTTGGCTAATGTTAAATAATTCAGGAAGATCATTATCAGGTCGTGATTGTCTGAAATACAACTTTCTTTTTGATACATCCACCGATTGGCATTCTCTTTTTCTTCTCGCCGAGATGCTAAGAAAAGATCGTGTATCTACTCCACTCCACTCCACCACCAGGTGATCACGCCCAACTTGTACCACGAGAGTCTCTTCAAGGCTTCTGGCCATTACTACAAGTACAAGGACGACATGTACAACATGGACATCGAAGGTGAAAAGTGGTTCCTCAAGCCGATGAACTGTCCTGGTCACTGCGTGGTTTTCTCCCATCGTGTCCGCAGTTACAAGGAATTACCCTTCCGCATGGCTTCCTTCGGTGTGCTCCATCGTAACGAGAAGTCCGGTTCTCTATCCGGTTTGACCCGCGTCCGCAGGTTCCAACAGGATGATGCACATATTTTTTGCCGCATGGACCAGATCAGAGACGAGATCCGTAGTGCCTTAGCGTTCGTGAAGTTCATGTACGACACTATTGGATTGGACTTCAAGATGAAGCTGTCCACGAGGCCAAAAAAGGCCATTGGTTCGAAAGAGGTCTGGAACAACGCAGAGAAGCAATTGGAAGCAGCACTGAACGAGAGTGGCAAGGAGTGGACCTTGAACAAGGGAGATGGCGCTTTTTACGGTCCGAAGATCGATTTCAAGGTGAAGGATGCGATTGGCCGAGAACACCAATGTGCTACGATCCAGCTGGATTTCTGCCTGCCCATGCGATTCAACCTGCAGTACCGCACCAAGGAGAACGAGGATGCGGCTGCAAACGAGGCTGAGGCCGCAAAAGCAGCAGCGGAACAAGAAAAAGGACAAAAGGCCGAGAAAGGTGAAAAGGGAGCAGCAAAGAAGGATGCGAACAAGAAGAAAGGAGCTGCTGCTGTTGCTGCGCCAGCGGAGGGAGCTGAGCCGTCATCTGGTACTGAAATGATAGAAACTCACTGGAGAAGATGTATCTTCTATACATGGTCGATAATCTTGATGAATGTCGGAACCCTTTAAAACACTTCTCCAATAGTATCCTTACGCAAATACAACTAAGTACATCCACGACCTCTAGGTTCATCCGCCCCAGCTGCACCAGTTGACGACGCGGCTCTTAAAGCCGCAAAAGAAAAGAAGATGGAGGCACAGGGTCTGGAAGGTACCTTGAAACCTGGCCACGAACGACCTGTCATGGTTCACCGAGCGATCTTAGGAAGTGTGGAACGATTCACCGGTACTTATGAAGTTGATGTAACTTTTTAATCTCTCACTACTAGGATAATTAGGTGGAACATATTAATGTTACACTGTAGGAACATATTCATGTTACACACTGTCTGAACAAGATATCTCTGTAATTCTTGTTGTCTTAAAAATGTTTGTAATCGTACTTCAAAATATCCTCCACCTCCATCACCATTCACACTCAACAACTAACAGGTATCCTCTGTGAGCACTATGGCGGAAAGTGGCCATTCTTTATTTCTCCCAGACAAGTGATGGTTGTTCCGACGCACGCTGGCCTCAACAGTTACTGCGAGTGGGTCGCTGAGCAGTACAGAAATTTCGGTCTTTTCGCCGACGCCGACATCAGTAGCAAGACCATGAACAAGAAGGTCCGAGAGGCGCAATTAGAACAGTACAACTACATCGCCATCTGCGGTGAGAAGGAACAAGGTAAACTAAGTGTGGATTTGCGTGATCGTGACTTGGGAAGGAGTATTGGTATGTTCACGGTCACTAAGAGTGTGGAGATGTTCTTGGCCAAGACCTTCCCGAACAGCAAGCCTGCCAACGTGTTTGATTCCTTCGAGGGACAGACTCCGGAGAGCGTAGGTGGAGCAGCTGCGCCAGCTCCCACGGCAGTGGAGGACAAGAAGGTCGCGTCTGGACCTTCCTCATCTGAAGAAGGTGGCGCTTCGTCATCTTCTGTTGCGGAGAAGAGTGGAAAGCAGAATGCTGCTCCAGCTAAGAATGGAGGGAAGCAAAGCAATGTCAATGCTGGAGCAGGTGGTAACAACAAGGGCAATGCACAAGCAAAGAATGGAAATGCAGCACCTGCTAAAGCTTCATCAAGCGGAAGCTCCGCAGCGTCTCTACCACCAGCTCCTGGAGGTAAGTCGTGGGAAAGCCATTTTGCTGAGTTTCCGTACGTAGATGGCTATGTTTGCGGTGCTGCAGACAGAGATCTCTCCACGAAGTTCAACGCGGAAAGCGCAAAGAGTCTAGGTGTCAACACTGAGCGCTGGTTCTCTCACGTGCAGAACCTGGTGCAGAGCAACAGCATCTAGAGGAGGTGGAATTGGTAAGAGACAAGGATCTTCATATTTATTACATTTGAAAAGTTGTTTTACAACAACAACATTTTGGAGAAGCATATAAAGGAGTGGAATGTGATATCTTTGTCCTTGTTACCCAAGCAGGTTCACACACGAAGAACTTACATGAACCTGCAGATGTTGAATACTTTTTCAGTGCTGGTAGCTTTTATCGCCTGTTTTCAACTGCAGGACTTTCACTGCAAGACTTCGACTACATCGTGACCAACTACATTCCTCCATACTCCAGCATTCATACTTCAGCATTTGTTTTTTACTGATTGTATCTATCACATCAAGATCAAAATCTAGTCAATCATACTACATAGTTAGGTTCGTAGCGTATTGGGGCTTGCCTAAGCGCACAGGTAGCCCATAAAAAGCATGTTGAGTGGTACACTGCCTTCACCTTTGCGATAGGCATCTATATCTCGAGAGTTTTTAACCTCTGCAACTGCATTTTTTACAGGGATCAAGCACCCTGTTGAGAAATGCTGCATGTAGTAGTTCAAGACTTTTGAGAATTCAGAATTGTCTATTGCCTACTCTGATTGATCCGAACAAGACAAAAATGGACGAAACAAGTTTAACGTTTTTTGGCAAGAAGTAAAAGACTCAGGCTACTCGAAGCTATAAGAACTTCGAGTTGTGTATCTACTTCTAGGAGACGTCATACAATGACAATACTAGACACTCATTGTATTTTTGCTAGTAAGAAAAGTTTGGATAATTTCTTGGCAAAGAAACCTCCAAATATGCGATGAACTATACTAATACTTCCATGTTGTTGTTATTGAAGTTGAACATCTTACAGAGCACGAATCCATGTCTTCGTCTTGTTTTGCTTTTTGAAGCTGTAGTAATGATTACTTCTTCTTTCACCAGATCTTCTTTGAGTAGATCTTTGCCCTAAAAATTGCAAGTCACCACTTTTCCTTTCCTTCCACGCCTCTTACCAGTACCACTCATCACTGAGCTGTCGTTTTCTACAACGACATTGGTCACCACTGAGGCTCCATGGAGGAGGTCCTCGCGTGTTCATTTTCCCTACCCCATCTATCATAGGATTATGATGCGCTCTTCATGATTGCAGGGAATTCGAAAGAAGTTGGGATGTTGATCTAGTACGCCTACATGATAGACCAAGGTCATCCAAGTTGTCTCCAGTTTTTACAATACAACTGATTCTTGACTTGAGTCTTGACAATGACAACTTTGTCAATTCCACAACAAGTCAAAGATGAAATCGATCAAATTTGAGACGATCATTTTATGAAGATCTTGGGAGGTCACGTCGCTGAGGTGGATCATAGCTTAAGTAGGTGGATCATAGCTATCCGCGAGATCAAGAGCATACAGAAAGAGATCGAAGATCTAGACCACCATGATCACATTCATCATGATCCTGAAAGTAATCAATAGTTCCCTTGTAGAACAACTTCTAGATCTAGTTGTACTCCACGAACAACAACAATTATCGTTTCTGTTCGACAACTCGAACACCAGAACTGCGATCTTCAATTTGTTTTCTTGGTTTTGACTAAATTTGTAATTTGTGTTTTTTTCCATCCTCGTCTTGACCCGCGCTTTCTTCTAGGTCCTCCACGCACCGAACTATTTCACCTACTTCGTATTTACATTAATTTATTCGTTAGTTGTTCTGCGCTGTTGCCTACAAATACCCCTATTAAGTAAAAAGAAATATATGTAGAGATCTAGCCCTTCCAACAATATATATCGAATAATCATCTCACCCCCGAAACTGAATCTACTTTCCCTGTAACTGAAATAAATTGCATATAATTATAATTTTAAGCAAAGAACATCGAGATGTTGTCCTCTTTCTGCAGCGTACAACGACGAGGACGGGCAGCGGCTATTGGTGCAGCACCATTGTTCGTGCTTTTTGCTCTGACAAACAGGTGTTCAGACGCGGTCCGTATGAAAAAGGGGTCCGAACAAGGTGGAGAAGGTAATCCTCGGCGCGATGGAGTTGGAGATGATCCTGGTGCATACGTGGAGCATAGCAAGTTCCGATCGGATTTGGATGCCGGTCTCCTCGGAGACTGGTCTGATGGAACCAGTGCTGCTGAAGATGTAAAACTGATTTGGGACCCACTCTATTTCGCTTACCTGAAAGAGCAAAGTATGCCAGAATCTCTTTTTACCCGGAAAATGCAGGAGTGGGAGAAGCAGGGAGCCAGCCAGAAAGATACGCTAGATGACGGCTCCTTCGGGAATGTGGACTCTGCCGATGTGTTTTTTCATGTTGGAGCTTCCAACTCCTCCTCGGAGGCGGGACACGAAGTAGAGCCTTTTTTGCCTTCGCGTTTCACAATCGTGGAGGAAGACCTCCTTCCAACTCGGAGCGAAGTGAATGAAGAAATGGAAGTATTACGAAGACAACCTCTTGATCATCATGGTGTACAAGTACATGACATTACCGGACGAGGAGATGATCTTCATGCCACGGAAGCAGGACGAGCTAATGATGGAGAAGCAGAAAACGAAGATGAAGAAGCAGAAAACGAAGATGAAGAAGTAAGAAGTGATGATGATTACGAAGCTAGCGTAGCAGCTAGTTCCGACAGCTCCTATGGTGATTACTTTTTACCAGATCCAGAAGACCTGGCGACAAATTGTGATCCACATCCTATGCCTATGGGTATGGGGATTGACGACTGTGAAGTCGTTGAATTGGATAACGAAGGCGAACGGATCACATACATCAAAGAAAATGCGCCTCTAGGTTCAGCGTCGCAAGCTCGCTTGCTCGTATGGGAAATGCTGAAACAATCGTGCTACGCTTCAAGACTGAACAAGCTCCTCGAAGAAGAGGGAATTGTTGCGCCTACGCTCCTGATCCATGCTAATTCGTCCACGCTACCTGTGCCATCCATTACTGAAACTAGCAAGGATATGCATCCCAAGATTGTTGATCGACCTGCTGGTCTTGTTCATGATTCGTCTGGTAGCTGCGAGGAGGTTGCGTCATGCTCATGTTCATCTCGGCACTGGGTTGGTGCTTCGGGTGCTCTCATCGAGCTCGCTGCACTAACCGATGTGGCTCCTGAGAAAGGGGGCGATGAAGAGCGAGTGATATTTGCTGACGAAAAAGCGCAAGAATTGTTTCGGCCCCATCTCCAGGACCTCATGAAAACTCATAGAGAGGAAGGGCATAACGAAGATAACCATAAGTCCGATGTTGATGATGAGGAGAGCTCTGAAGATGGTCGTGATCACAGCTCCTCCTCCTCTTGCTTTTCCGAGGAAGCACCTCCACTTGGGGACGAACAGCCGCAAGAAGTTGTAGCTTATTCTCAGCGATTTCTTCCGAGAAATGACCAACATGACGGCTACACCCTTGGAGGTCATCATGGACGAGATCAGCGTGGCTCTCATGCCCCCGCCATCAATCCTATGGCTGAAGGTTTCTCTGCAGAACGAAGAACGACGCGTCCCGCTCAACGAATGCGCACTGTGGAAGAGTTACTGTCTTTGTTTCTAAACGAGCTTGCACAATTGAAAACGGGAGTGCGGCGTAGTGTTTCGTGCTGCTCTGGATGTCGTGATAGTCACTATGGAGGTGCTGCCACTTTGACAACGACTGACAACGTAGAGCTGTGGACGAAGTTGGAGGACTACAAGAAACGTGTTTTAGAAGATGATGAGCAGGGTTTTGTTGGGGATCGAAGAACATGAACGAGAAGATGTGCTTAGCCCCTAAAAACTGGAGGTTTTCTTGCTTTGAGTAGGTTTATAGAGTGATAAACCGGTTCATCTTTTAGAAGTGTGATCACACCGAGGACTTCCACCGGTCCCGTGATGCTTCATTAAATATATAAGTACAAGAGTTCGTTATCGTTACGCTATCGTTGCCGTTACTAGGTCACTAGTTCGTAGCGTACATCAGATACACAGTACATATACTCAATCGTTGTATACGCTCTGAGTAGTTGAAGATGAGTCGAATTAGAACTAGGACTCAGGAAATGAATCAGATGAAAGCTCTACTTGATGTTCGAATTTCTATTCCGTAGGTATAGGTTCTTCAGTCTCTCAATCTTAATCGCAGGATTACCGAGCCTTCCATCTACATATTGCATAGCTTGATGAAGAAGAAACCGCTGACGTGATGAGCCTGAAGATGTACAGCCGTATAAATCATTATACCCACTTTCATAGTCATAGTGGGCAAATAAGAAGGTGAAACCACATCACAGCTTCGTAGACTGGGTTTGATTTATGACTACCACCTGTGAAAGTGAAGCTGAAATCATCCTGATGAACAACCGTGTGCACTTTGCAGTGTCATTTGGGTTGCAGTATCATGATGAAGAGGTTGTATTTGCTCTTCTTACGTTCTGGTAAGGTCCTTTTGTGAAGACCCGTCGTGGCTGCCTGCTCACCACGTGTACGTGTTCAATCTGACAGGAGTCAGTTGATGTTCTACAACGCAGAGCGAAGGTGAGGGTGACTAATGGCGGTTGCAGGAACTACAGCAAGAAAGAGGGATAGAGTGAGCATCTTCACCACACAGAAGTCGAGGCTATGCTTTTATTGCACATGGGTGCATGTGAATGTAAAGGCAGAGTCAACAAAACAATCGTGGTCGGATACAGTCTCCATTTTAGACTTAGGACTAGATATTGTAGAAGCAATTTAGATCATGAGCTTTTGTCGTGGTGTCGAAAAACCGTAGTCAAGAAAGTTAGTAGGAGAAGTAGTGCTTAAACATAAACGCTGGAGACTATAATCATAACTGGCTATTATATCTATATTAACCAGTACCTATCCTCCATAATGTTCTTCCTCCGACTTTTCTTTCTACTCGGAGGTGTCGGCTCTTTCCTTCTGAACGGTGTCGCTGCCTCCACGACAGAAGGGAGCATCGAGCACCTACTGAGCCAACATGCACATCCCGGCCAAGAAGCACAAAATGACCCTGCTGCTTCACCATGTACTATTTCTGAATGGTTCCCAGGGAACCTGAATTTGATCATAAGGGAAAACAAGAAGAGAACCCTTAGGATCGAACTCAGGCTATACCAAAAATACCAGAGCCATACAATTTCAATCTCTTAGATCTTCTTGTGCGCTGTACTGCACGATCCGCCTTGTTTGTAGGAAGCTGTCTACTTATTATAGATCAACATACACCAGCTGGTTGTGGCGCGGATCACGATCATCCTCATCACTCAACGTTCAAAATCACCACCACCAACAGCTCTCCAAAGCTCCGAGTTGTTGGCCTCTGACGGTTATGAGGACGACTACGTGCCGACTTTCCTCTTCGGTTGCCTCTTCATTTTTTGCGTGTCGTTCTATTTGCTGAGAAAAATTCGAGCAGAGCGCATGGGACGAGGAAATGGGCCATCTGCGTCTCTTTGATTGAGGAAGATGTTGATCCGCAACCTAATGCTCATGCGTCCTCTGGCAGGACAATAGCTTCTTAAGCAGGCACAACTGAAGGTTGATGTAAGCAGTTGGTTTGCAGCGGCCCAAGGTCGCGCTTCGGCGACGAGGACCAAAACGTTTTCAACGAACACGAGCACGAACACGAGTAGCGCGGCACACGTCGGCGCGGCCGGTCGGCAGTTGTAGACGAGGAGACATTGTGACGTCGACGAGATCTTACGCGAGGAAGAACACATGTGGTCACTGAGGTCCAACGTTCTAGTACTAACACCAGCATGCTAAGAATAACTGAGTTCATGAGCTTGATTTCCACCACGACTGACTGCTGAAATCACTTTGGTTCTATGTGCGAAGTACTGCGTTACGTCGAATGTCGGAATGTACTAAATCTGCGAGCCATCTACTTGCTTTCATCAGTCACTGCAGGGTGTTCATCTTCATCATAATATCTGGTGCGCCAAGCAGCTAAGTACACCGCTTCAAATGGCAAAAAGTGAAAAAAACCCAGATGAAATCTCATTCTCAATCTGAAAAACGTGACACGTGTCGCAGGACAGAGAGTTGTAATTTCTATGCTTTTACCACAGCACTGAATCCAGGCGGGTGAGAGTGAGAAAGCATTTCTTTTTGGCTGACGTCGTGATTAATGTGCGTCTTAGCTGCCAGTTTCGTGAACGCACGAACATTTTAGAAGTTTTCACCACCGCTTACGCTCTCTCAAGCAGTAGATGACGCGAATATAGTACCAGCTCCCCCAACATTGCTACCACATCAAAGGTGGTTATATTTAGAAAGAACATGGTCCTGGTATCCTTATCCTCAGCGTACACCCACTGCTAACTTTTTACAACGGACAACTTTTACGCTTACGCAACGAACAACGCCCTGAAACCGTCCACTACTTGGCTCGTCTAATCCATCCTTGTTTGCCATCCTGCCGTTATCCATTTTCTACGAGCGCGGAGACCATCATGGACGACTTGAGCGAGGAGCGGAGGGAGCAGCTGACGCTGTTCCGCGAAGTGACGCAGGAAGAAGATGATGCGAAAGCAAGACAGGTAATTCTATGTTGTCCTACTCCTGGTACCTTATTTACTAAAGAACTGCAGCTCGAGGATACGATCATGCTATTTGTTATTTGTACACGAAGTGAATGGGAATGACTTTTCTGATGTAATCCTCCTTACAACACTGTCTCAAAGCAACATACGACTCATATTCCAATCACAAAACTCCATCCAGTACATGGAAATGAGCAATTGGAACGTTGAGCAGGCTATCAATCTGCACATGTCTGGAGCGTTAGATGCGACTCCATCGTTTCCTTCCCAAGGACCCAGGGGTGGAGGTGGAGGAGCACAGCAAGGACCTTTGATCGAAAGAGATGATGATCAGGTAATTGCTGTTCTTGTTTGGAGATTGTAGTGCAGAGCTGCGCGTCGAATATCTCTACCTACTGAAGATGATTCTACTTGTTCAACACCAAATCAAGATCTCGATGCTCTTATTTGTCTACTTGTTTGAGTTGTTTGCCGAGAATGATGAAAACATCTTCACGTTCCCAACCAGCACCTTCATCTCAAAATCAAAACCTGCTTGACTTCAACATAGGGGAGCGAATCTGGTTTCTCCAGAGCAGCAGAGGGAGCTGGAGGGCTGGTGAGGCGCGTGATGGGTACCATTGGCGGTTTCCTGAATTCTATTCTTGCTCCGGATGAAGTTGCAATTGCGGCTGCCCAAGGCAACGGCTCAGCATTCAAAATCTGGCACGAGCGGACGTTTCCAGATACGCCACACCCTACTTTTTTCGAAGGCAGCTTTCGGCAAGCGATTAAGTATGAACGGGATGATTTGTAGAATTAGAATCTGTACAACTACAACTACAACACTAACACAGAGGCTTAGTGTTACACAGGGTGGTCCTAGACCTTTCAGGAATTACAACTTTTTCTCATGCACATTCTGGCTTGAGAAACGCCAAAGGTATCCCTTTCCCTATTCCCCCTTCACACCACCCACGCAAAAGACAATTTGAAGCTGCTTTGTGTCTATTTGCACTGCGACAGCGTCCAAGGAGCTGAGGGGATGTGTAAGGATGTGCTTTCGAACGAATTTGTGAAGAGTTTGATAGACGAAAACTGTGTCTTTTGGGCTGGTGACATTGTCCATCGAAACTTCTACGACATTGCGAGGCAGTTGCAGGTAGTTACTTATCTTCGAGGTTGCGCTTGATGTTTCATTATTATACCTTTTTACGATATTGCGAGGCAGTTGCAGGCAGTCATCTTCGAGGTTGTGCTTGATGTTTCTTTTTTCGGTTTTTGTTTTTTCTAGTTCTTAGATATCTATGCGCCACCAACATTATTATACCTTTTCTGTTTGGAGAAGGAGATATCTTCATCAACATGATGATCTTCATCAACATCACTCTCAGGTCCGACAATATCCCTACTTGTCGGTCATATTACCGATTTCAGCGGACAACTACCGCGTGTTGCACAAAGCAGATGGGCAGGTACTCATTCTCTCAGGATGTTGTGATTGGTAGAATAAAAATACTTATGGTTCTGCTCCTTAATTATAATTGATGAATAATTGATGTGGAGGCTTGATTACTCAAGATTCCATCTTGCCATCTACTTGACTAAAAAAGCACCTACAATGTAGCATCTTCCTCATTTTTCTTATGGTAGTTCTGCTCCTGAGTAAGGAATAATCCGGCTCCCCCACAGCAAGCAACATCCGTTGACGGCCTAGTCGCGATTTTGACGCAAGGCGCGGACGACCTGTCGAGGAATAGGCAAGAACTGGCCAACGAACAGAATAGAGCTGTTCAGGATAGGTTGTTGCGGCAAGAACAGGATCGGGAATATCAAGAGGGCCTAGCCAAGGACCGAGAAGCTGAGGAAAGCAGACGTAGAGAGGAGGAAGCGAGACAGAAGGCACGCGAAGAAGAGCGACAAGCGCAGCAGCAGAGAGAACAAGAAGCACAAGAATTGGAAGCGAAGAGGAGAAAATTGGCGACCGACATAGTATCAAACGTAGAAGCTGCTCTCGTGGCGGCTGCAGATCAACCGAAGTTAAGGATTGCTATTGCCAGATAATTCCATCCTGTTGATAGAAGATTCTAGACTAGAGTCTAGGAACCGAATTAGAGACATTCTTTTAGTTGTTGTCCTAGAGTTGAGAAGGAACTACTTCTGAATGGAATTTCTTGTGCAACCTCTAACAAAAACAAAGATCCAAGTGAAGTTCCCGACGGGTCAGAGGGTACGCACAGAATCTTCTTTTGAAGTGGTGTCCTGTCAATTATAGTTCGTTGATTCTTTTTTGCTACTCGGTGTGTGAAAAATACAGTTTCTACTCGTACTAGAGTTTCAACATATTGCTCGCTGCTGCAATGATAATAATGCTTCTTCGTATCTAAATCTAAATCCTTTGTCTTTCGTCAATCCCTCAGGTAAACCGCAGCTTTCTCCAGTCCCATAGTTTGAAGGACCTGTTCGATTGGGTCGAAAGCTGTGAGTATTCTGAAGCCTCTGCGCCCAAGGTGCCATCGAAATTCGCGCTTAGCACCTCTTTTCTTATGTCCTCGAGTTCTAGTACTATCTTACATTCCATTTCCGTCGAAGTAGACCAAGTTACTTACTTTCAGATCAATCTAGAAGTATAACAAGTACATTAAGACATACATCACAAACCGAAAGCGAAACTACAATCACAGAGAATGACGTTGACGATAAAATGATTGACGATGCAAATGCATGATCATGTGTCATCATGTGTCTAGTAGCCCCTTGTTCTGCCTGCTCTAATACTCCGACAAAGCAGCTTGCAAGGTCAGACGAAACCCTGAAGGAGGCTGGCTTGGTGCCCAACTGCCAAATTTTGCTGCAAGATCTCAGCGACGATGATGATTTGTAATGTCGTACTTGGTTCAGCACGTCCCGAGCACCGACTAGCAAGCTGGTTTTTTTGTCCGCGAATTTTTTTGTGTTATACTCTCACACTCACGGATGATAAAGATAGTTTTCTTCGAAGAAATAATACGAATTCAAATACATCATACAAACTCGGCCTCTCTCAACTACATTGAAACCTTAGACGGACCCATAACTTAGTAGGCAGTTGGCTTTTCACCTTCAGGTTGATGCGCTGATATAACATCAAGAGCGATGAAGGAGGCTTCTGCTTATCATTGTTTTGAACTTCTGACCCATTCAACGCATGTTTTTTTTGCCCACAATGAAAGAACGATTATAAGGGCCACTGATGTAAACAATCAACATACCATGTTGCCCATACAACCATGTTGACCTCTTTATGGATCCCTAACCCTTTACTTCAAGTTAGAAGATCATGGTTCATCTTCACCCCTTATACCATTTCGAACCCGAGGCCGAGAAAAAAACTAAACGGTACACTCTTTGACTTATGAAGATGGGTAGTGGAGGTCCAGGTCATGAAGTGAGTCGAGCTCGGCCTTTTTATTTCGCGTCCGAGCCAGACGAGAAGTGTTCCGCTGCTTGTCTAAGGCGATGATATTCTGGGAGGCTCCGTGCTGAAAGTTGTACAAGGAGCAATCGGACCACTAGCATTTATATATCCAAACGAGCCATCTGCATAGCTGTGGAACCCTGCATGATGCAGATTGCTCGTTGAGTATACTTCTACAGCTCCTTGCAGTTGTGTACAAGTAAGAACAGGTAGATGTTGATACGGGTTTTTTTTTGTCCGATACCATTACCATTACGCATTGAATGGTTCCGGTACTATTTGGTAACCTGAATTTGATCACAAGGGTTCTGCTCTTCCTGTTTTCCCTTATGATCAAACTCACGTCATCAAATACCGGAAGCATACACGCATACCTTTCATGTCGAGAGTTAGAAGTGCCACCGGCTGATCGTGATCCACATTTGCTGGAGAGAGACAATACAACAGGAGCTGTAGGCGCCGGACTACACGGACTTGGTTTTCTGAGCTCTTTTACAACCCCATCAGGTTGTATCTTCAACATAAGTCCATCGAGTTTATATTTGTGTAGTACTGGTGGTGCTCGCAACATGAAAAAATCATCATCAACACCAATCTCATCAATCTTTGTAGTGATCTGGAACACGGCACTCACTCAGACAACATCTTCCCCGATTACTAGTTGATCATTCAACTACCTCCAAAATGGTGAAGAAGCGCATGAAGACCCAGACCGACCTGAAGGTTGCTGTCCTGGGCGACGAACAGACTGTTGTAGGCCTTGTCCTAGGTGGTATGGGTATGGTCGATGGCCAAGGAAAGAAGAACTTCTGCGTGGTTTCTCCACAGACACGAACACATGAGGTACTTGAATCTTCATAATGTTCATCTTGTCCTCCTTCTAAACTTCATCCTTGTTGCATTTAGAATGAGTTATCCAACAATCCATCCTCAGATCTCGGAGACTTTCACCGAGTACACCCAGCGCAAGGATTTGGCCGTCATTTTGATTTCCCAGACCGTCGCAAACCAGATCCGTAACGTGGTGGATGACTTCGCTCGATCGGGACAATTATGGCCTCCATACTTCATGAAGTATCTAGAATTTTTAGTATAATTTGGGATGAAGAACCCTTCTAACACAAGTCGTCCCCGCTGTGCTCGAGATGCCATCGAAGGATGTGCCGTATGACGCCAGAAAGGATCCGATTATGCAGCGTGTGCAGATGTTCTTCGGAAGTAATCCGGTGATGTAAACTGGCTGACGGTAGGCGCAGGTGCTTCGAGGATCATGTAACGAGTCGGTTGGCAACATACTTTCTTTTTCTCACTTCAAACTTCGTATTCTTTCTCCAAACCATTGTTTTTTTAGCGTGAATATTACTCTTAGATTGATTGTGGAAAATCTTCGTTATGCCTAAGTGCTAGATCTTGTAATCACACATCCCTTTCTAGGTAGTGTGGCGCTAGAACTGCTTATGGTATGACATCAACTCATGTGCCTATATGTCGAAGATTTCCACATGTACTAGGTCTATTTTTGATGGTCGTTGATCGAAACAAGAATTCTTTACACGAAAACAAAGGTAAAAAATCGTTCTTTCTTCATAAGCTCGTCGTTCACATGATAAAACAACGAAGTGTCAACAAAATAGAAACAACGAAGTGTAGCTGAACCCGAATTTTTGAATTCTTTCAACATGCGGCTGCGATTCCTTCTCGCGACATTTCTGCGCGACCATTGGCCTCAGACCCAGTGAGGTGCACTTTCAAAAGTAGAGCGGCGAAAACGTTTTGCACTATCTTTAGCAGAGTGAAAAAATCAAAAACCTTCAACTACATAAGAGAGCGTCGAAATCTGTTGGTGTCCGAACCTGATCCTAGTACTTGATCATGTCCCGTGATCGTTTTTATGCTCAATAGAAGGCTGGCAAAGGCAAAGCATGTCTTTCTAGGAGTTGCTTCAGGAGTCAGAAGGCGCGGTTCAGTCACTAGAGCTCAAATGTTGATCCTGTAGGTGTAGTTCGTTGATGTAGTTGCGACGTTCTTGAAGCTGAGTTGTTCTAGCACTAGTACTAGTATCTACTTAAAGTAGATTTTTTGCGAGCACAAAAATGTCCTCCTCTGTCGTAAAGAAGCAGCCGTCGCCTTCGGGTATGGCTGCGCCTGCTCTTGTTCCCCGTTTCGGCGAGCATGAGGACGAGGGACCTGTGCTAGTTGACAGGGCTGAACACGACATCGACCTTGCTAGAATAGACGAGGTGGATCCACATCATCTTCCAGAGCCGCATCAAGAAGATGACAGTATAGGAGGCGTTGTAGGAGGGTCTTCATCAAACACGACTGGACATGGTTCGAACGGAGAACAGGGGGATCAACAGCGACGTCACAATGATGAGAATCGAGATGCAGCACAGGATCATGTTCATCATGACGAGGAAGAAGACATCAACAATGTGTTTGAGATTCGAGATTTTACTGCCGCTTCACCACTGGAGAAACTGTCGCGGGAACTTGAGCTGATAGTGAAAAGCTGGAGCAATCACTTTCGAACCTCTGCTGAAGTGATCGCAGCAGCCGCCGAATGCAAGCAGCAGGCACATGTTTGTCATGCACTTGGTATGCTCTCTTCTAGTAGTTCTCAACATCCGATTCCGACTCCGAGTTCACCTTCACGACCGCTATCAAAATCATTGGAGAGCGAGTTTTGCTCCCTCGCTGAGTCCTTCCGCCACACCTTGCAGATGTACGCGCAACATCGGACTTCGCAAGGCCGAATGATCGCTAGGTTTAGGTTCAATGCCATCAAGTACCAACTACATGTGTACTACGGCCGTCCGACACCATTGTCGGTTTCTGACGACGTGGTGAACTTCTTCTATCAAGAGCCAGAACTAGATCATGGCACAATAAAAACAACGTCCTCCATCAACATAAAGAGTAAAAACAAGGACCAAGAAGAAGGTGCTGAACTTCAGATGATTCGCAGACTCGTCCAAGAAGTAGTACAAGATGGAAATTCCAAGTTTCCGGTCAAATGTCATCCGCATACACGCAGATTTGGAGTTAGACAGTTCTTGATGGTCACGCGCGAGAGGGAAAGCCAGGATATAGCTGACGACAGCGCCAACTTCATTCTCTCAGCAATGATCATGGCGATCCGGTCCGCTTTTCCAGCTGGGGGAACGAGGGACGATCATGTGGTTCCGAGAAAACGAACTACGCCAGAAGGAGGTGACGACGGCGAGGGAAGTGGAGGCAGTGCAGAAGATGCAAGAAGAGCTAGTAAAAGGTCGAAGTACAACAACTCCAACGCCGCTGTTGAGGGCAGCAAGAGTCGACCAGATGAAAGTATGGTCTCTACCAGGTCCAGGAGGACGAGCACAGCCGTGGTCGCAGCTTCTTCTTCTGGTGACGATCCTCGCGATCGTTTTGTTGATGTCCCTTGTTTCGTTTGCCAGAGCCTGGGGGAGGGTGCTGGTGGAAAAACGATCGGAGAAGGCTTCCACAAAGCAGACGAGAAGTTGTATCTGCGCCGTCGCTACATCGCATATGCCAGACGAAGAGTGGACCCGGCGTTGAGAGACCTGCCAGGACTGGTCGAGTTTTGGGAGACGTTGAGGGGGAAATCAGTTTCCGGATCAGTAGCGTCGACAAGAAGGAGTCGTAATGGAAAGGGACAACACAGATGGAGATGGCGGAAAAGTGAATACCCTGGTGGTGGTGGTGGTGGTTCCTCTTCTTCATCTACTAGTGGTCCTCTACAGGAGCAGCGAGCCCCATCTACTAGCGGTCCTCTACAGGAGCAGCGGTCGTCGGGCTCGACACTCTCTTCGAATCAGAATCACCATTCTGAGCAGTACGGACCGCAGATTCGTGCTCGTTACGTCTACCTGTGTGAAGATTTTGGTCCGAGTACAGTTGCCGCCAGAACGCTAGAGTTGATGCAGCTTTTCTGCATTTGGGGACCTTATTCTCGTAACGATTTTGCAGGGTTGGAGGAAGAGGATGAACAAGCTGTACTTGGTACAAATGAAGATGCTGTGACATCATCAGGCAGGAAGCACCAGCTAGCACCGAAGGATCATGCTGACCGAGGTTTGGCTGCTCATCTACTCGAGAGCGAAGGACAGCATCAGGAGGGTTCTCTTGCTCAAGCGGGACAGTCTTCTCTGCCAGCATCGCCTCCGACAGGGGTGCCGAAGCCACCTCCACCGCCACCTCCTCCACCGACAGCACCTCCACGAGAACCGAGGATGGACCCCTGTGCTCTAAACCCAGAGAATGCGGAATTATGGCAGTTTCGCGTTACCTGTGCTGAGGCGGAGAAAAGACGGTCCCCTATCCGCGATTACGTCGATTATTTCCTTGACTTTGAGTCCGAAACTAGCCAAACCGAGTCTGTGTCACAGTTTCTAGGCATGTCGTCTAGTGGTGCAGCGGCGGTTGTTCCTAGTCTTTCTACCAAGAAAGGAGGTATGGGAGGCGGTGGTCTAGCTGGTACTATAGGGAGTCCAACACTACGTTCATCGAGTAGAACAACGACAGGACTGTTGGAGCCACAGTCCGGGGAGCAGGCATCGGGTGGCTTTCTCGGAGTTGGAACGCTGAGTGCATTGGGTCAGCACATCGCTTCGGCATATCAAGACTTGATATTATGGGTTGTTTCTCTGGTTGTGGTTGTACTTAGAGTACAAGTCGTGCTGTCCACTTGTCCTCTGCTCTAGCATTACTATGTATCCTTTGCTAGTTCTGCGTGTGTGCAGTCTGTGTGATCAAATAGAGTGAGCATTCAGAAGTATTTTAGTACATAATTACAACCTTTTTCCCCTCTAATCGATCTCCCAAGTGACGCAGAGCAAAACCTCATGCTAGAACGCTGTTTGAATCCCACAGCAGCCGGTGGGTACAACATCAAGAGCAGTCAGCAGCAACAAGCTATCGAGATCTTTCGGCAGTACGAGCTACAGTGTGCTGAGAGTCGGCGTATTGCCGAGCGAGATGCAGAGACGTTCCAGAAGTCGGATCTGAGTAGCATCCTCCGCGACTGGGAGAAGCATTCGTTTACCAGCTTCCGGGACGCACTGGAAACGACGGTGCCAAGGTTGCACTTTGATGCAGAACAAGAGGCACCTTTAGACACCCATTATGTCGAGGCTGGAAAAAATGCTAAAAAGAGTACAACTACAGCGAGTTCTTCTCCACCTTCTAGCCCACTACAACCGGAAGCTGCGAACACTGTACTACACGAGAACTCTTCATCATCTGGCTCGCCAACGATTACGGAACGACCCTACGTTCGAACCCTTAGAGCGTTAAACGCTCTAGATCGCACCTTACGCGATAGGCTGAAAGGCGCGCCTTCGATGCTCAATACTCTTGTTGAAGAGCTAGTTTTGCGAAAAGCAGTTGTGAACTTTCGTGCTCTATGTACGATGTACATGAAACTAGTCGCCAGAGTCCGGCAGAAGTGGAACTCGAGACAACTCTATGGCGGAACTGTTTTTTCCGCTGTGGGCAGGACCCTTGAGGATGATGATGAGGCGGAGGAAGTGCCTCCTTTCTCAACTGATGCGACTTATAAAGGAGTAGACCACACTGGTGGTGTCGTATCTTCAGAGGACAACGATGCCACCTCCTCGTCCGAAGAAGAATTCGAGGATGCAGCAGAAGGAGAAGTGAAAGACGGAGCTGCACTCGAAAGCTATCCTTCATCTTCAAGTAGAAGAAGATCTGCATCGGCCGCATCCAATAAACAACTGTTAAGACGTCTATCTCCCCAAAAGCGGCTCCAGATTCGCAATCGAGCGTTGGCCGAGTTAGGTTACAGACGTTCGAAGGTTGCGGATTTTCGCTATTGTCTGCTGCACCAACGCCTCCACGTAATCTGGCATTGTATCAAGGCTGAGTTGGACATCCCTGATCCGGTGGACTTTGTGCGGAGCGTCGCGGAAGACGACGATGGAGGTAGGAGTACTCCTACTACTAGTAATTATGCGCATCAAGTAGCAGGTGCAGGAGCAGGTCTAGTAGGTGCTTTTGCAGCAGGTGTCATGTCTGGGCCTGGCGGCATGGGAAGTGACAACATCCTTACCATTTCAGACGTTGCTGAAGGAGGGATGGCGTCAACGTTCGCTGGTGGTGCCGCATCATCGTCTGAAGACTCTGCAGCTTCTGGCGGGACTTCATCGAATATTCACGATGCACCAGTGATCAACGGTGAGGAAATGACAGGTGTCGGTCTTGTGCAAGCACCATCGAGAAAGCAGCTCAGCACCACGTCTGCAGGGGTAGGAGGTGGCACAACAGCACCCGCAACTCATCTAGCTAACAAGATCATGACCGTAAAACTGTATACTCCACCTCCAGAAGCTCCTGGCGCTGCATCTGCGGATGATCCGTCGTCATCTTCCAGTGCACTATCTTCCACTATTAACGGACCATTAGGTTCTGTAAGAGTCGGCACTTCCGCAGCTTCCTCCTCCACAGCGCCTCGCATAACACTTGCTACAGCCCCATTGCTCGCTGAAGATACGATTGCGATGAAAAAGTACGCACTTGCGCCGATGATCGAGCTACAACGGAATCCAGCGGCATTCACGGTCAGTGCTGGTCAAAGTCGCCAGACGCGTGAAGACCTTGCAATTTTGCTCAAAATACAGGAGCAGGTAGTACGTTTTCAGGACCTCTATTTGTTTTGTTAAGTACATTGAAGGTCTTGATACAAAGGAGTTTAGGGTTAGAACATGAACATCACATTTCTGTTACTTAGTACAGTGAGAGTTACATCGACGCGCCCTCTATCTCCGCACGTCCAGGTACCCAAACACGACTGCGAACGCTTTCTGCAAGCTTGGCCCGATGGCACCTGCCAACAGTTTGTCGAGTGGTACATCAGTGAAGGCTACGCATCGGCTAACGACGAACAAGAACTAGCTTTGCTAAAGGGGGTTTTTGCTCAGGTTTTATGTGAGAAAGAAATGGGCGAGGAGATTGGTGGCGAAACGGGAGCAATTACTCACGGTTTAGCGTCCATAGTGTCTCGGAACAAGGCAGTGGAGAATGCGAAAGAGTTCAGCAGAAAACAACAAAAAGAAACGAGTATGCTGGCACAAGTAGACGAAGCAGGAGGAGGTGTGAGTGCAAGTACTTCGAATGATCATATTATGGCAACTGGTTCTGGTACTGCAGGCGTAGTTGATTCAAGTTCCTCTTCCAGTACTAATCGTCCTCCGCGTCTCTTTGGTGGTGTCGTTGTTCCGCCTAGTGGGAATAGTCCTGTAAGAAAAAGGGAAAGCGTTGCAGTCCCAGGAGGAGGTGGCAAGAAAGGGGAAGTTACGCCTGGAGGAGGTGGCTCAGCAGACGCCTCTGCAACGACTACAACAAAGCGGAATAAATCCTCTAGGCCCACTTCGGTCCTCGCTGGCAGAATGCAGGAGCATTTTTTCTTGGACCTGAGTCTGTTTGACCCAGCGAAAGAAGCAGAGCTGTCTCTCTATTACCTCGAAAACGTTACGACGCATGAGTTTTGGACGCAAATTTTTCAGGTCGGTTTCCAAGTCTTTGTTCGAGACTTTATCGAGAAAAATCTGGCATTGCTTCTTCGCTACGAGAGCTTTTTTCTGGGGCGATTCCTGCTTCCACTAGAGGAAGAGCTAAGGCGCGTCTTTTCTGTGGACGGTTTTTCGTCGTTTAGATCGCGAAGTGGTTCGACTTCGCCTACAGGATCACGGAAAAACAGCATGATTGCAAAGGAGTATGATCAAACTGTTGTTGAGGAAGGACAAGGCGGTCCTCCTGCAAGAACTTCATCGAGACCTGCAGAACCTGAATACGACGCACGAAGTCAAGGATCAGCAGAAGATGCCTCTTTCGGAACACCGGAGCCCTCTGTCGCGGGAGCAGATGTGGTTGTTCCGTCTAGTAGTTCTAATTCATCTACAGCTCCTGCTATTAAAGACGTAGATGATCATGAGTCTAGTTCTAATTCTGCAGCTGCTAAAGTAGATCATGACCCACTTGCTTCGCTGGATGATATCTTTAACCCTTTTGCAGAGATACTAGGAGCAGGTGAGACCACAACGACCACAGCGGAAGCGGTGCAGGCTCCGCCTTCAGCACAACCTGCTTCTTCTGAGGGAATTCCGAATGCGTCAGCAGAACCAACGGTCTTGGCTTCCACCACATCTACTGCAGCTGCCCCAGAGAGCAGAAGAGCAAGAGCGAGCAAAACCAAAAGCAATAAAAATCCCAAATCCACTTCATCCTCAGTAGCCTCAAGAAGCAGAAAGAGACCAATCCCTGACCCCTTCGCTTCTGTGACGGAAACCGGCACTGTCCCTGTACCCCATCCCCAAGAGTTTCAGGATCTCGGGGTGCTGTTAGATAGCTTCCATTTCCATCTACAACTCGCACAATCACTGGAAGCAGTGCTGGATTCCGATGATGTTGCGGCGCGAGACATCATTCTCCAAGTCCTGCATAGTCCTCAGAGGCTCTGCTCGGTTCCCTTAAGCAGCTTAGCGTCTTCGGCTGAGATGAGCCACATGACCTCATTGAAGGAAAATCAAAATCCTGATACAGCATCAGCCTCAATATCAAGGAAGATTGCCACGCAGAGGAGACTTCTGGAGAAGTGCTTTACACCCTTCGGTCTGCAGGAGCTGCCAGCATCCGTTCGCGAGTTTCTGGTGGAGGATGATCGCGCAAGAGTCTACGCAGAGATTCGGGATAGCTATGTTCGTTTGGCAGCGAACTATGTCAGTTTTTAGATGATAAATTAGTCTTGGACAGGATTTGGATCATCCCAACACTATCCTCGCTATGAATTAGAGGACATCACCTCGACTTTGTCCACGACAGAACTGCAGTGTGGCGTCAGTTTCGCGAAGCGCGACTATCGCTCTTGTTCCACATAGAGCGACAACGATCTAGATCCAATGATCAGAGTACAAGAAGAACTGAGACCAAATGATATTATTTCGACGAAGTGGACGAACACGGAGATTGTAGTTGTTGTCTTGATGCGTGTCTTCTCCCGAAGATATAAGTTCTTCATGCAGCAGCGCCAGCAGTTCACTGGTACATTGCAGACGATGAAGTGCGTGCATGAGTCTACTCTTGGTTGCACTGGTTGCGAAATTTTCAACCCTTTTTTTTTCGCAATTTTTTTGATGATCGTCGGGGTTTCGTCTTCCTCTCGTAAGCTAGGGCTGGGCTTAGAGCTTAGGGGTAAACAACCTACAATCTAGTACATCAATCATCATTAGTTACAAGCTTTATTGGTCGATAGTCATGAATAAAAAAAATCGCTGCGGAATTAGCTCTTCTTGATTGAAAAAGGCTTTCAACTTTTGGAAGGATACAAACTTCTACATATATCAACTCGAGTATGATCTATTGCTATTGCAGCATCAGAATCTACTACAACTCCTTCATGACATTGTCAAGCATGAAAATGGTCACCTACTTTTTTTTTGGATTCGGCCTGGGGAGAAGTCTTCTTGTAGACGCCATCACAGTTTCACGCTTCTCGGTAACAACTTCCTGACCTGCTAAACGGCTCAAGTTAACTCCTCAACAAGATCATGATGAGCAAGGCACCACAGCAGGCGAGCGTGGCGCAGCTGGAAGTCAAGCTCAAGGCACCACAGCAGGTGTTGGAGGTGCACCAGCTGGAAGTATACAGCCGCGATTATCGTTTTTGTTGTCGAATAACTAAGATGAGTTACAAGCGGAGGAGGTACAACCGTCAACATTATTCGTCTCGTCGAAGAACGTCAAATTGAGGACCTGAAGGTATTGGCTATGCAGCTTGTATTGTGGAGGTATTGAAACCACGAGCAAAGGGGACAGCATGGTTACAAATCTCAGATTCCGGAATTCAAGGTCGAAAAAGTCAAGAAATTGGTTCCAGACGGTTCAGAAGAGCGGACCTTCCTAAATTAAGACTAGTACCTCTAATCCTAATGCATGAACATGATGAATGTCCTTGTTTGAGCTTTACAGCATGCATGATCCTTGGTTCTTGTTCCCTGTTGTTATTGTTTTCAAGGGGTAGAAGATGAAGGAGGATATAATGACTGTCCCCAAGGAAGATGCGACGACGAGATCGTCTAAGTCTTCTAACTAAACTTCTTCAGATACAACGGGAGAATCAATTGTCCTCGTACACTGAACCGATTTCAAGAGGCCTGGAAGAAAAATATGCCATCTTTTTGGAACGAGATACCTTGGTGTGGGGGCAATTTGGCTTTGTGGCATGAAAAAAACTATCTAGGCCTAGAATTGAATCAGAAAGACGCTGCGAAAGTGTTTACGAAACCAATTTGGCTCATATTCGAAAATTGGGAGGAGTCTGAGTATTGTTTTGCACAACAGGGCCCTCTGGGACGAGGCCTCCGTTTTCCTAAAAATGCCTCTTCGAGCCTCATACATACCAGGCCTACTCTTTTCTTCACCTCATCTTCTTGGCAATAAAGCTCTGCGGAAATACTTCTACACGAATGGAAGTTCTTATCCGATTTCAGTACCATAAGCGCAGAGTACATCCCCACTCCAATCGATGATGCAGACTTCAGCATCAGGACAGAAAGCAAGGTTTGTAGCCAACGTCCTAAAAAAGCCGCCAGAGCAGTGGTTTCCCCGTGGGAAGTCTATCCGTAGTCGGGAAACTCTTGACAACTACCCTTCGGAATTCCTGAACCGAAACCGTGAAAGAGAGTTTACTCATCGATGGCGTGAACTGATTCATCCAGGATTTTATTAAAATAGTCACCACCGGCACCGTCAAGGAGTGGGCTATTAAAAAGAATATACGTTTTCCACGCATGACGTCCCCACATCTCTGTGAACAGGAAAAAGAATTCCCGCGGAAACGCGTCTGCTTCTCGTATAGAAATAGGAAACGGGCTGCTTGGGGGAATAATAGGTTATGGGTGCAGCCGGACCTTCCTCCTTGGTGTGAACCACCTATGGGTGAAGGTGAGATACGAAAAGCTGACTTCCCTTCATCTGATGTCCAAGATGAGGAGGTGGCATTGGAACTGCGTCTCTGCTATAGAATCAATATGGCTTTGACCAACACCAAGTTTCCGACAACGACAAGGGCAGGCTCTTCTTCTAGCTCGTCCTCATCTAGTTTTTCTTCGACGACGAGTACGACAGAGCTGCAACGAGAAGGAGAACGACAGCAAGAAGATATTACAACTAATACTGGTGGAGCTGGAGAAGTAGTTCCAATTCCTACGACAGAAGCAGAAGAACAACATCCACAACAACAAGTAGAAGATCATGACCGACAACAAGTGCAAGCAGATGATCTGGGTATGATATCACATCTTCACATATAGTCTCATCTGGTGGAGGAAGACTGGAGAATTTCACCATTGAAGTTTTTGATCTCAAATTCTATCTGATATTATCTTCTCGCACAGTACTGAACGATATGATGTTCTTGCACAAGTAAACTGATATTATGTTCTTGCACAGTACGTAACGACCGAAACGAAAGTTGTGAAGCAGAGTTGGCAAGAAAAATAACGATACGGATACCTGCCATGATAGATGAAACATACTAGATTATAAATATAGATTGATATCATGCTTATGCTTTTGTATACCAGAACAGAGTATTAGATTTCTAGCGGTGAACAAATATATGTGCTGGTATGGTGGAGGTATTTGATAGGCAGCCCTTAGCAGCGTTTGTTTTGGCATGATTGGTGTTTTCTAGAAAATATCCTTGTGGGGAAAATATGAATATCTTCCCAAAGTGCTGACATAGGCACTAATATCACAACTACCTCCCTGACCTCCAGGAGCTTGATGAAGAGAGGCGCCGATTGGAGGGATTGATTGTGTATGTTCAACGACTATGATCCCCCAAGTAGCTCAATGAAGATCCAGAAGATCCAACAGCTTCACTGAAATTTCAAAAGCAAGACCAATGTCATTCAACAGTCAAGATCATGTCACTCCAAAAAGGAGTTTCGGGACCCAAAGAGATATCTTGGTCATCATGTATTGGTATTCATATTGACAGGTCAGATTATCGGAAGTAGGATTTGACTTTTCAATTTTATCGTTGTTATTCTTTTTTCATCCGTGTAGTATTCTTAATAAGGAAATAGGATTAGCTAGTGCTAGACTTTGTATTTGACCTTATCGAATATCCGAATCCGACGAAAAGTGCATCCCACTCATAATCTCCTTTCCATATTTTTTTTATTAGGTCTTCTACGACCACTTAACAATATAGTCACCTCTTAAACAAGAAGATCCACGATGACGCCGCGGAAATGTTTTTTTGCCCTGTCCTCTGGACTGGTCCTGGTGCCTCTAGTTCAAGGCGGTCACATCGATGGATATGACGTGGTACTAGTTGATTTACCGACCGAAGCGATCGGAGAAACCAGCCGCGAGGCCGACGTCGTCGAAGAAGATGGACTACAAAATGGAGACGCAGACGAAACTGAAGGAGAGGAGGCGGCTTCAAGTGTGGTGACTCGACCTTCTAGATTCAGTATCCGAGGAGCATCGTCCATGAACTTTGGCACAATCCAAGATTCTGTAGAAGAGGTCGTGGAGGACTGTCCATTGAAAAAGCAAACCCGCTCAAAGCGATAGCTGAGCGGAGGCCGATGAGATAAAACGACAGAATACTACGTGTACTGGTTCCTTGGACGCCGAAACAGAAACGGGCGTGGTGGAAGAAGGCAGCCTTCGTGGTTACAAACACGAGATACCAGAGTTCAAGGTCGAAGACATCAAAAGGGGTCCAGAGCCAGAGGAGGAGGAGGACGAGGCACGACAGGAATTCTTACGAAGAGCAGACTCAGAGCCTCATACTACAGTACCAAAATTCAACAACGAAGGCAAGCTAATCCGCCTAGGATGAACACGCAGGAGGAAAACCATCTAGAGTTGAACAGGCAGAACGCTGCCAACGTGCTGACGAGAACGGTGTGGCTTTATTTCGAAAAATGGGAGATTGTGGATTTTTGGGGAGCGCTAAAGTAAGATGCAGCTATGTGAGTCATATATTGAATATATACCAGAGCTCTACTTCCTTTCTGCTTCGCCAGAGACTCTTGGCAAAGCTCTGCAGAAATACTACGATCAATGATGCTTATGTAGTGGATGAAGGAGATGATAGCAGGACTGGCACTGGGATGCTAGAGTATTTTCGGAACCGCTTCTCGTTCTCGTCTTTACTTCTGCAACATCTTCCGCATTGTCACCAACGTCTTAAACAAGCGCGAAGAGCCCTTCCACACTGGAACCATTTTAGGCGACTCTGATGCTTGTCCAGACGAGTTTCTTGATCGACAACGAGAACCAATTCCTGCTGAGGAATTCATTAAGATACTCACCACCGCACACAAATGGGCCGTGGACGAGGACAAACAGTTCCCACATTTGAGTTCGCCATCTCTTGGAGGTGAACTTGATAAAAAAGAGTTTCCCAACAAGAGGATTTGTTTTTCGTATAGAAGAAGCAAAGAAGATGGAGAACCACAAGGGCACGCACATCATGAACTACATAAAGGGGATGCCCGGGAAGACCCACATCAAGAGCCAGCTCATGAAGAAGATGCCAAAGATGAAGATGCTGAGCAAGCGGCCTTGGAACTGCGTCTTTGCTAGAGAAGTGATATCGCTTTGACCGTTCTTGCGTTCTCGTGCGAAGCGAGTTCATATTTTCCAAAAGGCACCACATTAAATGCAAACAGAAAAAGATGGAAGTGATGAAGTGAAGAACTGAAAAAAAAATCTAAGAACAATCCCCGCTCCCTCATGCACTTAGGTAGCCCCTCTACCTCACGAATAGGTACATCAATCAATCAATAAATCAATCAATCAATCAATCGACCGCGTTTCCGACAACGAACTCCACTAGTCCTAGCACCACAAGACAACAAGTAGCACTTCAAGCAGATTCGATCGTTGAAGAGTAGTACATGATAGAAGGCACCTCCAAAAATGTAAAGTTGTTTCCCACGGACACAGTTAACAAGTAGAAAAATAACGATACTGGCACTGGCTATAACGTGAACGATAGATATGCTCGTCATATTGTATAGAAGAGGTGGAAGATTTTTAGCGGTGAAATATGTGTGCTGTTGTGGTAATTGATAGGCAAGAGAAGCGTTTACCCTTTGAAGAAATCGATCCAAAACATCGTGGAATCTTTCAGCCTTGAGTTGTTGTCTTCCATATGTCTATTGAGTATGTTGTTTGTGCAGGGACACGGAATCAGAAACCTTTTGATATGATGGACCACGAGGTAACCTGACAAATGTCATGACCTGCTGCTTGGTGTTGTATCGTCCCCCGTCTTTACCCGTGTTCTCGCAAAAAAGAAGATCATTCCCATTGCCTGCCCGTATTGGAGCTAAAACAATTGCCTTTTCTCGCTGCCAGGGCTACATTCATTAACAAGCAGATTGGTCTATCTCCACCTTGTACTAGGTTGTCAGAGTTCTTTTGAAGAAATCGTGCTGTCCGCTGTTGATCACATGCTTGCCGGGTTGAGCATGAGGACGGTGAGTCGAAATGTGAAACAGCTTGATAGACGACAAGTAAACAGCTTGATAGACGACAAGTAAACAGGTTGATAGACGACAAGTGAACAGGTTGATATACGACAAGTGAACAGGTTGATATACGACAAGTGAACAGGCTGATAGCCGACAAGTGAACAGGTAGTTCGAAAATGAACAGGTTGAGAGACGACAAGCTTCGATGTGGTCGCTTTGATGTTCCGGTTCGAGATATAGTTAGTCCGCTGCTGGGTTTTTGCTTTCATTTACAATAAACTTCACCTCTTCCATTCAAAACTGCAGGCTCAAAGTGGAAGGAGCATTTATTGCAACTCTCGCGTAGAGGTTTAGGTTTCTATTATTTGCCTTTAAGTGCAGCATAATGTCTTCACTGCTTTTACATATTTTATCGACTTTGTTTTCATCGTCTTCGAGTGTTTCCATAAGGGGTAGAGCCCTAGAACAAATTCTACGAGATGAAACGACTATGACTATCTCTTGTCTGATTTTTTTCGGGTAGATGTAAGAAGGTCAATTGTCAACATCTTCCATGTTTTATTGCGCATAATGACACTGCTGCACGGAGGTTAAGGATTTCAGATTGTGTCGTTTCTCCTTCTGCAACGAATAATAATGAATCAAGAGAAGTAGTAGACCATGACCATGCCCAGCACTTTGATGACTTACTTAAACATGATAAAGATGGATCGGAATTTGGTAATGATATGTTGGTTCTTACAATGAAAAACCATACTTGGATGCACTCGGGTCGGTGGATATAATGCAGCTCTAGTATCTTTACCACGCATATCTTCAAATGTCGTGCACCTTGTTATGTTTTGGCTACTACTAAGTCTAAGTCCTCTACTTTTTAGTTTACAATTTCAATCGTGGCTCTCGTACTTGAAAATCAATATTCAAGAAAGATCTAGAGGTTGCGATTGGGGTTCACTTGGTGTTCTCGATCATACGTAACATGATTAGCTTACAGGTGATTTAGAAGGACGTTTTTGGGTGTTTCGTCGAGTCATCAGTACTAGCAGCATCAATTGGGAAATGTGTAATAAACATTGATCAATGAAGATTGTATTTCCATTCGCATCGTACAACTAGTCGTGCAAATCGGCCTTCACCTACAACAATAACAACAGCGACGAAAAGAAGGAGCAAAGATGACGAACAAAAGGACAACTTCTTCTAGAACAACATGGTGTACTAGAAGTACAACATCATCAGATGTTGGTGGCAGAAGTACTAGTACAACAGATCATGATCCATTAGTACGTGTACGCAAAAGCGGTTGTACCCAAAAACCGATTTCTTCAAGCGTGAGGACTACATCTAAGGGGAGAAGCATGACCTCTTCTAAGGGTGGAAGAGGACCGTCTAACTCTTCAATGAAGATGATCATGGTTGCAGCAGCACTGATCTACTGTCAAGTATATTTTTTTCTTGATTCCTTCTTCGCCTTATCGTCGACCTTCTTCGGACGAGATCGCCCTGAGCACAAATCCGGCCACCAGAGGAACTTCCAGCTACAAGAACCACGACCATTATTTTCATCTTTGCTAGTGGAAGCTGCTACAGTTCCAGCACATGCACTCCGGGATAGCGGATATGAGCTAAAATCCAACAAGAGCATGAGCTTCCGCAATGGCGCCCAAGTAGGAGTCTTCGCTGCGAGGAGGATTGGAGGAGGTTATGTTCACAATGTTGTGTGGTCGTGGTCGTGGGTAGAAAAGTAGGATCAAGGTGTAATTGTTATAGTATCTATAATAATTACATTTACACCTTATAAGTATAATAACCGATGGATGAGTATAAAAATATACTCATCCATGATCGGTTATGCGAATTATACGTTCTTCATCTATCTCTATCCTTTACCTACTATCATTCCTTTTTCTTTTCCTAGTTAGTTTGGCTCCACCCATATCTAATAAAGTGGCGATGATTACGAGGGCGACGACGAAAAAGGAGAAGTGGGGGTCGTGGTTAAATCTCTTCCTTACACGGGAAAACTGCGAAATCGTGCTCAACGCCATACATTACGGAGGCTAATGAAGCAGGGGCAACAAGATCACGATTCAGCAGATGCAGAGTTTTTACATTCAGAGAAATTTGATGTCCGAAACTTGATATTGTCCAATAAACCAGGCTTGTCGAGACGAAGCAAGGGACACGTCTCTGGAAAGAGTAAGAAAGGTGGTAACACGAGAAGCAAAGATGAGGACAAGCAGCAGGAGGAAGACGAAGACCACAAACAAATGCAGCAAGATGTTGCGGCACAAGAAGAAGACGGAAACGGGAGCGCGACGCGTGAACCTCAAGAGCCAGTAGCTTCAACAAAAACTTTCAAAAAAAACGATTTGTTCAAAAAAAAGAAGAGAATGGTATCAAAGTATGTCCGTGGTCTCTACTCGTCCGCTGCGCGTCGGGAGCTTGCCGCATTGAACCTCGCAAGCAAAGCCAAGGTGCCTGGCGTTGTTCGTCCTTCGCGCCGCCACAAAGGTGGTGGGGTCATTCTCGACGAGGGTTCTCCTGCGGCAAAAAATGGTGTAGCTGTTCGTCCTTTGGCCCATTTGGTTATGGAAGAAGTGCCTGGAAAAACGCTCGAGCAGTGGTGGGAGGATGTCTCTCGTCATGCTGCTGAAGGCCTCTTCGATGGCAAGGCGGGGACAGCACTGTCTTCATCAGTGTACCAGCAAGACGTAGAAATGGCTAGTACGCAGCAGCCACTGAGTAAGCAAGTGTTAAAGATCCTGGCTGATCACACTGACGCGGTATGGCAACAAGCGGCTGCAGCGTCGTCTGAACCGAGAAGCCCTGGTCCTTGTAGTACTCGTTACACTAGCAAAGAAAGCAGCAATAGAGGACGTCAACGTGGTAGGAAGCTCACCAGTACAGAAGTAGATGTTTCAACAGGCCATAATGGGTCTCAACAGTGGTCCTCGCGAGAAACGAAGCATCGAGTACGTGGTCAAGGGATAATTCATCCGGGGTCTAGTTCTGCTCAACAACGAAGAGGAAGTTCTAGAGAAGATCAGGGACCCATCACGTCTGTAGCACTTCCCGAGCAGCCTCGCGCAGATGATTTTCATCCTCCACCGGCTGCCACAGGTGGTTCTTCTTCCTCTTCATCGCCGTCTCCGGACAGTGCTTCATGGAGTGCTGGAACTTGTATGAGTAGCAGACCCCAGCATGGCCCCGCGGTTCCCATGACGACTGGAACTGTGAGCGTGGTAAGCAAAGTTTCGAATGCTGGCACCGAAATTGACCAACGCTTCGCTGTAATGAACCCAGATTTCAACGGAATTGTCGTGCACGCAGTGCCACCACAGAATGCCCGACCAATGTCGTTTTCCTTCTCTACACTAAGGCTAATTCTAGTTCTGGTCGCCTATTATTTATTAATAAATACTGTATGACATCAGACACAGAGACAGAGTACAAATTTGAATATCATGTAGTTGAACCTCCTAATACAGAAAGGCGGAATGGATGACATCATACTACACCAGTTCTTGGGTACCTCTCATTCACCAGTACCAGTTGTGTACCACCTCTAACCACAAGCAGTTACGGCGGTTCACGTCCCCGTACTGGTTCCAGCCATGATACCTCTAGCGTCCGCGCCATGTCCAGCAATGCAGCATCACCAGCTGGGGGCTCTCCAAGTCTACTGCCAGTCGATCATGTCGGTCGCGTCCCAGGAGTTTCGGGTCTCAATTATTTACCTCACGTCGTGGTGGAACAGAACACGCCGAATGGAGGTGGGAGGCATATTCGGAGTCCTGTCGTGCAACGGATGGATGGGCACGCAACGACTACTCCACCACACTATCACCAAGACCTCCAAGACAAAGACAGTCGTGCGGGTAAGTTTTTCTTACCCCAAGGTTTTTCCTCATCATCTGCTCGTGAATTGCCCTTTAGAACGAGTACGCCACCGAGTAGTCTAGCTGGAAGTCCCCAGGTGAATTGCGGCGTTTCCACCACGTCGGCTGGCAGTGCAAGCTGCAGCTCCAGAGGCTCCTCCTTAACTCCCATAAATCAACGAGGAAATGGAGGATTGTCGCAGCTGCAGTTGACACCCACCTTGCAGCAGAAGAGACCATCTTGTGGAACACCAACTCTGAATTCTAGTCGTAGAGGTGGAGGCTTGCGTCGCATTAAGGCAACAAGAAATTATCCATCATGTTCCCCAGCATCTCACCTTGGAGGTCCTCCCGTTTTATTTTCTACAGGGAATAAATATAAACGGGAGCCAGGACCACGTTGAGTCCGGGGATGGATAATTCCTCTTCGTTCTAATCGCAGTGGCCCGTCTGTGGATTCGTTGGTAGATTTGGCAAGTGCAGGCGAAGAAGCGCTTCCACCCGCAGCGCGATCAGCATACGACGAGATTTCTCTTTTTCCTCTTTTCAGCGATGCAGCCTGCTCTTCCGCTGTTCATCTTGGTAGAGGAGGTGATGATGGTCGTGATACAGATACAGTTCTACCAGAAGTACTAGGCAAGAACATGGAGTTTCAGATGGTGCGCGGAGGTGACTTCCAATCGGCTGATGGTCGTCTCGAAGTAGGTGGTGATACGGATACCAGGACGAGAAATTCTCTTGCTTCTAGGGGTTACAAGAAGATGGGCCCTAATAAAGAAGAGCAAGAAGACTTAAAAGACTCGTCAACAAACGAAGCCCACCAGGCTGGACCGGGAATCCAGGTCTCACCTGCGCTGATGCGTGCTATTGTGAGTGCTGCAGGAGGCGGATCGGCTTATTGTAGCGCAGATGATGGGAGGAATCATCTACACCTTGCAGAGGAGAACATTGATGCGAAAAAAGCTAGTGAAAAGGTAGACGAACAAGCTGCCTGTGCAAGTCACTCCAAAGCTGAAACGAAGGCGAAGCAAGATGCTGAAGAAAATAAGAGCGAGAAGGTGAAACAGGCAAATCGTGCGAAGAACGCGGCAGCAAGTCGGCCAATTCATGTCGTGAAATCACTTGTTTTGCCGTCGCGAGGAGGTGCATCTTCTTCAGTATCAGACCAACAAAAAGCGCCAGGAGAACACAAAAGCCAAGAAGATAGAGTTCTCGAGAAAGCAAAAGCAAGCAAAGAAAAGAGCGTTGGACTTGAGCCGCCAACTACTTGCTATCTCGGTCTGAGCGCCTCAACTGAAAGAGGTGGAGACGTTGCTACTATTCCGCCACCTTTTCCGGCTTCATCTTCATTCCATGGTCCTCCTGTTTCTGATTTGGTAGAACGACAACGAAACAACCTTCGTCCACAAGGAGTATCTGAAGCTTTCCCGACACCAGCCGGTCTTCCGCAAGCAGACATTCCTCGACGTCCTCCATCAGGGACACCAGCCGGTCTTCCGCAAGCAGACATTCCTCGTCCTCCATCAGGATCAGCTTCTCCACCTAAACAGTTTTTACTGTCTGCGATCGGTGTGCTACGCAACATGCTTTTCCGTGTCCCTGCGGATGCTCAAAGCATAGGCCGACTTCTACCGTTTCTAGCTCCTTGGAACTGCCAAAGTCTGTCCAACACGGTGAACACCCGTGTCGTGGTTCCTGTGCTAGATCTGGTGGACAGGGTGACTCAAGATATGCAGGACATGACAGATCATGCGGCGGAACCACCTAGAACTCAGACTGGATATGGAGGTCTAGATCTTCCTGGAGGAAGCAGGAGTGGTCCTGGAGGCACCGTCCTCCGTTCTCCTGGGGCGGCATCGGCAGCAGCTGGAAGCAACGGCGCAAGTCAGATGCGTTCGAGCGTGCGAGTTCCCACTGGTCTAGATCACCTCCGCCGTGGTGATCGTACAACTACACTTCTTCGTGCCCAATCACAACAAGGCGGAGGTATTATCAATGAAGATGAGGATGGAGTAGATGGTTCTTCCCTTGATGAAGAAGATGACAATGAAGATGGTACTGATCTCTCTTGTCTGACGAGTGCAGCGCAAATCGAATTGACACGGATGATGAAGATGCAAGAGATGCTGCGCCAAAATCAACTTCCATCTCGTATCAGTGGAGGCCGCTCTTCATCTTCTAGCAGGAAGCATGGCCATGCTGGACGATCGGGGTCAGGACAACAGCAACAAGGTCGTGGACGTAATCAAAAAAGGAGTGGGAGTGTTGGGGGACTCGACCAGCAGCAATGTAGTCCAAACCCGGATGACCTGCTGTCTCCTCGTGCGGGAGTGTTGATGCGACCTCCGAGCAGAGGTGGAGCACAAGGTTATTGTTCACAGGTTCTTGCGAAGGTCTTGTTGCAAACGTGCCGTGTGCTCTTCCACATGGTCGGGGCTGCACCACCAAACCGTAGTTCCTTACCTAGCAGTCCACGACGAGGACAAGTACAGGTACAGGGAGGCGATTCACGAGATCTTCATAAAGGTCAACAACAAGCTCAAACAGTATTGAATGAGGAGGAAAGTAGAAAGTTGGATGAGCAGGTTGGCGACGTGATGAAAGCACTAAGTGCATGCCGCTTGAGCGAGGATCATGATTGCAACGATAAGGAAGAAGGACAACAAGGAAGATCTTCATCTTCAGGCTGTAAAGGATCTTCGTCAGGTTCTTCAGGAACAGGATCCTCAGGAGACCCACAACAGCAACAGCAACCACCTGTGATGATGAGACGTGAATCAGGTCAACGAGGAGCGCCTTTTTTACCTCCTGTGCCAGAGGAGCCTCACGGTACTATGTCCTGTGCTTCTTCGTCGACTGCGGGATATGACCGTGGAGAGCAACAAATCACAGGAGCTATTCCTGCAGGGCCTTCTTGTTCTCCGATGCTTCTGCGACGTGAAACGACTAGAAATTTGCCTAGTGTAGAGTTCGATCGTCTTGTTTTGCCGCCAGTCGCGAGTAAAGATCGCCAATGCCTCGAAAAACAAGAGCAAGCGCCGAGACCTAGTCCAACGCCGAAATCTCCAGCACAAGGTGGTGGTCTCGATGTGTCACCGCTATGCATCAAAAATCTTCACGCTTTGGCTAATCAGGACGATGAGCAAGTTGAAGAAGGACGAGGACCACGAGAAAGACACGAGAATCATGAAGACACTTCAGACTGCTCCCATTCATCTTCAGAGGATGCCGATGATGAAGATGTTGTGCAAGGTGAGACCGGATTTCACCAAACTGCTTTCCCGTTCCCTGATACCGAGACCGCTGAGCAGACCCACGCCGCTCTAGTTGCAGATATCTTGCCACAAGAACGCGACATCACTGGACGCACATTCGCAAAGAGACGCACTCAACGTCAAGAGCGGCGCAGACAACAACAATTACGGCCTCCCCTAAAAATCCATCTTCGGAAGCATCCTCGAGCACCTGCTCAAGCGGAACAGGCATCCATGATGCATCTCGGGATGGATTAGGGCGAGCTCTAAAACAAGGTGCTGATGGTGAAACAGCGACAGGATCACCTGCTTCAGTGATTCCTCAGATCCGGTACGAACATGCACGTCACGGCAATCCGTATTTCCTTGCCTTGCCTGTGATCCAGCGGATCCTGGTCACACTAAATGCTTTGCACAAACGCGCAAAACTGTGTCATAACGATGTCAGCCCAGAAAATCTGAGACTTGATGCGGAAGGAAACCCAGTGTTGCTGGATCTGGGACAAGCAGAACCTATTCCCGTATTTAAACTAAGTACTTTGTATTTATAACAGCAGTAGTAGTCGGCCAGTTTGTTCTAACCGTCGCAGGAAATGTTTCGTCTTGCCGGTGATGCAGTAAAATCACTTGAGACGTATTGAATGAATGTCGAAGTCGATTATAATGGCTCTACTCGAACCTAAGTCGTCCCTGCCAATGCGGCCTGGCCGCGAGACAGCGGACCCTCAACCTTGAACCTTGAATCTTTTTGTACGTACTACAACTGTTGTTGTGAACAAGTATGTACTTCTGGTACTAGTACAACTACAACTCTACTACAACTTGTCCGATTTTTATCTCTGATGCTACATCTATTCCTATACGGCAAGACTTAGGTTTAGGAACATGATCATGAAATTACTCAACACATAAAACTACGTGTTGAAAGATGTGAAGACAAGACCTTTCATGATAATCACGACCCAGCACCTACACCTACAGGATATGCGTGCTTTCCAGATGCTTGAACGCGGAAAGGGCATCCGTCATGGTCGCGTCCAGTACGCTGCTCCAGAGAAGGTTTCGGTACCTGAGAAGCTTAAAGGAGATGTGAAGATTGAAGATTTAGATGAGCTCTCCCTAGACGAAGAGGACGAGGATGAAGTGGATGACATCATGGGCTTCTACGATGAGCGGGTGGACGTGTGGGCATTTGCTTTGACCATTCACGATTGGCTGCTAGCTGCACGCTTCGGCAAGGGGCCGACGTACAGCGTTCTTCGCGGAACAGAGCTAGAGATGCTAGAACAGCTGCGCTCGTTTCATCATCGAACTTCTACAAGTACAACAGGGGAAAAAGGTACAGGTAAGAAGGAGGGAGGTCATGGTCCTCTTGTTGAAGTTGTCAGGAGTTGTCAAGACGGTTCTGGCAGGTTATCTGATAAAAGTACTGCAGAGCAGGACGTAACCTACGGGGACCCAGACAAGGCCAGCACCTACGCTCTTGACACGCGAATCTACACTTTCCGAGAAAATGAAAAGCTTCTTGATGAAGATGATGTTGGAGAGCATCAGCACCAGCGCGACCCGCCTCATGTAATTTTATGCTTACAAAAGCTGGATCTTCACTCGCTGATCTGTATGGTTCTGGTATTTGGTAACCTGAATTTGATCCTAAGGGAAAACAAGAAGAGAACCCTTAGGATCGAGTTCAGGTTACCAAATACCAGAACCATACAATATCTGTCGTGGCGCACCTTGATTTCAAGGGAAACCACGAGAGATCAAGACACGACAGAAGCAGCATTTTGAACCATTCACGAATGCATATCGAAATTCCATGTTTGACCGAAGAAGAAGTTCCTCCTTTGGTTTTGCGATTGACCGAGATTCGAGATGCGATTCGACGCGAAGAGCCACAATATTTGCCGATTTGGCTCTTCCTCGAGACGCTGTTGGTGCCGAAGCACGAGCGTCCCCGTTTCGATCAAGCCTTGCGGGATTTCCAACACCGATTTGGCAGAGCCATTGAAGAAATGGGAAACGGTTTACCAGCAGAAGAGGTGCAGCGAGCTTTGGATGGAACGACTACAGTTATGATTGGTTACCGCTAATGCATGTCCTTAACACCATCATCCTTGGTTCTTCTTTTTCTACTTGAAAAAGGAACCGAGGATGCTGCTCTGAGGGATGCCAACGTGGTAGCTCCAATACAGATGGTGAGGATGATTTGTTCAGCGAATATGGAGGCGCTTGTTCCTCGTATGGAAGCTGCTCGCTCAACTACTGCTCATCCGAAGCTGGCGACAGGTCATCGTCGTATACCACCTCATCTGCTCCGAATACGACGACAGCAAGGGATCAAGAGCAACAACTTGTCGGCAGCATCGCTAGCTCCACCGGGGATCAAGGTGCGGGTGGAGAAGTTACGAAACTATTAACACATTTGAATAGGCAGACTCATATCTTTCAATAGTGACGTTTTTTAGCATTACCACTAAAAAATACTCATCCTTGGTTGTTCTTTGTCCGAATCGGAGTAGTTCTCTCCCCTTGTTAATCAATTTCTAACAACGCATCTTCCGGTTCCGGCGGATCGAGGCTTGGTAGAGCCGCGATTACCGTGGGCGATGTGCTAAAGCGGATTCTGTTGAAGAGTGTCGAAGATGGTAGTGCTTGCACCGACCAAAAGCAGCTGCTTGCCATGTTGACAGATGCTAAGGCGGACGACAACACGACCGATCATCCTGGTGTTGGCCATGATGGAGCTGGTCCGAGTACTGGAGCATCAAGTACTAGTTGTGATCAGAGTTTCAACACGCCAGTAGGAGGTACAAGAACAGTAGATGTTACAACTACAACATCAGCGGGTGGACCGCCCGCACCAGACAGGAGTGCAAGTGCTGCTGTTCATACATCTGTGGAGGGCGGGTCTCATAGTAGTACAACTCCACATGATAAGGATCGCACAACTAATCCGGAACATTGTCAAGTGGACGCGGGCATCGAAGAACTTCTCGATACCAGACTTAGGGCTTCATCCACCGAAGTTTCAATTGCATTCCCAACGTCATCCATCTTCTTGGCTCTTTTTCTACTTGAAAAAGAAGGCAAGCTCTTTTTCTACTTGAAAAAGAAGGCAAGCTCTTTTTCTACTTGAAAAAGAAGGCAACTAGTATGGATGCTAGCTACTATTGCTAGTATGCTCTTGGGAATGTAAGCACGGCACTAGCTCTAAGATACAAGCAGAAGTGGTGGCTGAAAGTGAGGAAGAACTAACATTTGGCTCACTGATTGCCGCTATCCACGTCCGGGCCTTGAATAATCTCAGTCGAAGACTGCGATCAAGTCAGTAAACGAGGAGGAGGAAGACAACGTGGCCTTGGTGTCCTTGGGACATTTATGTTGGAATGTATCAGTGTCAGTGTGGTGTGACGAGCTTTTATTTGTTAAAACTGTGAAATCAAAGATATAACATTTAGACTATCCACTTGAAATATGCGTAAGCGAGCAGGATGAACTAACCTATCGCTATGGTAACAACACCGATGTATAACTATCTCTATCACGATCGACATACTACTTTGTTTCTTTTTGTACATTATTGCAATTTTTGATTTAGGCCGATGTAGTTTGAGAATGAAGTATAAGTAAGAGCGGGTACAGGAGCTACTAAAGAAATACCAACGAGATTGATGTGTACGATGTTCTATTTACAACAGGACAAGAAAGGAGCGTTGCTCCTACACATGTATCAACCTCGCATGTCTATGATCTCTTCAATGTTGTAGCTGAATGAGAATGAATTTGAAGCGCATTGAAACCAATGTGATTGTGAGTAATGCAGCCAAGAGTGGGGTTCTCTGGGTCAAAAATTGTAAGTCAATAATACCTCTCAGGGACGAGTTAATGTTAAAAATTATGGCTGCGTTTTAGACTAGAACTATATGCCTGATGTTCGTTGTTAATTATTTGATTGTGGGTTGCTTCGCAGAAGTAGGGCATGATAGAATCTGCAAAAACTTGACAAAGGAAATAGATGCCGCGCTACCTCTCGCACCTCCTGGAGGCGGTCAGACGGGTTCAGAGGATCAAGGAGTGGAGTGTCTGTAGTGTACTCCCTTTTTTGCGTCGTCTTCTTCAGCACCAGCCATTGCTAAAAGTAAAAGAAACGAAGGTTGTTCACCAAATAAATATAACTAAGTTTATTTTTAAGAGATGACTCTCATTCTCATTTGAATAGGAGCATTTGCTTACGAAAAGCACTGAGTGTCTTCAAGGTGTACAAAAATCCTGAAATAAACACACAAGAAAATAGCAAAACTAGCGATCTTTGTAGTTTGCATCTATCTAGAGGTAGAAAGACATCACGCAGCAGAAGAAGCTAGACGAGTACCGCGACTACTATTTTACTACGAGGACTAAGATGAAGTGGACCTTTGTCCTCTGATTATAGCATACTAGTCATAGAAGATGATTTAGACATCGACATGTCATACACCATGATCAGCATTCTGCAATCCTTTCTTACACAAAATAGAGGTCATGTGCTACATCTACATGTTTTTAAGGGAGGACCGAGACTGAAAAACAAAGTCATGCAAAATTTTTAATTGAAGATAATGCAGCACAAGATTTCATTATAGAAGAATCCGATAGTCACTGTGTCAGTTCACTTCTGTTCTTCAACTGACGGTGTGCGTGGTGTGGCATTTTGATAACTTGCAAGTCTCGACGAACAACAAAGAGGAAGTGATCGCCGGATATCACCAGGTTCACCTGCCCGGCGGTCTTAGCCTACAAAATAAAGATCGCGACCCTTCTTGAGCTTGAACTTGAGCTTTCAGCTAATAGACCAACATAGACATCATATTCATAATTAATAATTGTTGTCGATTCATCAACATACACTTACACCACGAGGAAAAGAACACTACGTGATGTTGACTTTGACAAAAGAAACGAATTTTAAATCGCACAGCACGTCTGGTACACGACGACGAGACCACACCAGGTAACCTGGCTCTGCATTCGCTTTCCTACGTTTTGCACTCGCTTGTAGTTGTTGGCACTGGTGTTCGCGCATCATGCGACTAGTGCTGGACCGTTATCTCTTGTTGTGTAGAAGTGTCGGCTCCTTTGGACATGATTTGCTGTCGGTTCGTTCATCTGTCACTTTGTTGAGAGATCATGGTCATACATCTGGGGAACAACTTTTATTTACTAGATCATAAACATAATTGAAGAGACCAACGAGGCTGAGTGGGACAGCGTGAACGCGTTGCTTGACAACGAGGTACACCCAGCAGCACTGACCCCTCAATGTTTACGCTCTCCAAAGTAGTAACTGATTCAAAGCGTGGGCTGCAAGTAAGAAGATCTAGTATAGTTGGCGCAAGATGCCGTTCTTTGGTCTCACTTGGTTGCGTTCTGTTTTCTCCTTTTCCGCAACTCAACAAGGTGACCACCTCTCATCTTCCGTCATCATTCCGCAAAGCCAAGTTGGACGAGATGCGCGGACCCTCCTTTCTGAAGATCATGTGGTGAAACCACGCGACCAGACGTCGAGGAGCGGCGATGACAGAGATTTTCATGGTGGCGCACGAGTACTTGTTCAGCAGGATGTTGACGTGGACATGCAGCAAAGACACGACTCGAATCCAAGCCCAGACCGTGCCACCGATGCGCATCTACTCCCAAAACTAAATCGACAGGTCGGTGGAAATAGTTCAACTACACGCCGTCAGAGTACTAGATGGACTCATTCTATGTATGCGTCAGATCATAAGGACGTTTTAGCACCAGGACAGGTGGAGGACGGCAGCTCTTCAAAAAAGACGAAGCAGCAGATGAGAAAACGACGACGCAAGAAGAGGAGTAACTTCAAGCTTTCTCCGAGAGAACTCCAAGTTCTCGCAGACTTGAGGAATGAGCTACAGTGCCATGATCGAGAGGAACCATTTATGAGATATCGAACGCGTGATGACTACTTGAGTAGAGCAGCCATTGGAGCCGTGCCTCCTGTAGTCCCTGGTCCTACGACAACTAATGGTCGTGTTATACGGTACGGTCATGGCCATCAACATAATGAGCCTGCTATCCCAGTGGGTCATCACGTTCAACAAATACACTCTGCTCAGCAACCAAATCGTTATAGTCTGCCTCCGCGTCCTCCCTCCCCTGTGGCGTTGGCACCGAATGCGCAACAAGTCGTGAACGCTGTAGCGACAAGAAGCACTCAACAGTTTTTCAATAATGTGTCGACTCTCGTCTTCAGTAGAGCTTCCAGTAGTGCTGGCGCAGACGAGTCTTTCTCATCTAGCATTTCGGAGAACAAGAACATCAACTTCAACAACTTGGAGCACACACCAAACAAGTCTAAACCTGCTTTGTCTAAGCAACAGGTTTTCCAGAGGAATATGGAGTATTGGCGATACGAATCTAGTCCTGTCTATGTCCTCATGCCAGATATGTTGCACGCATGGGCTCCTAAAGTCTGGATGCTGGGTGCAGGTGTACCTGGATTTTGGAGAGACGATGTTTTGATCTGGGACGCTTTGGATTCGTCTGGGAGTGGCGCATTTAGCTACCTTGAGTCAACAACTTCGGCGTGGATGCGAGGTAGTTCCTCTTCGTCTGCTGATGTTGAAGATAGTAGAGATAATAGTGATGATGATTCATCTTCGACAGCAGGTTCAGACGCTCCTCCAGCACCTCCTCCATCGAAGTTTTACAAATGTCGACTAGCATTTTGTGAATACTGGCGTCATCGTGGATTTCACGAATGCGTGATCCTACCTTTGCAGGGAGAGGAGCACCTGTGCCCGTTTGCGTTGCAGGATGAAGAAGAGGAAGGGAGCGACTCAGATGCAGACTCTGATGATGAAGGAGACGAGAGAAGCCACAGGAATCGACGAGTAGAGCAGGAGTCGTCGCCGATAGAGCAAAGAAGAGACATTGCAGCACGCGCAGTAGCGAAAGTCCGCAAAATTTGGCTGAAGGATGTGTGCCCACTAGTTGGACCAACTCAGAGCCGACCGAGGCCATCGACCCCAGAGGATGAGGCAGCGTCTTGTAGTAGTTCAATGCAGCACGACCCGAGAAGAGGAACAGCTGCTAATGTCGCTGGAAGTGCATCAAGTGGGTGTGCTTACAATGCAAGAGGAGACTATGTCTGTGGCACAGGACTTAAAGCGCAACAACTAGTAGTACAAGCAAATGGTTCTCCCCGAAGCCAAAGGAGCTCCACTCTTCCAGAGCTGATTGACCCTCGTAATCCTGATCGACCTGCTTCCAGACTAAAGCCCTCGTTTCGAAACAAGGTATTCTGCGAGACCGACACGCATTTTAGTTGTGCCGCTAGTGCAACCTTGAACCTAGCTGGGAAACCACGTTTGTGTCCTATCGATAGTGGTGCCATTTGCTCCTCGGCTGGTCGCTGTCTCTGTCCAGAGAACCACTGCGCTGTCGATCAGGGCTTTTGTGTGCCTTTTCGCTCATCTGCTTTCTCAAAAACGAGGAAAAATCCAGGAGTAGAGGTCTGTCTCAATAGTCCGAATGCTCCGAACTGCGACGAAGGAACTCTTCGTGCTTTCGTATACCGCAATCGGCTGCACTTCGTGACGCATGAATTACAGGAGTGCACGTACAACATCTACAATTGTGAACTGCGGGAATGGAAGACGAAAGTCCACGATACAAGCGTCAAATGCGCGTTTTCGTTTTCTGGCGCTAGGGTATTGGGAGAAACGCGTGTCGAGCATATGACGCCTTCTGGTCAACGAGGACATGCAGGAGGACCTACTAGTAGTAGTGCTCGGCGGGTAATAAAACAGCCTCATTGTCCGGACATAGCTTTCTATGGGGACGGACATCAGATGAGGTCGCTAGTACTCGCACAGGGGGACACAGGAGGTAGCTCTTACAATTCCAGGTCGAGTAGTGCAAGTGCCTCATCTAAAGATGGAGCAGTCTCGAATACTAGATTTGCCGCAGCAGGAGCATCTTCGGCAACCACCAGAGGTCCATCAGAACCACCGCCGAATCTTTATGGAGCAGTCTCCGCGAGTGTTGTAAACGCACTATCGTGGGGCGGGGGAGGACCAGCACTACAAGGGGATACAACTACTGGTGCTACAAACTACAGAAATATCAAACTGGAAACCGTAAAGTCGCTTCCTCCAAGAGACCGTTCCAGCACTTCTTCATCCAGCACTTCTTCATCTTCTTCAGACCACCATGGTTCGTCGCAAAAAGGACGCGAACAAGAACAAGAAGGTAAGAAGTATGTCTACCTTTCTATGGGCTTAGATTTCGCCTATTGGCAGTCGCAACTCGTCAAGTCCTGGGGAGCTCAAGGGCCAGCGAAGACCGTCTACGATAGCTTTAAGGCAGCCGCTGGAGCGTCCTCAGCACCATCCCTCCTGGAGGCTGCCTTTTCAAGGGAGAAAAGGGCACCACAGGGAAGATGGGCTCACGGATGCGACGCTCTAATAGCTGCTCGAACCAAAAATGCAATTGGGACTGTCTAGAAGCCGACAGCTGTCCTTTTCAGTGCTGTGAAAACGATTTATTCCGACGCGAGCATGGACCAAATGGATTCTACATCTTCAATTCTCAACAATCACAGCTGATGTTGATGCAGATTAAGAACCCCTTTGTTGCTCCTTCCAGTAGTAAAGAAGACTCGGACTCCAACTACAACAAAGATCATCTTCAAGATGACCGCTATACGACTTACGAGCAGATCTGTCGTGGCGCTGGGTACCGAGATCCCATGACCGAATTCGAAGGCGCATTGGCTCAGTACAAGCAGAAAAGCCAGAACGAAGTCCTGGTTGCGCTCAAGCTTGCCACAATGCCTGTCTTTTCGTACCTCGTTGCCGGTTTGGGTGTAACCATAACCCCTTGGGTTTGGTTTGTTGTTGGAGTTGTCTGGTCTTTCGCGGACTGGATCTTAGCCCACAGCCAACATTAAGGCTCAACTTTCATTGGTCATTGGGGTTCGTTGGTCATGGTCACTGAGATCGCAGAGGCGACCCCTTCTTGAGAGAACCAACAGGGGAAAGAAACGAAGGGAAAAGGAGAGAGCTTTGAAGATGGCCTCTCCCGTCCAGAGTCAGACATCGACCAATGGAGTGCTGACCTTTAAGAACGGGCGAAATTCCATGAGTGGATCGGAGATATGAAGATCCAAGACTGGTACGGGACCGGCTTACTGGACAACGGGATCACGGTAACAATTAAGGTTTCATCTGATGTCCTAATTATCCAGTTGTTCGTATTAATCGTAGAGCATCCTGAGAAGGCTTTAGCTTTTTAATGGGTGGAAAAAAGTGTCAGGACGATTCTTGTTCGGGATCATGGATTAGAGCGAGCTCTAAAACAACAGCAGAGCTTCGACGTCATCCTTGGCACTGCATGTGCAAGTTCATGTTCGGATTCGTGTACGTTTTTCTGCCTTCTTTGATTACGAACCTGGCTGCGTTGTTTGGCATGTTGGTTTTACAGGGCTTGCTAGGAGCTGGAGCGTCAAAAGATGCCGCACATGCCTTCGCATCGACAGACTTATCGCTCAAACTGCACGATCAAGTGTATTCTGCTCAAAATTCGATATGGGAAAAACTGGGTCAACATTTACACCAAGCGGCACGGAGTTTGGTGCCGAATGGGGAAACGCCGTGGTGGGTTAATTATGCCTTTAAGTACATATTGTCGAGATTCGAGATGGGGAAACGCCGTGGTGGGTTAATTATTGTCGAGTTCGAGATAGTTATTGAATCGCAATTCGAAATGAAACGCCGTGGTGGGTTAATTATTGAATAGCAGAATTATGAATCTACAACTGTACATTCAGATTCAGAGTATCAAACTTCTTATATTTGTGCTCAGAAGGCCAAGTCTTAGATGAAGTGGGAGTGCAACTACTAACAGAAGGTTATCCTCGACAGTTTCCGACAGCCTAATGCAGCCTTCGGTGGTCTCATGTGGCAACTGACCAACGCAATTGGTTATTGGCCAAATATGGGGCTCATCTACCTTTTGCAGAAAACCTTGATGGAATTGATGCTGAAAACAGGCGTTTGCAATAAACCAAGAGGTTTGCCAGTACCACAAGCACAAGGGGTTAATATTATGAGAAATACTTCAACAAGGAACAACTACGCTACACCGTTACGCGGCTATAGCGGAGATGAAAAGGAGCAAGAAGCAGACGCAGCTCTTGCTGAGCATATGAGCCACCTTCTATCGGAAAAGGTGATCACGAAGTCGCTCATTTCCGAGGTTTATCGAACGACAGTTGCGCGGGTTGGCGGACGCAATCGACTGAGTAAGGCGACGCTGATCAAAAGCAATCGGAAAATGATGTCGGAGTCCTATGCCGCATCGTCAAGACAACGCGAAGTATCGAAACTCGTGACTCAAATCCGTGAAGAGAATCAACAAGACGAGGTAGAGGTCGGTGCTGTAGGTGGAGACGCACAGGTTGCTAGCAGTGCTAGAAAAACTAGAAGCCGGCCACCCAGACCTTCATCGGGTGGTCCTTCTACAGACACCAGATCCAGCCCACCCATGCCGCAGACGCAAGAAGCTAAACAGCGGAGCAGAGATTTCTCACTGTAACGACGTCACCTTGTTATGATCAACTCATTTCGTGCTACCCTTTTCATACCTAACAAACTTTCAACTAGAACCTACCAAGAACATTAGAGATACAATCCTTTTCCTTCTAGTAGTAGTACTACTAGTAATAGCACTAGGTTTTATCTTCACTCAACAACAACAACAACTCTTACGCATCGACAATATCATAGCGCAGTAGTTTCCTCGTCACTCCTTTTTAAGACTTCTGACTATCAATGAACTTGAGACTCTGACAAGCATGATTGAGTTTTTGAATTGTGGATGTGGATGTGCAGCATGAGATGATCATGGGTTACACCACGAGAGCACCACACCATGGATAGCCACTGAGAGTTTGTAAGTACTTACACAGTTTTGTTGTGACAACTTGAACATGAACATGAATCCTGTGAATAAAGATTAAGACTCAACAGCCAAAAATGCAAAGTCACCCTGTGCCATAGTAAGAAATATGTTGATCGATCGTATCATTTTTGTTTGATAACGCTGTCCTCGGCGACAACATTTTGTACACAACAAAAACAAGTACAACAAGACGAAGCATGACATATTTATTAAAGACTCAGAGGAGCAGGAGGAGGAGCAGTACCAGGTGCGGGATAAGCCGTAGCTTGAGCATCCTCCCCTCGGTGTGTATCCCTCACACTGATAACACACAAAGAGAAAGATGGCACTACCTCATTCTCCTGAAGATGAGAGTTCGAGAGTCTGCTGCACCTGCGGCCCATATGATCGGTGACAAGAAGATATCGTAAATGTCCACTCTGATATAAGTAGATAATTTGATTCGGTTCTACTTGTGAAACACGGATAAGGCGTTTTGGCATCGGTTTTCTCTAGGAATCCGCAGCTCATTTGAGGTATACCGGAAGCAGGAATTCCAGCACCTTTCCTCACCCCACAATTGCCTAATACATCCCCCGTAGACTCAAATAGAAAGAGCCCTCCCCACCTGTCTCTCATCTTCATGTTCAACTAGATCTACTTGATATGATGACACTTGGTTTCTTTGCATACAATTTCAAAGTAAAAGTTATGATACATCAAGAGTCAGCTGCTAATTTATGATATATCAACTAACTGAAACTATTACATTAGCAGGGAGATAGTATGCAAATATTAATATTTGCTGACAAAGAAGGTTGTAGATGTAGTGGAGGTTGCTCGTGAAAGTAAATGTGAATCGCGTAGGTTGCCCTAAAGCACGGCCGGGCAAGCCTACAACTCCGTCAATTTAGCGTCCCCGTTCGGCATCCCCGGACACAAGATCGAGCGCAGATCATTTTAGGCGTGCTAGTTGCTGCAAGTGGCGTCACGGTAGCCCACCTGAGCTTCACTTCACGACCAGCGCGGTTGCGGTTGTCGGACAATCGTGCTGTTGTCTGTGTACTCGGCATGACCTACTCGCTCCAGATCACCAGGTTATGATCTGTGGAAGCACCATCAGAGCAGCTAAATAGGATAGCGAACAGCGAGCAGCGCTTGTTCCTCTGAGAACAATACCAAGCGACAGGTGATTTCTTCTACACCAGGATCTTCAAGAAGTAGAGCACTCGAAATCGAAAACGAACCTCTTCGTGCATAATCAACGGCACGGACATTTTTCCGAGTCAATCTGCTTACGTTGGTGTGACGAAAGTATCGTAGACCTCAAATCATATCTCGCAGAGTAGATACTAGAAGAACTTTATTAGTCGCGTACTAGCGGTAGCGCTCGTGCCTGAGACGGGGAAATTTGCTTGCGGTTTGAGTAGAGAACTAAAAACATCTTCATAATCATCCACAGCACGGCGACCACGACTCGAACATTAGACCCAGAGCACTTCTTCACCCTTTGACATCCTCTCTTCGCCTGCAAGAAGATCTTCAGGAAGAAGCTGTCTCTTGGCCTATCCCTCTTAGAACAAGTGAAAACACCTATCCTTCTTAGAACAAGTGAACACAACACTGTCCGACTACCACGTCGTCGACTTTCCCTTGTCACTCCCTTTTCCTTCGATACCGATAAGATCATCAACAAAAACAACGAGATGGCAGCTCAACAAGCCCATGCGAGTACTAGGGCTCTGCGATCCGAGTTCTTGCAGCCTGGTCACAAAGAAGGTCTCCCAGACTTTCTAAGGATAATAGAGGAGTACGCCACTACAAGGATAGAAAACTGCCCACAACCACCACCACACCGAAAAACCGCAGTGAGGTTTGCGCACGAGCTTTTTGCGCACGGTACTCTATTTGAAGATGATTGACAATCAGAAATAGAATCACAAACGGTTGCATCCTCCCCATCCTCCCACTTGGATAGCCAAACTAGTAAAACTTTGGATAGTCAAACTCTGCAGATGCTAAAGACAATAAAGAGTGATTCACCTAGTCGTGCTCTCAAAGAAGACCAAGAAATTTTTATCAGGTGAACTCCTGCCATCAGGCGTGTTTATAGCGGCTCTTCAGATGGCGAATAGTGAGAAGTTGAACGGCGTAAACATGGACTTTAGCCAAGCGTGCCTTCTTGCGAGGGACGACTTCGTGTTAGCGTATTTCTATTTCGTTAGATTTCTCATTGTTATTCTTGCTTTCGCTGCTGATGCGGAAGTGACCGTGACCACAGATCTTGATCCTTTAGAGATTCTGCCTCCTTCCGCCTCACCCTTGTCGTTCCAAGATTCCTATTGAGTAGTATTCTCTTCAACACCACCAAGTTCCTACTGAATAGCATTCCTTAGTCCTCCTATACGAGGATATTCGTTCATAACATCCCTACCTGGTCCAGGTGGAAGCCCCTCTTGCCAAAGCTGAGAATGCTGATAGCGAAAGAAGCACAAGAAATACCAGAGCATCTCATAAGAACCTTCATCAGCACGTGGTTCACGTGGGAAGGGATATGGCTCAACGATAAGGAGTACAACTTCATACAGATTTTGATTTTGATTCGGATTGTCGAAGATTTAGGGAACAGGTACAACGTAGCTGGACGATGAAGGGGTCTTGGTCTTCCAAACAAAAAGTACAACTAAGTAGATGTTGAAAGAGTCTTGTTGGGCAAACTTCTTCACCTCCAGCACAACTGAGAACACCAACACAACAACAGGGACCACGCAGTGGAGGCCTTGCAGCCATTAGCGAAAACAATTCTTAGCCTTTCGCCATTTTTGGAGTCTAGGAAAAAGGAGAGGCTTCATCCATATCCCAGAGTACTAGCGCAGAGGGTACTATTGTCAGTCTATTGTTTTGTTCTTCGATGATGCTTTGATGTAGTGGTGATTAAGAAAGAAGTAGTATCAATATATATTATCATGTTGTTCTTCGATGATGCTTTGATGTAGTGGTGATTAAGAAAGAACAAGCAGTATCAATATTATCATGTTGGTCTCTATGTCATATATGAACCGCAAGTCTCTACAACTTGATCTAAATTTCCAACTTCAGCAAATATCATATCGAGCACTGATCGGGTTTATACAGAGCCTGTCAGCTCTATCAACGCAGTGTCTTTCTAGTCTTAGCAGAGAACCTGCACCAGATCCGCGATTGTTTCTTCTCATGGACTATCTTCTGCAAAAATCGGGGCAGGCCGCAGCAGATGGGTATCATGTCTTGTTTTAATAGAACTACTTGTTCGAGATCTTAGTTATTTTTCAATAGCTGCTGCCGTTGTGCATACAGGCAGTAGGTATCCTCCATGATGATGATGATGATGATGATGATGTGTTGCTTCAAGCCTGTGAATTGTCCTAAACGTAAACGGGAGCATGAAATATTCGACCTTTTCTCAGGACCTTCTGCGTAGAAGGAATGTCGGAGACGCCAGACATATATTTCGTCGACGACGGGAACAATATCAAGCTTTCGGCTTATGCTTTTCGGTTCGAGGGTCAGAAGGGAGTGGTAGTTCTTCTTCTACTGTAACTTCTACTTGATCATCATCTCTACTCGTACTCAGTCTCAAAAACGTTTTAAGGTTTGGAAATTTGAGTTGTTAGGCTCAAAAACGTTTTAAGCACTTATGCCAGTACCAACAACATGCACATGTGTTACAACATCTAATGATCCGTTCGTCCTTTTACTTTCTTTTTTTCATTATTAATTGTTGATAGTTACCCTTTTCTCTTTTATATCTTCCTCTGGTCTGTCTTTTTTCTAGTTAGGTCGGCTCCACCACAATTCTTACGTTACTTTTCCTGGTAATATTGCCTCGTCATATTTCGTCCCGAACTCACAGGTCGCCCGCTCCACCGAACTTCTAAGCGCCTTCGAGGATGTGAAGACAACACTCTTAGCCGTCCAAGCGGGCGATTTGATGAAGTTGAATCCAGCATTAGACCAGCACCCCACTCTGACGGAGACCATGCTGCATTTCGAAAAGACGTTTAAAAAATGCAAACGTTTGTTTTTGGAGCCAGATAATTTGATTTAGGTTTCTTGTTCTTAGGTGGTGCGGGAAATGACTAGAACTAGTACAACGAGGATTTTATCATGGTATGAGGAGCACCATCAAGGGTACTACATGGAATGAAACGAGCACGAGTTCAATTAGCACTACAAGCACTTACCGATTTCGATGAGATAACGAGCACAAGCACAGGTCTAACTCAATGACGAGCACGTTGTGATCGGTTTTTTAGCATTAGCACACGCAGAAGCAAGTTCATTAGGATTTTGACTATCACGATAAGATACAAGGAAATTAAAATAAAGTTTTTAGCATTAGCATTAGCCAGACATCAATATGAGAGTTGTTGCAATAGTTGTCGACTTATAGCACGAACAAACAGCATGTCGCACCTCCAGTTCGCCAAACTGGGTGCATGCCATGGCGACTGGTGAGATTCATCGCGCCTGCTACGAAGTGTCAGAGATGAAAAGCAGATGGACAAATAGAACACCAACAAGACGAAAAAGTCAAAACATCCCATTCAAGACACAAGAAAGGCATTGTGGCCTCCCTCTACTAGTTCTGCTGGTAAAGACAAATTAGATCTCGATTTGGTTGTTGATAGCCGAGCAAGATCAGTAAAAAGAAGATCTTCCAGATGTGATCCTGAATCCTGTCGTTCCAGAGTAGATCCTGTTCATTTGAAAAAGCAACTGATCTTCTTCGTTCCCTTCATTTGCGAGTCTCTAGTTGTAGCGATAGTGATGCACATCCTGGACTCACGCTTGTTTTTGAGGATGAGCTTCATTTGAAGAGTTATATTGCGACCTACCTAGGTCATATTTCTTGGCTACCAATTTTTTTCGGCAGGTAGGCATATATTTTTTTCCCGAGGAGGTTATCCTTATCCTTATCTTAGATCATTTTCAGAATACCTCTTCATCATACACGAATTATCTCTTCCGTTTTGAGTACAACATATAATTTCCCAACACCTACATTCCACCTTTTTCCACTTACTCACAAGCAAATAAGAAAAAATGGGGAAGTGCAAGGCCGATATTCATGAGCACCTCACTGGCGCGGTGGGCTGGACATATGATGCGGAAAACGACCGATACTATGCAAAGGGAGAGCCAACATGGGAAAAAACTAAGCGAATCGAAAAAGGCGAAAAGCAAGGAGCCCTTCCAAGTAGCACAGTAGAGGAGTTCAAGGAGAAAGCTGCAAAGTATTGAGAAAGCTTAATGAGCTTGTTCACTCTTACTAGTTTCAATTTGATGAAAGTACCATATTTGAAACTTCTGCTTCGTAGATTTGATGCAGTGTAGTTTGAGACACTTCTAGCCTAAGTAACTAGACCCCTAAAAATGGGTACAGCGAAAACTACGATTTTCAACCACCACCACGACCTTCAACAACCACTACCACTACCACATCCACTACCACATATTCACAGGAAAGCGGAGGAAAGACTTGAAAGACTGAAGAAGATACAAGAGGAAGCAGGAGCAACGGCTGAAGAAGCTAATGTCGACGATACAGAAAAGCCAAAGGAAAAGAAGGAGAAGAAGAAAGAGGTATGATTGTTCCTAGATCTACTTGCTTCGTATGGAGAACATCAACATTGCTGAAAATTCATTTATCGCCATCACAATCAACTGCTCGAGCTCGACATCAACTTCTCAAATGAATTATTTCTCGTCAATTATATTATTGTTATTGCGAAGCGAACTCGTCGACTTATGATTTTCAACTTCAGGCAACAGAGGAGGCTAGCGAGAAAGCGACAGAAGTTGCCGATGGCGAAGGCGAGCCAGCAAAGAAGAAGAAAAAGAAAGAAAAGAAAGAAGAAGAGGCATAACGAGGTAGATGGATTTACCATTCGCAGAGTACAACGACAAGTATAAAGTACACCGCCCGTGTACGCTTAACATGCTTTTTTAGTATTGATTACCATTACTGTATTGCTGAAGAACTTCTCAACATATTTGTTAGCACAAGACAACACTGGGTGCGAATGAAATGCCCTGCAACCTCAAAATTGGCCGACGACCACAAGAGTCCACATGAATCTCCTAGTAACGAATCCCAGTATCTGATTCGTGTTCATCAGAAAAGGAACGTGTAATCATGTAGAGTGAGTGAGACATTATCAAGGTGAAAAAACTCTGCTTTATTTACTAGAGTGAACATGTAGTGATGTAGAGTGAGTGAGACATTATCAAGGTGAACAAACTCTGTTTTATTTACTAGAGTGAAGCGTGACAGACTCTTCATTCATTGTCGCGATGGTTGAGAATCGGTATCGGAGGGAAGCGTTCGCGTCTGAAGCAAGAGTGACCATCGGTTTCACTTTCGTGTCGATTATCCTTTTACTCATCGATTTATCTCAATTGTTTTTCAGGATAGCCCGGCTCGTCCGACCCTATGGAGGAACCCATCTCTTGCTGTTTTGGTAAATAGATAGACCTCATAATGATTATGATACACTCGGCTTTACCTTTTTACGCCTATTTTGAACACTTTTTGGAGTACATCTATCAACGCAAGCATTCCACTCTAGTTCTGGACTTAGACATCACCCAGTGTAATATTTTTGTCAATGGGAAGACAATGCTGGAGGAAAGGTTGCACAAATGTACGTTCTCTTGAGGTATTATACTCACCACGACGATAACAATGCGCAAAAAGAATAGTTGACCAGTATTCTTGAAATACGACAACACCTTATATTTATATGTTTATCAATCCACCATAATATGGGTTAATCCACCTAACTACAAAAGGATCAAATCACCTAACGTTACCTTCCAAAAACTTCCGCGAGTTTCGTTTCTCCTTGAAAGAATTAGGCGTTCAGACAAAGGACAGAAGGAGCTTTATTCACAGGTCCTTCAACATTCTGTCAGCTACAGTAACACTAAGTGTTCTCTAAAAATCCTGTCCCGATCTTTCTTCATCACAGTTTGGAATTGATAACTTTTTATCCTCGCTCCTCGCCAAGGGAGTCGATTTCCAATATATCATGTTTCTGAAGAGGCGAAAAGGAAATTCGGAACAGGAGGGCGGCGCGAGCCCCACGACCGGGAGTCGAGCGCCAGTCGAAGAAAGTGACAGCAGAACGGAAAAGGACTTGCTAGAGAACCGAAATAACGGCGATCATTCGGATGACAAGGTCGATGTCGCTCGACATACTATTAAGGCTACAAGAAATCCATCTTCACGTGCATCCTGAGACCGTTCTCAAGGGGAAAAAGGTTCTAAGATGCGTTTCAAGATGGATTTCTCTTGGGTCTAATACTAGTGATTCACTTCGTCCAAGGTGGCAGCAGCAGCATTCGCGGAAAGAGAATCGGGTAGAGTCACCTAGGTCGTGGCTTCGTATGCCCACACATCAGACTGATGTCTGCTCTCTAAAGTTTCTTGAAGATGAGGAGAACCGCACTTCCACAGAAATCGTCAGGGATGAGATGATCGCCTCTCCAGTGGACAAGAAGGTGCTGCTGCCTGATGTTTAGCCTCTAGCGCTTATCGTGTAGGATGACTCCGCTTTCACCGTGTGAATGTGAAAAACTTACTTTTACTTACTTAAGCATTATATATAAGATTTGTTTTTTGTTAAGATAAGAAGGATTAGTAGAAGGTTATTTTTTTTCATTTCGCTATCTTCGTCTAAAACTCCATCATTACTTAAGCACTCAACTACACTTAGGTTGCACATGCGCAGGACGAGACAGCGCACGAAGTGCAGCCAACGGGAAGAAAGAACGCAAACGTCGTTCTCCCTGCGGAGTCTTCAGAAGAGGAGCGTCGTTGTTCTGGTGAGCAAAAAAAAGATGGACAAAAAGCACACGTAGCTGGAGAACAAATAATAGACGAAAATAAGCAGCAGGATGATGAACATTATAGTGATGACGAAGCTGGAGACCGCAGATTGTACGAAGAAAAAGAAATCACGAAATTGGAGTTGGTAAAGTATCCTCCACTTCGTCCTCGTCCACCAGAAAAAGAGTATCATTCTTGTCTTTTCTCATCTTCTGAAGGGCAAGAAGCTGATGAAGCAGAAGCAGTAGATGACGTACTAGAAGATGTTGCAGGAGGACATGATCATGAATCAGGAAAAGGCGTTCTTGCCGGGTCCGGACTAGAAAGTTCATCGTCTTCCGTTCTAGGCGATGGTGGGCCACGAGATGTCGCATTTTTGTCATTACGGCTGCCACGAGATTCGCATCCTCAACGCCATCCTTCTCGGCTTCTTTTTCAAGGGGAAAAAGGACTTCTCAGGAATGCTCCCAAGGATGCGAACGCGGTAGCTCTAATGGCAGTTCCTGAGGAGGAACACAGAAACTGTATCACTCCGATGTCCTTCGATCATTCGATCGAACATCAGAAAAAGGAAGACGACATAGATATTGATGAAGATGACGGTTTCGACAACGTAGCGGTCACTAACAACGAAGCGGCGACTAACAGCGACTATAAAAGGAAAAATAGTCAGCTCCTGCTCCACAACACTTCTGGAAATGTTGATCTTCATCTTGATCAGCCTCGTACTTCTTGTTTTAGATCTTCATCTTCTTCTGGAGATCACCGCCACGACGACGACCAGCAAGTCCTCGATGAAAGGGCAGGACCTCTCCTGAAAAAGCACAAAGGCGAGCCAACAGCAACACGGGAAGTCTTTTCGTCTTCGCTGTTCCCGCCAAGATTTAAATTAAGGCTCAATACAATTCATTTCTAAGACTCATTTTTTTCATTCTCCCTTTTTTCTTCTTAGGATTGGGAGAAATGAAGGCAAGAAATGAATTGTTTTGGGCTCTAATTAAAGTAGTCAGAATGTCATTTACAGAAGGCGAACTGGAGGTGCCTCGGTTACCCGAACCACATGAGATTCATCCTGGCTATTCCGAGTACGACGAGGTTTTTGATGCACTGCGATGGGCTGGGGTAGTCGACGACTACGGACTACTCGAGGCTAACGGTGTGCTTCAGATTCAGGAAGAAGTAACTTCTTCATCATCTAGAATTTGCACAAGTGGGAAAACTAAAAAGCCTCGCTTTGAGTGCTCACTACCCATGCCACCTGATGGAAAAAATAGTAGTACTAACACGTCTGGTACTACCAGGTCATCTACTAGTCGTGGTGCAGGAGCACCAGAGCGGCGTCGTGTGCCTAGCCTCGGTGAGCCTTTCCGACGTGCTGGCGCACTGCTGATCGGTTATGACTCTGAGACCTGGACTGTCTTACAGGACTTCATGCGAGCCGTGAGTAAAACATCACGCAACTCAATAAATACGAAGTCTGTTCTTGTTGAGCAGAAGAGCAGTAGCAACATCAAGAGTATGAAGATTCATCTGGAGGCCAAGCAGGCTAAGGACGCAGAGAAATTATCAGATGACTGGCGTTATGGTCAACATTTAGTGTCCATCATTCGCGGCATCTTGATCCCCTTTTCCCTTCTTGTATTCTCGTGAACTACAAGGTAAAAGGGCTCAAGAGCTGCTGAGATGGGGGGCCGAGATGCAATCTAGCAGACTCTAATGGTGGAGACGGCGCCTGCAAATGTGCTACGATTGGAGCAACAGCGCTTTTCGACACGAAATCCTCACAGAGTATGTAAATGTGAAAGAGTACAGCCACTCCGTAGTGCTATTTGACACTGACACTCTCTTGATCAAAAGTGCATTTCTCAACGACGATTCGCAGTATCTAAGCAGTTCGCGCGCTCCGCCCGTCTCTGTTCTTCCGAAACCATTGCAGAGTCGCTTGAAGATGAGCGAAGATTTTCGTGCTAGTAGTGCAACTTCTACTTCTGGAGGCTTTCAAGGTCATCAACTACTGCCATGTGGAATAGAGCAGCCCATGGGATTGAATCATCCGAACTTCTTCGCTCAGCAGTATGCGACCGGCTCCAGCAGTGGAGTGATGAGCTTTGAAGGCCAGCCTGTCTGTAATGCGCAGCACGTGTCTAAATTAAGGCCACAGGAATAGATGCATCTTCTTCACTGTCAGGTTGTATCTTGTTCTTGGTCCTCCCGTAGTTCTTTTTTATAAGGGACGAAAATGAGACCCAACATCAAGATGCTACTTTGGCGGATGGTGCTGTGCTGCAGCACTTACTAGAGTAATCTCAATCTGCTTTTCACGCTGCATACACTCACTTGATTCATCTAACGAACGGGATCGCTTGCAGAGGCAAGAAGGCTGCTGATGGATTCATGTGCATGTTCGGCGTGCACGTTCCGCCACCTTATTCCCGTGGCGAAGGACAGCAACAAGCGTGGCGATACGGCCTTCGCGCGAAAACAGTCAGGCTAAGGCGTGTGATGAACATGAACCACAAGAAGAAACAAAACAACAATCAGGTCAGCGGCAGCACAGGTCGTCAAGCAGGAGGTGGAAGCACAACATCTTCAAATATTAGAGTGGACCAAACAGAAGCACGACTTCCGAGCAGCAGCGGAGCTGCTGAAGATGAAGAGATGAGCGCTGCCCGCGAAGATGTTGCTCAAGGCGTCGAGAGTACTAAAAACGTCCAAAATTATGAAAATACTAATGAGGACGATCAAGATGTTGACATGGTCACTGGAAGTAGTGGTCCCGCAGGCGCAACTGGAGAAGAAGGTCAGCAGCTACTTCCTGTGTCCCATGATTCACTCCGTCCCGCAGGCGCAACTGGAAAAGAAGGTCAACAGCTACTTCCTGTGTCCCATGACTCACTCCGTGCCGCAGGCGCAACTGGAGAAGAAGGTCAGCAGCTACTTCCTGTGTCCCATGACTCACTCCGTGCCGCAGGCGCAACTGGAGAAGAAGGTCAGCAGCTACTTCCTGTGTCCCATGATTCACTCCAACCTGCTCCTGAAGGAGAAGGAGAGCAGCAAAAAGAACAGGTAGATCATGTTGTAGCACGAGGATCATCTTCGACGTATCGCATCAGAATGACATCGGGTAAGACTTGGACTGTGGAGGTGCATCCGGAAGATGGCTGGAAGCTCGAAACTGACGAGGAACCCGACCTCTCAAGGCAAACACTACTAGACCCGAAAAACTGGACCCGAAATAAAACTGGAGAGGAAGATCCAAATTTCGTGCCTCCTTACGCTCAGGTGCGGAATCGCAAAAGCGGCCAGATCGTTGTTGACTGGAAAGTGTCGAAGCCACGCCGCTTTGACTTGGACGAGGTTGTAGATGCCTATGCAGCTGAGTTCGCACGTCGCGAGGCAGAAGCTCTCCCGGCAGGAGCCGCCAGCCGGCTTTGCATCATGCGCCACTTGGATCCAGAAGAGAATTGGACTCTACTTCCACCTGACGTTTTGACGCATCGTGATCAAAAACATAATGTTGAAAAGAAGAATGTTGTTGGTGCCAATGTTGCTCCTTGTTTTGGTAAAAGTAGTGCGAACATCATGATCAACACAACTACGGGCAAAGCCAATCATGATGATCAAGTAGCAGGACAGGAGGAGATAGAAAAAAATGAAGACCAAGAACGAGTAGAAGGTCCGAGAAGTGCGTGCTCTGAGGGAACTGTATCATCCTCAAGTTCGTCAAGTACTAAGCAAGTGGAACAACAAGGACGAAATAGAGAACTACAAGATGCCACTGAGTCTGAAACTATTAATCAGAGTAAGACTTTTTTGAAGAGCAGCAACTACTTTGTTGCTCCACCGACTGCAGCTGCTGCTGCACCTGAACCATCTTCATCGGCTCCAGAGGAAATGAATGCAACCTGCGCTACTTTGATCCAAGAGGATCTAGTGGCGGGCCATAACCGTTACAATGGTGTGCATATTTGCTCAAAATCGAAGCACTATGCTGTAATGGTTCATGATGATTCGTCTGCCGACGGAAGCTTAGAGGCAATACATTTCTACCGGCCAGAGGTGGGTCTTGTTCTAGATAGTGGCTCAACTACTTTTAAGGATAGGCTAAAGGCGTTCCTGTTGCCGTTCGTTTTGACTCTCCCAAGGGGGGCGAAGGGCATAACGAACGGGGTAAACGAACACCAAAAGCATACCCCTAATACCTCTCCAACAGATGGAGCGCCAGTGGGGCGAGGGCGGCCATGTCTCTCAGGAACACCAGCAGGAGTCGCGGAGGAGTTTACTCAAGGTCATAGCTGGATGTTTTTTGCTGGCGCAATCTTCAACCTGAACATGCGACGTGGGCGAGGCAGCTTTGTGTGGGTCCATTGCAGCAATCCAGATCCAACTTTTCACGGAACCTTGGCAACGTTTAGGAAAAGCGCGGCAATACAGGCGAATCTAAACCATGACGGGATGGGTTGCGCCTTCTTGTTGCAGGACAACGTTGTGCGCTACCTGAGAGGAGGCAAAAGTCAGCATCTTCTCAACTACAAGGCGAAGTCTCTGGCACCAAGTACCTTCCTCAACTTCCTCGACCAAAAGGAGAAGAAAGAGGTGGTTCTGGCTGCGCTTGGAGGTGACAACAAACAAGACAAGAAGAAGAAGCCCAAGCTCAAGAGCCTTCTCAGTGGACTGAAGAAGAAGAAACGGAACAAAGGAAAGATGAAGACAAAAAAGACAAAGAAAAGGGAAAAGCACCACCAGCCAAGTGCAAGTAGCAATAAGCAGGCAAAGCCAAAGGCATCTATTAATCTTGATGATACAAGCAAGTGCAAGTCTACCCCGAGTCGACTGGCGCTCAAGCGGAACATCTCAAGCTACAGTGGAGATCTGCTCTCGAAAGAATTCAAGGCGTGGTCTCTTTTAGTGGCGAACCTTACGATAACAGAGCTTCAGAATGAGTGGAGCAACGCCAAGTGTCTCGAAATGATCACTCGCATTCAAGAGGCCGTAAAGAGCACGAATGCAGAACGCCTCCACATGAGGGCAAAAATAGCAAACAAGATATGGCCAAGGCCAACGTTTAAGTTTAACTGTATTTATGAGTAGCTACTCTGGTCTCCACCTTAAGAGGTGGACTTTGACTGTATTTATAAGTAAGTAGCTACTCATCTGGCCTTGGCCAACATTTAACTGCATTTTTATATAAGTAGCTACTCAAAAATCCCTCTTCGTATATTGATCTAAAGTTCTAGTGCAGGGGTTAGTTCACTAAACGACCTACAGTCTAGTCCTCTCATCATTATAAGTAGCTACTCATCTGGATCTGATCTCCACCTTAAGTTGGTTGACTTAGTTGGAGCGAGTACACGTACTTGATGTACTTAACGAGGGAGATGAGGTCGTGCTGCCTCTTATTTATTTAAAGACTCGTAGGTAGTAGCAGGTGTAGGACAATGGTGCTGACTCTATATTTAAAGACTCGTAGTCTTGCATATCAATGACTCCTATATTAAATACTACTCATACTTCTAATCAGCTTGGTTGTTCCCTTACAGACTCGTAGGTAGTAGCAGGTGTAGGACAATTATGTCAAAGTCGTGTCGTCGACCTCTAATGATCAGTGGCGAGGAGGGTTCGGACACGACGGATCTTAAAGATCAACGGGCCGCGATGGAAAAAGCTGAGGCATTCGGGGATTCCCTCAGGCAGAGACGGCGAAGACTTCAGGCCGAGCTCAAACGGAGAGGCGTCTTCTGTGATAACAGTGGAAAAATCATCTTTCAGGACAAGTCCAAGTCCTCGACGTCGACGAAAGCATCTTCTTTCATCGACGTTCATGCGTCCAAGTTCGGGACGTCGAAAACATCTTCTTCGACAGCAAATATTGAACCACAAACAGGACCACCGGCGAAGAAAAAGAAAGCGAAGGAGAAGATTGACCAGGAGGTGTTAACTCTTAGAGAGAAAAAAAAAATAGTCAGCGATAGAGATAATTATGAAAAGACCAAAGGGTCCTCGACGAAGTCTACTTCTACTTGTCGAGAGCCACCAGCTTCTCTGCCAGTAGACTACCTCTTGGTTCGACTCGTTGACCTGCAAAATTTCGCCAGAAACCAAAGAGCTAAGGGAAATAATGATAAATCCACGGCACGGGGTGATGGACTTAATACAGCAGAGTCAGCAGTTACTGGTAAACACGAAGGTGATGGCGCCAATGCGAGCAAGAACCAGGAGGACCTGAAAGTAGTAGACACGGCTACGACGACGACCAGCAACAGCAATGGAGCTACTTGTAATCATTTAAGCAAGAAGCTACGAGAAGCAGAAGAGGCTGACGTAAGCCCGACTTTTGAGGAGGCGCTCCAGTATTTCTTTAAGGCAAGAGGATAGAGCTCGAGGAGGTAATTCTAATTTAAATTAAGTACAACTCGCTACTACTAGTATCTTCTTCAAAAATCATTTATTATGTAGATCGATGGCCAGTATCTTCATCCTTCTTAGATGATTGCTTCAACAAGGACAGGGCCATTACCTTTCAAGGACAAGACGGTTACCTTTCAAGGACAAGACGGTTACCTTTCAAGGACAAGACGGTTACCTTTTTAAGGTTAGTCCGTCTTGTCCTTTCAAGGAGGTTCTAATATTTTCAAGGACAAGACGGAGCACGGCGCTTGTCGCATAACTTTGACGCGGGAGGTCATCGTGGAGAGTGGTCTTCTCCGCCAGAACCTGGAGCAGAAAATTGGAGGCATGCTAAGAAGGCATCTTTTGCATGTAGAGAGTTGGATTGTAGTGGAGCGATGGACTGGTCTCATCGCGGGCGACGAGTGGGACCGTCCGATCATAGTAGGAGGCACTTCTGAATGATCACCTGGAGCAGTGCTTGCTGCTTGAACACTGCTGAATGTGTGTAGAAGAAGAACCCTCATCAAACTGCTCTTTTTAAACTTACAGAGTGCACTAGTAGACGAGGGAGGACTGCTTAACGTGTGTAGAAAGACGAAGACGTGGTGCTTGGACAAGAAAGACTTGTATTCCTATATTTCCTGTACAGGCTAGTCCCATATTTTTGTAGTTCTCTCACCTTGTCTGCAATGTGGTGTAAGCAAATTGCTGTCACTTTCATTTTCCGACTTTTTTATAGTTGTTCCGTGTTGGTTATGGTTTTGGTATCTCTTGGTTGTCAAAAAGTACAACTCGGTCTCGGTACCTGAAGATCATGTTGACCTCTTGTGTCGGATAAATCGGGCGAGAAGGGTGCCCATTGTATCTCTATCACCAGATGTTGATGATGATGATGATGATGATGATGAAAGTGAAACTGAAACGCAAAAGATCTGACGATGAACACGAAAACTTAACGATCGGTGATGATATAGATAGTATGATGAAAAAAGAATTACAATCAATGAAGGCAAAATCATGACGTCCTACAACTCACGCTCACCTTCAGCCGAGCATGAAACTGCAGAACAACAACAATCATCTTCTGCTGTAGCAGAGCAACCCTCTGGTGTTGATGCCACTTCATCTACATCAGTTCTGCCAGAAGCTGTTTCCCAGGACGCCTATCTACGGGGTCTAAGCACATGCCGTGAAGAGATCAGAGATCATGGGCTGTGCGCTTTGCCTGGATTTCTTAAGCCATCGTATGTCCATAAGATTCTCGTAGCAGCTATGAAACCAAACTCCATTATCATTATGACTCTTTTCTACTTGAGAAGCTTGACGAGAATGATAAGAGATTTTGCCTCAATAGTAGCCGAGAAAATGCGCAATGCAGGCATAGGGTTCCGGAGCTTTGAAAGGCATAACATCCTTTTGGATGATCTTCCAGCCAAGCCGCCACCGTCGAGTGCACCAGGGCCGCCTGAAGAAGTCGTTGAACAAGGATTGTTGTCGGCTGAGATGTGCTCCAGCAAGTTAGGAATTTAGATTAGTAGCAAAGAAAATATGACAGAAACAGTTTTAACAGTATCTACATCGAACTAATAAATAAATGTATGAATCTAACTACGGTTCTGATCAACCAGGCAGAAATAGCGCAGTCGGAAGATTGTTTGGGTCTCCTCGAGCTTTATCAGTGGGACGGCCTGCGACAGCTAATGAAGGAAGCTTTTGTTATGAGAACGTAGAGTTGATGGTTTTCTCTATAATCATGAAGATGAAGAACCAAGAAGAAAAGAGACTAAAAAGAAGCAGGCTCTGGAGCTTGTCCCTCTTCCAAAAACTCCAGTCTTCAAAAATCGAACTGGTGACTTCTCCACTGACCTACTTCTTATTGATTCATTGACCTACTTCTTATTGATTGATCCGGCTTGATGCCGATGTCCGCAGAAGAGGAAGTCCATTCCTTTTGATGCTCCACGAGTGATCATCTCCTTCTAATCCCGACCTTCCTGAACTCCACTGTTCTGCGGATTCGGTAGGAGGTGTTTACCTCAACTTTTTCGAAAAGGGTGACCGTCTTGGGTGGCATTTTGACCGGTCCGAGTACTCAATGAACCTCATCTTGAGAGAGTGTCCTTCCAGTACTTCCTCTTCTTCTTCTAGGGACGAAGTTGACAAACGCGAGAACTACAAGGAGACCCCCGATATTAGTTGCAAAGCGGGTGAGTTCCCACCTGGTGCATTTGTCTATCTTCCTGATTCGCGGGAGAAGGTTCTTCAGCATACCACGAACAATACAGAAGATCAAAATTTAGAGAGCGTGATGCAGCAGGTAAAGCCAGTCGTGCCAGAGCTACAGTTAAGACAAAGCGCTTAGAAGAGTCTACTGAGAAGAGCAAGAATGATGATCCAGACCACGTTATATTTGGAAAAAATCCTGAAAGTAGTGAGTATGCACCGGATCTAGTAAGGATGGAATATTCGACTGAAGAACTCAAACTCTTCCATAGTACTTGTCTTACTTCATCTTCTTCTAATGCTTTTCGGCACGTTGTCCCTCTTCGCCTGAACTCAAACTCTCTCATTCTTCATCATTTTCTTCTAATGCTTCCCGGCACGTTGTACCTCTTCGCGGGGAATCGGAGTCTTCATTGCGTAACTGAGAATACGACAGACACTGTTCGCGCAAACTGTATTTTTACATTCAACACACGAGCTGGCCAGGTTCTAAACGAATACACCAGAAAGAAATTTTTTGGACGAGATGTGTAGCTTCTTTAGAATAACTATTCAATAGGAATACACTAGATCATCATAGAAAGAAATTTTTTGGAGACGTCTGAGAAAGGATCAAGAATCTTCAGGTTTAGAATGACATGATCAAGAATCACGTCTTCTAGTTTTTGGAAGGAGAGGAAATGGAAATGCATCTGCAAGAACGCCTTTGTTAGAAAAATTGATATCAACAACAACCAGAGGCATCTCAAGTCAAGATACATACCCGTACCCCCAACATTTGCTGACAGTTGTATTGGCGTTCAACTGCGGCCATTTGCGACGGATTGCGCATAAAAACTGCAAAACATCATGGATTCAAGCGAAGAAGAAATCCGAAAAAAGTATGCCTGCCTTTCGCTCGTGTCAACTACATGATGAATCTTCGGTTTCGTCTTCGCTCGTTGAAACTCGGTTATTGATGATAGTACTGAGAGACTCGCGAACAACCAGCTGATTATGATCTGTCATGGGCATCCTCATCTGTAATCATGATTCGGTCGTACTATCAGGATCAGGATGACGGATGTCGTAACCAAAAAATTGAATTTGATGCTCCCGAACACGACAACAACGCCACACATACCTACCGACTTCAATGATCTGTACTTAATACATCGGACGATTAGGTTGCCCACCATGATTACCACTACGATGATTTGATCAACAATTTTTAGGCAGACAAGATGTTGGAGTAGAAGAAGAACAACAATAGCAATACGCACCTACTTAACTACCACTACGCGTTCTTTGGTAAAAAAATGCCTTGGCTGCTTCTCCTGCAAAAGGTTATACCGCTGCTTCGTGGATCGAATGATGACGGTCACGACGTTTCTTTTTCTACTTTTATTATATAGAAAACAATAACAAAGTTGTACTAGAAACGACATATGATCGTGGACATTTACTAGAATGATCATGGACATGGTCTAACTGTAAGAACAATAATGAAGGCGCTTCCTTGTCCTTGACGAGGAGTTTCTGCTGGCACGACGTGGATTGATACAGCAGCATTGTAACAGCGACACGAAGTGGACCAGTTCCTCGAGAAGCAACTTCGCTGTTCGACCACTAGTAGTACAAAGTGGTCCAAGATGGCTCCTCCTGCTGTACCGCCGAAGAAAGAGAAGCGGCCGCCGCGCGATGCTCGCATGCAATATGTTGTTAAGACAAGATGTTGAATCTGAATCACGTAAACGTACCACAATGTTGTGCCGAGTAGCAAGACCAAAATTATATGCGTGGAAGTAGATGATGAAGATGCAGATGGTGAAGTTGGTGTAGACACACAGTGTTATATTTTTAATGCTGTATTATAATTTTGTTACAAGAGTAGGCTTGACGCAGAAGTTGCAGTTGTACTATTGGTATATCATCTACTAGCCTTACACTCACTGCTCTACCTCTAACAACTAAGAAGACGAGGACCGTGGGCCGTTCGGTGCTGAAAAACAGAAGCTGGAGCATTATGCCGAAGACATTCTCGCACAGCTACATAGGAATGATCCAAGGGACCCTACGTCTCTGTCTCTCCTCGACATCCATTTTTCCCGACACTTCTACAGGGACTTCGCGTTTTGCTTCCTGCATAACAATCGTATTCTTGAGTCTTGTTTCTTTGATTTTGGTGTCAATCTTCCTCACCACACTCCTACTTCTACAAGTAGATCTAACTCGACCTCCACGTTCTACTCAAGAATCCACCTCGGACTACTTGTACAAATACATAGATCTAGGTACCTCGTCGACCTCCACCCTCTAGCTCTACTCAAAGAACAGGTATCCGCAAGTTGCAATTGGAGCGCTGTAATATGGGTGATGTTGCTTGTGAACGCATCGGTTTTATGTTGCGGGAAAATAGCAGTGTCTCCATTCTGTCCCTTTGCGAAAATCACATCAAGAGCGTAGGTTGTGGCTTCATAGCCCGACTTCTAGATCGAGGATATGGGACCGATAAGCTGAAGTGTCGATTGACGCATTTATTCCTGAATCGCAACCACATCGGACCGGTCGGAGCTAAGTCGCTCTCTCTAGCTCTAGTCCACAATCGGACGCTGGAAGCGCTGGAAGTGAGGGAAAACTGCATCGACTCTTGGGGAGTGGGATGGATGTGCATGGGTACTATTTCTATTACGGAGTAGACTCTTGGGGAGTGGGATGGATGTGCATGGGTACTATTTCTATAAAACTGCATCGACTCTTGGGGAGTGGGATGGATGTGCATGGGTACTATTTCATCTGTGGAATTTAAAGCTTGCTTTATTGAGGTTTAAATACGAGTGCGCGAAGTGCGCGCTCCCCGGGGCGCAACGCCGGGTAAAAAAGGTTCCACCTGCTCAGCGCGTTTAGCCGAGCGCCTGCCAGCGATGGCGAGGCACTCGGGAAGCAAAACGGAGTAGATACACACTTGTTGATCCTTGTCTATCACTCCTTCCGTCTAGTTCTACTACCTTACACGCATTATAATAATCGCTTGTGACTGTGGCTTGTAAGAAGTAGCTGCATCGACTTATTAACTTGATTCTCATCGCTGCAGGAGCACGTCGAACAGGAGGAAAACAAAATATTAGTATTTATAGTATTAGCAATTGCCAGAAATCTCTTAAGGAGCTCCCTTAAGGAGCTTCCTTAAGGAGCTTCCTTAAGGAAATCAGTTTCCTTAAAGAATTTTTATTATAAAAAGTTATTATAACTTTCCTTAAGAGGGAAAAAATTTCCTTAAGGAGCTCCCTTAAGGACAAGCTGTTATAAACTTAGGCTAATAACAGCGGCTCCCTAAGGCCCTTGCTAGTACTACGAGTTCAAAGGTGTCAAGAACGTGCTAACGTGTTCGCGGCTGTTAGTTTGTAGGCTACTCACGTACACCAGCCACATCCGCAGCAAGACACTACGCGCCCACCCCTAGCGAATCGCCCCAACGAGCTGCCAACCGCTACCCTTGTCATATATCGCCCAGCGCCTTTACTTTTTTTCAAAAACTTCAGGGAGGTCATTCAAATACAGAGAAAACTGAACGACCTCCCTGAAGTTTTTGGAAAAAAGTTAGCTCGCTCCCCTTCCGCGACTACCTTCCGCGCACAGCAATCGACCACGGCACAGGAGCGCGCAGCAGCCCTTGGAGATGGTTAACCAGTCTACTTCTAACCAGCACAAAAGCGGGAGAATTTTAAGGGAGAGGGTGAGCACTTGAAAGGGTAGAGGCTGACGAGCGTGATCATATTGATTCGCGAGAAGGCCAAAAATGCGCCTCAAAGTCGCAGCCGTTGAGGATGTCGATGGCTGTGAGAATGATAGCCGTGAGCACTTGCGTGTCTGAAGGGTGGACCTTGGTGGGCGTCATCATATCAACGAGAGGGCCAAAGACGTGCGCCGGTGTGTGTGAAAGTCGAGGCCGACGCTGAGGATGTCGATGTCTGTCAGAATGATAGCCGTGAGGGCTTGCATGTCTGAAGGGTGGACCCTGGTGAGCGTCATCATATCCATGAGAAGGCCAAAGGTATGCATCTCTGTGCTTGAAAGTCGAAGCCGTTGAGGATGTCGATGTCTGTGAGAAAGAGAATGATAGCCGTGAGGACTTGCATGTCTGAAGGGTGGACCCTGGTGGGCATCATCATTTCCATGAGAAGGCCAAAGATGTGCGTCTCTGTGTGTGAAAGTCGAAGCCGTCGAGGATGTCGATGTCTGTGAGAATGATAGCCGTGAGCACTTGCATCCCTGAAGGGTGGACCCTGGTGAGCGTCATCACATCCATGAGAAGGCCAAAGATATACGTCTTTGCGCTTGAGTGTCGAAGCCGTTGAGGTTGTCGATGTCTGTGAGACTGATAGCCGTGGGCGCTTGCAGTTCTGAAGGGTGGACTTTGGTGAGCATCATCATACCCATGAGAAAGCCAAGGGCGTACATCTCTGCGCTTGAAAGTCGAAGCCGTTGGGGGTGTCGATGTCTGTGAGAGTGATAGCCTTGAGCACTTGCGTGTCTGAAGGGTGGACCCTGGTGAGCGTCATCATATCCATGAGAGGGCCAAAGGTATACAGATTTGCCTGTGAAAGTCGAAGCCGTTGAGGGTGTCGATGTCTGTGAGGAAGTAGATGAGGGCGGACCCTGGCGGGCGTCATCATGTCCATGAGAAGGCCAGGCGCATGCCTCTCCGTCGGTGAAGGCTGAAGGCTGGGGACGTCGATGCCTGTGTGTGAGAGTGATAACGGTGGACCATTGCATGTCTGAGGCGCGGACCGTGGTGGGCGTCTTGCGTCATGTCCATGAAACAGCCAAGCTTATAGACACACCCCCGCGCCTGAAGGTTGGGGCCCAACTTCTGGCTCTGCGCATAGAGATGCCCAAGCGTGGCTTTCTCATGGGCCTCGTCCATGACGCTCGCCAGTGTCAGTGCCATCCCATGGGTATGCTATGCTTTAGGATTCTCCTGGACATGATCACACTCAAAAGGGCCCAACCTCTGTGCCTACATATGTCCAAGAGTGGCCTTCTCATGGACTCCATGACGCTCAGCGGGCCAGCCTTGGCGCCCATTGGCTTGCCCCTAGCAAGCAAGTTGGCCAAGTCAGTAGCCATAGCGGTAGCCTCCTCACTAGCCTCGCCACAGTGGGTGTCAGCTTCCCAGCCTTGGCGAGCAGACTTGGCGACTTTTTTCGTGTGTCTTTCTGTCTCTTAGTAGTCAACCTGTCTAGTTGTTAACCTATGCCCAGCGCAGCGGGCCCTTGATGGGCCCGCTTTCTGGGCATGTACTAATATTAGAATACTTTATAGCGCTAGGGGTGCCAGATCCAGGATGGGATGGATCAGATGGAACGGATGGACTTCCCACCATTTCAAGTAGGACCGGAAGACTTAAGGGGGTCCATCCGATCCATCTAAGTCCATCCTACACCCGTTCTATAGGTTATTCTATTTTCCTTCTGTTCGACGTGCTCCCGCCATAATATCGGTTTTCAACTACTTCATTCTGAACATCATCCTTATCACCTCGTGATCTTCAATGAACAGGTTTAAAGCAAAACCTAACTCTGCGTGTGTTGGATTTGCAGAGTAATCCGGTGGGCTCTAACGGAAAGCACGAACTGGAAACCTTGATGAACGCCACTGGGCGCGAGATTGTGGTCCAGGACTACAATGTCCCTGCACCGACATCGCCGACCACGGAAAAAGGGAGAACGTCGTTGAATTTATGGCATGAATTGAGAATTGCCTATGCTTTCTTAGTGTTGCCTATGTAACGTACGCGCAGCTTTTAAAAAGAAAAAGTAGTATGTTCGTTGATATGTTGCTTAGGCTCAGCCCTTCAATCCTTAGGCTTAACCCTTCAATCCTTAGGCTACTTAACCCTTCAATCAAAGTATGCTCGTTGATATGCTGTTTTAAATGAATGTTGAGTAGTTGTACTAACTCCTCTAACAACATCCATCGTCGCAAGCAGATCAGCGTCCGAACCTCTGTTATTTTCAGAGGAGTATCTTTCGGTTCTGCCAGCATCAAAGACGCTTGAAGCGAAGAAACGTGGAGCTGCACTTCTGAAAAAGCAGGAAGAAGAAGATACTAACTACGATGATGATTTCGATGTGCCAGAAGATGAGGAGGACCTTGGTGTGACTGGAACTACAAGAAAGACTGCTTCCAAAGGATCTAGTAACGACAGAGGTGGAAGGATGTCAACCACTGCGCCATCCTCATCTAGTGGAGGTCGAACTAGTGGTGTGACTGCAGGTGCTCTTCTAGCTTTGGAATTTGGAACAGATACAGCAAGCGGATCTTGCAGTACTCTCTGGATGCGCTCGCGACCCAGCACTAGACCTTCTTCGCCAAGACGAGGGTCAACTTCTAGGCCGACGAGCGCGAAAAGCCGGTCTTCGAGACCAACTAGTGCGAAAACGGGATCGAGACCGAGTAGTGCACTCAGGAGTTCGGAGAAAAGCTTCAAGTTTTCGTCGAAGGTATTAGTCTTATCCAACATAGTCAAACTCACATTGTTATCCAACAGTTTGTTCGAACTTCGAAATTATGAAAATGAGCACACCACTGAGAATGAGAAAAGGCCACATCCATAATATGTCACTCAAATCATAAAGACTAAACCACACAACTATTAACATTGTTATTGCTAAAAATCGGAATTGCATTTATTCCTCTTCTCCCCCAGGCCCTCTCCAATAAATCGGATGGTTCAAAACGAACGACAGTCGAAAAAAAACTTGCCGGAGTTTATTTCCCTGCACCGACGAAGCTAAAGTCGAGGCCGCAGCGTCCTGGAACGGCGCTTCCTTTGATGCAGAGACCGAAGATGACCGTCTTCATCACAAAGTTCGACATGCTGCAAGATCGCTACACACAGGGACCTGCGGAGAGCTATAGGCCTACGGTGAGGATTTTGTTGATTGCGATCGGTAACATGTACATGTACATGCTCTTTTCTATGACGTTGATCTTGATGTTGAGTGAAGATCAAATCCTCCAGAGGACCCTTTTTCTTTACTTTCGACTAAATGGATTTGATCCTTTTCAATTTCGTTTTTTCCAGGTTGAGGAAATCCAGCAGCGTGGATTGACAGCGACGAGTCGGAGTCCTTCCCCCGACCAAGGACGAATACCTGTTAGTCTCTACAAAAAGAAAGCTCCTTCTACACGGACACCGTCAAAAGAAGCGAAGAAGTTACCTGCGACGACCAAGTCCCACCCACCAGCATACTATGCGCCGTTGTTAGCTATGAAGACGCGACCACCTCCCGGAGAGGTTTTGCTCCAGAATTTGAGCCCCGAGAAAGAACACGCACTTGGTTTCGTAGACCCAGCGACAGGAATTTTGGCATCCGCAGAACCAATTCCAGGAATGCGTGCGCGGGGGAGCGCGACAGAGACTAAGGCAATTGACGTTGGAGATTCTTCATCTCTATATTAACTTGATAAGTACCAAAAATACCTCAAGTAGAGGTTTGATAACTTAATGCCTCATCCTCAAGAGGTCGTTTGGTTCCTCAAGAGGTTTAAGAACTTAATGCCTCATTAATAGAGTGTTCATTCTTCTAGTAGCACACCAGACTCACTCCAGATGCTGACGAATCAGGATGAATAAATCAGAACACATCGTCTAATCCTACCCCAGAGAAAATGGTCCAGGCGCGCAGAAAATTGCTTAGTCCAACCCACAGAAAAGCTGCAGAGGACTACTTCAAGCAGAAAGGACATTTCCGGAAAAGTTATAGGCACAAGTATTCACCCGAATACGACTTCATGGGCAGTATTACACATGTGGACCTCTTCCCAGAACCACCAAATGTGTTTGCAGCTGGTCCAGGAGGGGGAGCAAAGCTTCTAGGACTAGCAAGGCAAAGGCAGCAAGCTGCAGCAGCGCAGCATCCAGACGGGGAAGGAGCGCTGATGGCGTTGACAGGATCGGGAGGGAAGACGTACTTCCTGATCTCAATTTTATATTTTCATCTCACTTGACTGTAGTTTCTGTTCAACCTACAACATCATGGACGAGTTCAGACGGAGTTACTTTGTTGAAAGAAAAGATAGCACGACAATGAATTGCAGATGCATATCCACCAAATGCGAAATTTGAATTCAACAGATTTGGAGACGGCATGTTGAGGGGAACAACGTCCGACGCAGTGATCCAGTACATGATGACTGCTGGTCCGAACCGACATGACATTAAGTGTTGGAAGTTGACCTCTACTCTAACTCTATGTCTATGTTGAGCAGTATTCGAAAACTCAAAATAACCGAGTTACTGACTGAAATAAGGGAGGTAGCTTAACGTTAAGGCTACCTTTCCTTCTCATCAGTATCTCGGTTATTCTGATCATCAGTTACTCGCTTATTTCAGTTTTACGAGTATCTCGATGGCCTCTTCAGGTACGTCGTAGGAAAGCCATAGAGGACTAATATGACGAGTAGCTAAAGTAGAGGTTAACTCGCCCCCTAATGGGAGTGACGTAGTTCCTGGTGCTGCGGTGGCAACTAGCGAACTGGACGAAGAGGTGGAACGGAGGAACAAGAAGATCCGGGAGGAAAAATTTCAAGCAGAGAAACGCGCTGAGCTTACCCGTTTGATTCAGGAGGCACACGATAAAGAAGATAGAAAACGGGAGGAACAAGAGAGGGCGGAAAGGGAAAAGAAGGCTATGCTGGACGAGGATGTCCAACATGGCGAGGATCATGACAGGCGGAGAAAAGAAGTATCTGCTGCTAGACCAGCTAGCAGTAGTGGAGTTCGCGCTGGTAGTGCTAGAGGAGCGACTACTTCCGCTAGAGCCCGTACCAGTGCCAGAAGACAACTAGAGCCTGATGCTGCCGCTGGGGGAGGTGGTAGAATCGTCCCTGTGCGAGCGGCCGATCATGAAGAGGAAGATGAAGCCTCTCCAGAGGACTCCTACGACATGGACGGGGATGACTTCATCCAAGATGATGACGAAGCTCTAGATGAAGAAATAGACGTCGAAAGAGACCATGAGGAGCGAGCTGCTCCTTCTAGTAGTACAACAGGAAGTACTGCTGGTGCAGGTGGAGTAGGTGTAGGAGTAGTTCTCGGAGGCGGCGGTGGTGGTTCTACTGCGCGATCTTCCCGTGCCTCGGCTAGCCCTCCTGGCAGTCGGCCAAGCAGTGGAGAGGGACGCAAAGGTGTCACAGGAGGTCGTGGTAGGCGAGGACATCATCAAGATAGAAGTAGTCGAGCAGGTCGTGGTCGCAGTTATACTAGAAATAAGAGAATGATCCCCGTAGCTGGAGAACTTGAGGACTTGCCAGTGGCTGGCACCGATTTGAGCAATACGCCATTCATTGACCGCGTTTTGTCACCATCTGGGAGTCCGACTCTTCCAGTAGGTGGCGGTCGAGTTCAGTCTCCCTTCTTAGTAGACCGCATCACACCAGCAGGCATTGTGGCCTCAGTGCCCAACAAAACTAGCGGAGCTCGAAAGAAGACGGGAGAGGGAGCGGTGTCTTGTGACGAATTTGCGCAGCCAGTAAAATGGTCCGCGCAGAGCAGCCGGGGTAAGATCCAACCAAAGGATGCCGAGCGGAAAAACAAAGAAGGTGGAGCAGGGTCGAGGAATAGGCGCCTAGGCGCTGGTCATAGAGCAGGAAGTCGCAGTGCCTTAGGAGCTCCAACAACGACGTCGTCTAGTCCTGAAGATGACAAAATCCGCAGCGAAGTACAAGACATGGAAGTGCTGTATGGAGGTAGCAATCCGCCAGCATCTGCTCAAGCGGAGGTTGCACGACCGGATGAAGCTAGTATAAGAATAACTCCTGCAGCACCGGAAACAGAACAACTAGAACCACCTACAGCAGAAACAGCACCTGCCGCTGCAAGTGCCGTGTACAGCTTGGATTCGGGAAGAGAGATGCCCAGTAGCGCCAGAGAAGAAGCACACGACGAGAGTACACAAGTATTAGTACTGGCTGAGGGTGAAGGTGACGGTGATGTTGTCAGTCGTGTCACATCGCATGTTGTTGAAGAAAAACTAGGACCCGATGGAACATCAGCTGCGCCTCCTCCAGAGTCTGTTGCTGAACGTGCGGTGTTTCAAGTTGTCGAAGATCAACAAGCGGTACAGGATGTGCTTCTCTCTAGCAAGGGAGCGCGAATGGAGGAGGAAAAGGACGATGAACGAGCGCGTGCAGAAGTTAGTGCCGAGCCAGCCGCAGCAGCTCCAGATGTAGAAGAAACTCGCCAAGCCGAAGGAGCACCCGCAACAACTGAGGAATCATCTGCCCCATATCAATCTGTTGCTAGTAGAAGAGCAGAGGCCAACAAGAGAAAGGCCATGGCAAGGACTAGAAGATCAGCCACGGTCATGATGCCCCCTGAAGGCGTCATGATAGATAAGGAATCTGCTCCTCTTCCTGCGGCGGCACCAAGAACAGACGGAGTAGATATCGTAAAAGATCTTCTTGGAGGAGAGCACGTCGCTGCAGAAGAACATGCTGGTATTGCTGCGGCTGCACAGGAACAGGAAGGACAATTAGAGGTGGAGGAGTCAACACAGGCAGTGCCAGCAGTAGATGAAGTTGCCCCTGCCGCACCTCCAGCAGCAGAAATTGCTGAAACAAGGAGTCGTGTGCCAGCATCAGTTCCAGTACCACTCGAACAAGATCATGGAGAAGTCGAAGCTGCTCTTCTCTCGTCTGCTTCTGCAGAACAGCCTGAAGGTCGAGAAGAAACCGAGTACCAAGATGACGGCCCAATCCTTGGAGAGGAAGAGGACGGCGTGGTGGAGGTATCGCCCGCAGAAGCTGATGATGATATTAACGACGAAATTCTCGGTCGTGCTTATGTGGAAGATAAGGAGCAGCCGGCTGCAACAGTTGCTCCTGTTGCAGAGAAAGAACAACAGCTTCAGAAGTCCAAGGCCGCATCAGGTAGCGAGGAAGAGCAGCAAGACGCGACGCATGCAGTCAACGTCGAAGCACGAACTGAACCTCAGACAGCACCACAAGAGCAGAAGCAAGAACAGGAGGTACTAGGCACTGAGCAAGATGATGCCCCGGTTGAGGAGGCTCCACAGGCCTCACCCTCACCAGCCAGTTGTGCGATGCTTGATACCGCGCGATCTTCTATCGATACAGAGACCCAAGAGCGAGCTGAGGTTGAGGAGGAACGCAAACGCGCTCGAGCCTTCAAGGAAGAGCTTGGATTTCAATCCTCTGAGATTGAGGTGATCACTGATGACGGTAGCAGTTTGAGGCATGGAGGGATTTGAGGAGGTGAAGACAAAGAATAAGATGAAGATGAAAGGTACTTAGGCCGTGCATATTGTTCATGTGATTGTGATAACTACCATTAAATTTAAAACTCGTACTGCTGTGCATATCATGAAGCGAGATCAACATTACCAATCAGGCATCGTAAAAGATATCAGAGCTTAATCCACTGAGTAAATCTCTCTTGACGACAAAAAAGCGAAAACGCGTGTAACTCTCAACTTTGAACTCTGAATGAAGCCACAGTCAGTGGCTTACTGATCTCTCAAACATCATTACTTCGTAGCTACCTTTTACAATTCGAAGAAGATTATCTAGATTGGAGTGCATAAGATAAACGAAATTCCACCAGTAGAACTTCTACACCAACCAGAACTAGAAATTGCATATTTTCGTTACAGTAGAATGTGACTTTGAACAACTCCTGCTGAGAACTGGAAAACGTAAGTATTTGCATCGATCATAATGAAGTCTAGACATATGTGCTTCGGATGATTAAGTGATCAACATGGAAGCATTATTGAATCCAGAATATAACAATAAACAACACCCAGTAGGAAGAACTGTTCTAAAGTCTGTAGCATGCATGCGATCAATCCAGCGGTATTGACAGCCTAAAGCAAATTAGTTTCCCAGAAAAGCTAAGTTGAAGTCTGGCAGTAAATAGGATGAGACAGTAAGTAGTTACGATCTAGTACATCGATTTCAATCGAAAAAGTTTCTTGCATTATGAACTTGAACAGCAGTGAATTACTACACATGTTGTACAGTACGTGGAAACTGCAAGTAGGACGCTAGTATTCAATATTGAACAAGACATGTTAGATATTCATTCCCCCAATCACAAAGACCCCATAAAACAATGAAACAGAGAGCACTATGTATAGTACAAAAGAAGTGACATCAGGTGGAAAAACCACGTTCAACTTGCGGACACGTTTCCCACTCCGCTCCTGCTTTGTCGGTTTTGAGTTCTCTGTTACTCTAGTTCTACCTCTGTCCTGTGCATCTTCTAACAAACTCTGTGACTTCATCGTCTGAGAGCAAGAGAACACTTGCGTCTCCCCCACAAGCCTTGGAAGCACATCGAACACGCTGCTAGAGTAGATACTTTCAGGATGACGTCGTAGTTATACTTTCGAAGAGACGTCGAAATGATGACGGCTGTCCTTGGAATTCGAAAACTTTGCCTGCTCTTTGGTTTCACCAGCATAACAGCTGTTCACGTTCACCCTTGGAACGAAAATCCGTATGAACCAGCGGCCCCGCTCGAGCCAGAGCATGCAGACAACGATGGGAGCGGGCCACCAAAGAGAGCGTTTGATATCTTTTACGAATTTTCTTTTCTTTTCTGGCTGGGCTAGCCTCCTTTGGTCCCTCCCTCTATTGCATGTTTAAACTTTCCCTGTCGTTGTTGTCCAAATCTAGTGTTCTTACTGCACCAGCTCTTCAAGCGCTGCACTTTCCCTATTCATTCTCTAATTTCATTATAACTGCTAACAAACTTCTAATGGTTGTTCCTTTCTTCCTTGTAGAACGAAGCAGACTTCTTCTACTTGTGATAGTTGGACTTAGGCAAAGCTGGGATCAATATGAGCGAGCATTTGATTTCTATTAAGTGAGCTTGATTCCATAGCCGTACCTGCTTTTCTCGCGAACACTTTCCCCACGCACGACCTTCATTCCCCCGGCGGAAACCCGGCAAAAGACCAAGTGAAGGACAATGCACAGCAGGATTTGGATTACCCGTCATGCAATTGCGTAGCAGACTGCTTCGCGATGCTGATACCAGGTATGCCGCCGCTGGTAAAAAACTACTCCTGTGAAGCTGCAGAAGCGTTTCAACTGCAAGAGGAAGAAGGAGAAGCGACAGATGTACTTTCTCTGACGACTAAAACTAGACCTAGCATAAATCCATCTTGGTGAGCATCCTGGTTCCCGTTTTCCCTTGAGAAACGGGACCAAGATGCCAGGGAAGATGCATTTACTGTAGCCTTAATAAAACTACTCCTGTGAAGCTGCAGAAGCGTTTCAACTGGTATGACGATGAACAGGAAATCGAAGTTTGCTTACCAATAGAACAAGAACTTCTTGCTTTTTTTTCCCCAATAGACGGACTTGTTTTAGTTATTTACTCTCTAAATGTTCTTGAACATATGGATATGCCACAAGGTACACAAGAAAGCCCTCTCCGAAGCGCGTTATTGTGCTGTTGTGGTCAACAAGCGGGGACGAGAGGAATTGACCACGCCTGCTAGATTTTGCGCTGTCCATTGCAAGCCACCGCCTAGCCATTGTGAGGGAGAAAGCGGATGCGATATCGGTGACCGGTGTATTTCTGCTTGAACTGACGGCACAGTACTTCATATTTCATCCTTGTTGTAAAGCGACCTTGCACAGATAATGAAGATGCAGCGAGGATTACTTATATTTTTTCCATTTTGATATTAGCACTGAGGTCCATCGAGATTGACATTGCCGCTTTTAGAAAGATAATGCACCTCGAGAACAAATCTACCCATGATGCATTGACTGAACAGAAGCTTAAGCTTATGCTGGTGATAGGAAAAATTGTGGATCATGCCCTTCAATAATGCACCTGCTGTCAACAACATATGTAAAAAAGTACATCTGAGATCTACGACTCGTCATAATCACTATGGGAAAGAAAAATGTCATTTTGTCTCTTGGAACTTCTAAATTTCATCAAAATTATCAAGATCTCGAAACCGTTCAAAAAGATCCGAAAACGCTCTTAAATGTGAAGAACGTGATGTAGAAATCGATCTTCTCTGTTGTACACGTGAATCGGAAGATTCTGTTAGAGAGATTCATTTAACTCAACATCCATTAAGCATCTGTATGAGATTTCAAAACCTGCTCTGTCATGAGTTGAACAAAAAGATTCTTACCCAAAATTTAAACGCAGCGGAATTGTTTTGATCAATTAGCTTTCGAAGCGCAACGTGCGAAAAATCATACTCGAAAAAATATATCCTTCTTTTGACATGATCTAGAATAAGGTGAGCACTCTAGTTCTACGAAGGCATATTATATTATTGTTTTGAGTTTGAACCTCATCAAGCTCAACCTCCTGAAAAGAGTTGATTCTTCGAAGAGCGCGCGCTATTCGCAACAATACGCTCTACCTTCCAAGTTTTGACCCTAACTGTTAATAGTGCCGACAGCTGCTTCTTTAGTGGAGGTGACACCCCCTTTCTTTTGTTGTTTTGAAACTTGGAATTTACGCTCATTCTTCATAATTGAGGTATCGATGGAGGTGAAGTAAAATAGTAGGGGAAGCATAAGCAAATAGAAGCACTTGGCACACACGAGAAGTTGTAGGCCTAGGCGTGATGTGTATAACTATTTTTGGCTCGTAGACTTCTACACCTAAGAATTTCGCCGTTGTTTACTAGCTACCACCGTCTTGCTTTTTCTAGCAGTAGGACGAAGAGAGAAGTACTTTCGAGTATTAATACGGTATTAAATAACAGTATACTAGAAGTTGTTGATAAAAATAGCTAAACGTAAAGAACCTAAAGCGAAACGCACACCAGAAAAAAAATGTCCTTCACGTTCACGTCGAACGGCGCCAAAGGCCCCGACGCATCCCACGGTTTACCCGGTGCTGATGGTTGCAGCGGTTCCGTTCTCGTTTTCAAACATGGTGAGAATGGCCACCGTGGCGGCGATGCGGGACCCGCCTTTGCTGGTATGCCTGCCACTGGTGTGGTCGTTTGGCTTTCGTCAGGTCTCGACGCCAGCGATCCCCAGAATAGTATCGTGCGAGTTCAGGGTGCGTGTGCAGCAGGCAAAGTAGACGAAACCATTGCTGCGGAAAGCTTGGATCAGGTTCACTGTGAGGCGATTGGAGGACCGGGAGGACATGGAGGGTAGACACCCTGCTCTACAACTTTAAATTTGCATTTTGTTTATTCACACTTTTAGATTAATAACCTGATGTCGACGACAACTTTGTAATAAAATCAAGTCCCACGACGACAACTACTCCTCCTTGTTATTCGCTACTTTCTTCCTCAACAACTACAGCATTGGTGGTCCCGGAGGTCGTGGTGGACTGGGTGCTCCAGGTGCGCCAGCCACGAGGTATACCCCTGGTAGCAACGGAGGAGATGGCGGTGACGGAGGTGACGGCGGCTTCGGTTCCCACGGTGCGCCAGGTGGTTCCGGAGGTGTAGTCCAAATCAAGATGAACGAACAGGATGCCTATTTGATTATGTCCGTCGATCAAGCAAGAAATCCGGACTTTCTTGTCACAGGTGGCGCAGGTGGTGCGCCAGGAAGGCACGGATCCGGAGGTATTCGAAAACTGAAAATAACCGAGTTAGTGACTGAAATAAGGGAGGTAGCTTTGACAGGGCTACTCTTCCTTGTTCAGTATCTCGCTTTTTTTCAGTAGTTACTCGCTTATTTTAGTTTTTCGAATACTTGGCTTCTATTTTCCTTTCCTTTTCCTTGCTGCAGCTGCATGATGTTGTTTTTGAAAGAACACTACGGTTTTTTTTACGTCAACACTTTCTACTTGTACTTCTAACTACTTGTTCAACAACATCTTCACCATCTATCTTACAACCTTATCGCCGCGAATTGGAATCTCTATCCTACTTACTCAGGGCCCGGCGGTTCCGGAGGTCTGGGCGGTTCACCTCACTTCTGGACCACAACTCGGTACGAGTACTACACAGACAGTAACGGAAACCGAAATTCGCACCCAGTCACTGAGAGTCATAGCATGCCTGGGGGGATGCCGGGTTTGAGCGGACGAAGAGGTATGACCCCGATCACTCCTTTGGCCGGCGGTGGCCAAGGTGCACCAGGTACCTTCCAGATGGTGATCTGCAGTGCAGTCAACGGACAGGAGATGGCTTTTGAATCCAGGTACCATTTGGAAGCCAACGATTTCCAGATCAAGGAATTTGGGCACCTGAACACCAATAGCGGAGAAACCTTGCCAGATGGCGTTTTCGAGTTCGGACAGTGCTGCTACATCGATGGCATTTCGGTCAAAAATGTGGGTGGCATGCCAACGCCATCTATGCAGAGGCAGATGATCCGGTTGATGCCAGGAAGGTGGGTCAATCCTGGAGGGGATGAGACCGGCACCCAAGACGCAGTGTACACAATCCGAGGGATGGCGATCGACCAAAACACTGCAGTCGCTGTAGATGGTCAATTGCGTTATCAGATTGGTATGATCGAGCTTGGGGCTTTGGACAATGTGGACTTTGATCCGCCTGTGCTGAAGGAGAGCGTGAAATTGAACGCTCTGCAGCTCGGAATCGAAACAGAAGGGTATCACGGTCCAAATACGAAGTATCAGAAGGAATTCGACAACTTCCAAGACGGGGACATCCAAGTGATGAAAGTGCAGTTTCCAGCACAAAACATTCAAGGTTTTTTAGGCTTAAACAGTTTGGCTGCTGGCGAGAGTACGGTAGTGCAGTTTCCGATCAAAAATATCTCAACTTTGCCAATGGGCCACATGCTGGGAGGACGTAACGTCGGAGTCCGAGTCTTCATGGCGGGAGGGACCAGCTTGAACACGGATAACATCGAATTCGCTTTCGCTGGTTACAAGTTGCCCAAAGTAACCGATCAGAATGGCAATCTGATCGAAAACCCCAAGGAGAAAGAGAATGTTTACAACCCAGACTTTTTCGGAGCCCAAGCAAGAGGAGTGACCAAAAGTGGAGAAATTCTTCTCGACTTGAGTCCTGGCGCCACACAAGGCCAGCCCCACGTTAGCGGCGGCATGGATCCCACGCCTATTGAAAGCGGCGTCTTCTTCGCAGTGCCGATGTTGCCGGAATCCAGTCTAAGCACCCTGAAAATGCGCGTCCGATTGAACAAAAACGTCCCTGCTTACGCCTACGGTGAACTCAGAGCGTTTTTGTACCTAGAGGACTTGTACGCGAAACAGTGGAGACTGATCCAAAAGAGGATGATGGATATCCGCTGTGAGCCCACTTTCATGCCTTCAGAGTATACACAGGCGATTCTCGTGACCAGCTCCAGCACCACCCAAGGAGAATTCGATGCTTGGATGAACCTGTTGGCAAGCGAATTCGGTCTGATCACCAGTGTCTACTCCGTCTCTCGGTATGGCGCGTTTTCTCCAGCGGAGACGGTCTTGCTGGAAGACCATGATGCTGCTGCTGCAATGAACAACCAGATGAATACGGGACAAGAGGGGCATCTTCAAGAGCAGCAATTGATAGAGAAACGAATTGCGGATTTTTTGCCTGGAACACTGGTAGTGGTCTTAGACCGAGAGTTTCAGGTGGATCGTGGGGTCAATGCTGCTCCGAGTGAGCTGGCGTTGCAAGGATGGGCAACAAGATGCTATAGAGGAAATGCAAAGAAAAAATTGGGTGGCGCATCGAGTCAGGCCATTCAAGTTTCCGGTCCTTCGTACTTGATCGTCTCGGACAAGCCAAATCAAAAGGCGTTCCAAGATAGACCCAGTTTGACTGGGGTGAAGCACAAAGTTTGCTCAAGTCTCGGGTCTATGGACGCGGCGAAGCGTTGCAGGACTTACCCTAGTGTGGAAGCCTACAAGGAGTCTCAGCGTGGCATCTTTAGGCGTGGAGACACCGTGCGCCTCGGAAACCGAGGAGGCCAGCCAGCTTTTGGCATAGTCCAACGCTTTTTGAGATTGCAAGGTGGCGCCGCTTCGTACGGCGCGACCTCCGGCGGAGGCAAGAAGCTAGCCCAAAACAACACCGCGATTGGTGGCGAAGCAGTCTACCTAGTTGCGGACATCGATCCAAATACCGCGAATCCGAGATCTGGTCCTATGAATGTCGTCGCGGACGCTTACGGCAATCAAGGACAGCAGATGCAGAACAAGGCGAACACTAACGAAGGCAAACTAATGGAGATTCCGGCTTCGCAAATGCAGCACTATAGTTTCCCGTCAGTCAGTGCTCACTGGACGGACGAATCTCTGGACCCGATGGCCGAGTACGAAGCTATTCAGGTTGAAATGAAGCAGAGCTGTTGTGCTGGCAATGCACAACCATCTTTCCACGAGAGAAACTCAGCTTTGTTGAAGAAAGCCAAGGAATTGGAGGATTACTTGTACGACACATGGTCGAACTTGTCTTACACAATTGTGGCTGTAGATGCAGCGGTCGTGAATGCAGGTCCTACGCGGGATTTGCGCTACGACCCCCACACGCATAGACCGCAACTCCAGGAAGCTGGAAGTGCTTGCTGCGGAACCAACTGGTTTATCGGCGAATTGCGAGTTTTCTCCATGCGAAAGCCACTTGACGGCAAGCTGATGCGGCCTCGCGTCTACCACATGGTCCCAGACAGCGGCAACGCAGCCATTGGTGGCGCCGAACACCGACAAGTCGAACAGCAAAGACAGAAGCGCCAAGGCTGGGACAAGATGTCCATGCAATACGGTGTAGCCAAAGCTCTAGAACCAGCGTTGCAACTGTTTATCATGGCGCAGAAGCCCCACATGGCTGTGGTTTTGCTGGAAGCGATCGTTTCAAACTTTGCTCAGGAGATGTTCGAGTGCGTCGACTCTACCGAAGAAAAAACCCGTGATGAAACACTCCGTTGTATGCCTACGCTGAAACAAGTTTTGGGACTCAAAACATTCTTGAACATCGCCGCTGCAACTTCTGCTGCACAGCAAGCTGATGGAACAAACCATGGCGGGGTTACATCAAGAATGAGTAGCAATGCAGGCCCACCGACTATGGATCCCCAACTTCGAAAATTGGTCGCAGACATGGTGTCGCAGATGGTCGCTCTGACGCGGGCTCCAGGCTGTCATCGTTGGTGGCAATGCTGTTCTAAGTTTAGAGTGCGTGCGAAAGTGATTAGACAAATCTTGGAAGACGAAGTCTGCAAAGCTTTGGGAATTCGAGTTGACAAAGCGGTAGTGGAAAGAACCCACAAGCAGATCAAGGAATGCTTGGGAGACAAGGGAACAAGCAGGGCAGGAGTTTTGGGAAGGTATTTTTTGCAACCACGCACTGCGTTCGGTTATTTCGGATATTGCTCACTCCTACTGTCACTTAGGCTTTATCTTAGAGTTGTACTCAAAGGTTGACGTGCTTCTGCTTAACGCTTCACATTCCTGTTTCACGTACCACCACCTCGCAAAAATTCTTGTCATTTTCTATCCGTATCCGTCCATACATCTTCCAAATCCATCGACCCTCAGGTATTCCGCCCGCGGTTTTGTCCGATATGTCGTTCCATCCCAGGGTAAGATGGCGCAGCAACAGTTGAAGGCTAACGTTTCACTTGTGCAGGAGCTCTACGATCAAGTGCAAGCTGACAAGGAATTACCGCAACATGTCGTCCCAGGACAGGTCTACGAAAACATTTGCATTCATGCAGCGAAAGCAGTGCAGGTACTTTAATTCCTGTATCTTCATTTTGTCACCAAGGTTCGCATCATCTTCACCATTTTTCCTATTCAGGTTATAAGGTTTACTATGCATAATGTTACCTCAAGCAGTGCATACTGTCACTCCCTCCCCCACAAGATCATGTTCATGAACATCAACACCTCACCAGATCGCGCATTCCAAGCGTGAACGCGTTCGGCAAAAGCGCGCACTCTACGCGTCCAACAGCGGTTCCTCGGATCAGATGGATCATGGTTCGGCGCCCGTGTGGGAGAACTTCGAACCGCAGTTCGTGGAAAACCTGGCGATGCCTGCTATGGCGTTTGAGCAACAGGCCTTCAACCATGGTGGCTTCCAGCCACCGACTGCGCCACTGGCAGCACCAAGTGGCTGGGACCACCAGGCTGCTGAGAGTAGTGGCACTCAACAATGAGCAGCACAAAGTGGCTGGGACCAGGCTGCTGAGAGTAGTGGCACTCAACAGTGAGATCGTCCAGTAGCAGGAGGATGAAAAGCAAGCGGTCTTTCTTGGGAAGATGAATGTGAATGGTGTGAAGTGGCCTTAGGCAGACTGCCGAATAGATTCACATCATCATGAAAGGTGTGAATGTAGTGTCGCCATAGAAGCAGAGGCACACCCTGATATTTAACGATAATACAGACATTATTAACACAGATAACCTTGAAGATAATCATAATTAGTGATACACAAATTGATGATATTGATGATTTGACTCATTTGCCATTGGATTGTCCAATGTGGTGCGTTTTTACATTACGTATATCAAGTCCAATCATGGTGGTGGATGTTTTAGAATGGAGTTGTTTGCTTCTATCTTAGAAGTAGACAACGGATTTGTGGATGATCATATACAAGTACTACATGATGTACGAGTTCAAGGGGAGCAAAGTTTTCCTTTTCTTGAAGACTAAAAACTAAACAAGTCCATGAAACTCGTACAACACGTTTAAACTTGACCAAGTTATTGGAGCTGACCACAAAGACGATAGAAATGGCACTCAGAAGACGCTATCAGAATCAGAAAAACGCGAAGTTGTAATAAACAGTCGAAGGTGGACATCAAAAGCGTTTCGTTAATGTTGAGGAGTAACATCTATTGAACTTGAAGGAGCTACAAAGTTTGTAGTACAAACCTAAACAAAAAATCGACATCCAAAATTTGTACTCTTCTACCTTTAAAAGGCCAGCGGTCTTCCTCTGGTTGATTTTTGTTCTCAGACTACTTACAAGTTGTGAGGAAGAGGACAGGGTCGTCCGGACATTGAAATAGTTTGAGTAGAGAGCACAAGGACAAGCACAGAGATTGGCCTATAAAAAAATATCAACATTATAATACCACTACCACAGTCATAAAAAAAACATGTCGTCCTCTTCCAGCACGACAACTTCATCTGCCATCAAGCAGATCAAGCCGCTCTCTTTCCCCTTCGAGACTCCAGACCCTTTCCTGTTCTGCGTTTACCACAAAGACCTCTACCCAGCTGGCAATGATAGAATGGAAGCACCGAGAACTGGAAATGGCGCTGACTTCGATTCCAAAGCGCCTTATCGAATGTATCATGGCTCTGGTCGCGTTCCGGGCTTCCCTCAGCATCCGCATCGCGGCTTCGAGACTATCACCTGTACATTGCAAGGACACATTGATCACACGGACAGCATGGGAAACTGCGGACGATACGGCGAAGGGGATGTCCAGTGGATGACGGCTGGGAAAGGGATTTGTCACAGCGAGATGTTTCCGCTAGTGCACTCGGACAAACCGAATACGCTACAGTTGTACCAGATTTGGATAAATCTTATGGATAACTGAGTCCTCTCTTCCACTAACTCTAAGCACCCACTTGAAAAAACATAGATACTAGACACAAGAAAATGAAAAGTGACTTCCACCTCTTTCTAAACACCTACCAAAAAAGAACAAGATGGTCGATCCGTCTTTCTGTATGCATTGGGCAGACCGGATTCCGGTGATGAACAGTGACAATAGTTCGCTCATTAAAGGACAAACAGCCAGTGTACGAATTTGGGCTGGAAATTGGCCTGGAGGTGCAAGAGGTTTGGATCCACCACCAAATAGCTGGGCGAGCACTGCAGCAAATGAAGTCGCGGTGTATTCGGTAGAGCTGCGACAGAAGGGAGATGAAGTGACGGTACCCCCTGCGTCGGATTCGTCAGTGAATCGCGCGCTGTATTTCACTGAAGGCACTTCTATTCTTTGCGGCGGGAAGAGCCTGGGTCAGCACTGTCACGTAATTCTTGATGCAGAGAAGGAATGCGTTTTGAGCTTTGCTGTTATGCTGAAAAAGGAGACTCTCGAGCTAATCGAGGTAGTATGTGTATCAGTATCTATTAGTGAAAAAGAAAAGATCAGCCAGGATTAGACCAGATTCCCACTTTCATACCAAGCCACAAACCGGAGGAAACTCTGTGTTTAATATTGCAAGGAAAGCCTATCGCCGAACCTGTGAAACAATATGGGCCTTTCGTCATGTCCACGACGCAGGAAATTCAGCAAGCCTTCCAAGACTACCAATCTACCCAATTTGTTAAGGCTGACCTCTATTTTGGGCACAGACGCTTCATGATTTTTTTCTATTGTTTCATCGTAGCACTACTCGAAATTCCATCGTAGCACTACTAGATGTGAAGTATTCCAGTCTGGAATACTTCAACTTTTACTTTCTAATGAATGGTTCCGGTATTTGGTAACCTGAATTTGATCATAAAAAGGGAAAACAAGAAGAGAACCCTTGTGATCAAATTCAGGTTACCAAATACCAGAACCATACACCTAGTCGATCCTAGAAATCAAACCATCCCGATTCCATCTTCTCACCACTCTGCCGTGCAGGACGTTCTTACCTCTAAAATTTGCGGTTGGCCTTGGGATTCCGAAGCTGTGGTATTTCCCAAGACTAAAGGAAGATTTGCAAAGCTCAATGGCAAAGAAACGAATCCTGGGGTAGCTGCGTAGATTTAGATCAGACTAAGACTAATAGTAAAATACAAGGACTTGCAGCATCATCATCAATGTCCTCATCATTCAATGAACAGACGACGATTTTTCTTTTCGCATAGCTCAATCTGTAAGAAGGAGATTTTAAATCTTCAATCATTTAATTGCATCAAATAACATGAGTTTCGTCCTTATGTAAAGCGCAACCTGAGTAAAAGATTTCATGCTGTGTGGTACCATACACATACGTCATAGGGGTACGGCCAAATATAAAATGCGTGTACAGATGTAGCTTGCCATGCGCTATATTATTGTTCGCTCCTTTCGCCGCGCTCACGCAATACTGCCCTTGTCTGTCTTAAGACTGATGTTCTTTGTTCGTTGATCCTTCTTGCTGAGAGATTGTTGGATGATCGTGATCCGATTTCAATTTCAGATGAGGACCCTTAGGCATTTACAGAGATCCGCGACGAAAAAAAGAAAGCTGCGCGCTTCATCTAGAGTTCGATCACATTCTCAAGTATTTCCAAGTGAGAAACACAAACAGACTGACAGATTGCATGTTGCCATGAAAATTGACGAACTTCTGTCTACTGGTCAAAATCGGTTTCTGAAAGTGAAGAACGTAAAGATTCGGAAACAGAACACCAATAGTAAGTATCTGAACAACAACGCTCGCGGTCGGTATCAAGTAACAATATAACTAAATAGTGTCATCTTGTGTCTCTCCTGTCTTCTGCCTGTCATCTGTCTGTGAACGTGAATCTGAGTCCGACGAGTGGCATAAGGAGATATCTTCTGTCGAGGCATTGATTGATTCGGTAGGATCCCATACTCCTCTTCCCACAACAAACTAACTGCTGACCAACGTCGCTGCCTACTTTTGCTGACGCCAAGGCGTGAGTAAGTACAAGTAGAAGTAGATCTAGATGTTCAATATAAATATAATGACTTACTAATGAAAGCGGCTACAATCTAAGCAATTCGTCACTCTTCTCTTCATATAAGTCGCTAACAAGAAGATGCACTTGTAGATGAAGTAGCGCAAGTTTTTGGATGTTGTTACATTGCTTCTCATTTCACTACGAGAAGAGTAAGTGTTGATCGATATCGGGCGCTGTGGACTCAGACGGTGAGAGTGAGAAGATCTAGATCCATCACTCTCGGTATATTAATAAGAAGTCGAATTCTTGCAAGTGTTTCTACAGCACTCATCGATATCTTCGAGAAAAGAGAAAGAATGAAGGTCGTCATTCTTGGAAGCGGCAGTGCTGTGGGGCAAACGCTTAGCTTGCTACTACAGAAGAATGAGAAGATCGATGAGCTACGTCTTTTTGACGTGACCGCTGAACTAAGCCAAGGCACGGCCCTGGAACTATCTATGCTTCCTGGTGGGTGTAAAACGGTAACTGAATACAAATTTACGTGGGTGCTTTGACGAGTACTATGAGTTTGACCTAAGGATGAGTTCTTGCTTTTTTCTCGGGGTGCTCCACACAAGTAACATCACGTACATAGGGTCAATATCAAATGACAAGGTAACCGCTTTCGCTGGTATGTCCGAAGTTGGAAAGGCTCTCGCAGGCGCCGACATCGTATGCATTGCAGCAGGCGTTTTTATTCGATCAGATCAGTCGAAAACTGCCGCGAGTGGCTTTACGCCTGTAGTAGAAAGTTATGACTGGTTCGAGCGCATTTTCATTCAAATTCCCTTGTACAAGAGTATCTTCGTCGGTAGTTGGTTCATAACTCGTCCCGATCTGTCACTTTCACTGTGGTAGTGGTAGGCTGTAGCTGTGTACTAAGTTCCTTTCTCTTCTCTAATCAAAAAGACGAGACCTTGCGCCAAAAAGGGATGAGAAAGTAGAGGATGCCAATTTCATTCGAAATGCCAGGATAGTGAAACAACTGGCAGACTGCGTTGCCAACCACGCACCAAAGGCTATGGTCTGCATACTGGGAGATCCGAAACTCATGGCGAGCAAGGTATTGTTCACTTTGAATTTCACGGAAGATTAGTGTACTTCTGCTACTGTTACTACTTCTTTTGCACCTTCACCAGCATCAGGATCTAATCGCTTTCTCTTCACTGGCACTGACTCCAGGTTGCAATATTTTCGAGTGTGATGAAGATGCATGGCGTGCATGATCGAAAAAAGCTTGTCGGTGTCACCGGCATTGATTCCTTACGAGCGACCAAGATGGCGTGTGAAGCAGCTGCAGCTGCGATGTCTGTTGGCAGTCTTTCTTCGAGGTCAACTGCTTCCTCAGGGTCAGGACAAATTCCTACCAGAACTGAAATGGAACAACAATTTCAGGTCGATGTAATCGGTGGTCATGATGCCTCTAGCATTGTCCCGCTACTTTCTTCCTTCTTCATCATCGCAGCCACTGGTACTAGTTCTTCCTCCTCCATTCCTGAGATGACATGTGAAGACATTACGAAGCGTGTACAGAGCGCATCTCGGGAGATTATCGATGCAAAGGGTGGCAATAGCGGGGGAGCACTCTCTATCGCCCACTGTGGTGCAGAATTCGTGAATGATGTAATCCGATCTACGTGGCCACCTGCACCTGCTGCTCATCGACAACAGCAACAACCATCAACTTCCACACTCTACACAAAGCAGGGGAAACAACCAGGTCTTTTCGCTTCTTCACCTACTACGCATGAAGTGCTGCAGTCATCTGGTTCTGCCGCTACTGCTAGCCGTGTCAGAGTGGCATCGGCCTTTGTAGAACTTGAGAAGTCACTGAAGTTTGAGTTTCAACATCCTACTTCGCTGGTGAAAGATGGAGGCAACTACGGGACTACTCTTGACTTAGATTTTCTTGCAGTGCCATTGATACTAGAGAATGGATGCATCAAACAAACACTGGAGAATGAGACTTTGGTCGAACGGTGTAAAGCAGTGTTTGGCAATGGCAGCAGAAGACAGTCAACCACTGATGAAAAGCAACTACAAGGACAACAACATCAACTATCCGATTACGAATGTTCCTTATTACGCAGTATGGCTCCCCTAGTAGCGAAGCAGATAGAATCAGGGAAAGCCTTTCTGCGAAATGCTTCGTTGGCGATAGTACAAGTTTCCTCCTCCTCTGCCACTTCACTTGCCACCTCCAGTCCGTCGCGACGCGGGGCGAAAGCTACTGACCCTGTCGCGCACTCAAGTTCTCCAGAAAGGTGTCGTGGTGCGAAGCCTTTTCAACTTGTCACTGGAACAAGATATGGAACAAGTAGTGGCACGACAGGCACCAAGACTAGTATCATGCCAAACAGCCGAACCGGTTCTCCCATTGCCGCAAACGCTAGTATCTCGGCTTTTAGCATTCCAAAGCCTTCGACTTTCGCATTTTCAACAGCTACTATTTCTCAACAAGAAGGTCCTCAACCTCAACAACGAAGCAGTCGCTCCAGAAGTATCACCAGCAGCCCTTCACAACAACACCACAGCGGGGGGCATCACCGGTTGAGTAATTACAATATGCGGACAGCGTCTACTGTGCGGGAGATATCACTATCGTCTATTGGGGGAACAGGTACTGCAAAAGGGATCCACACAGCCCACGCTTCGTCGGCTGCGATGCCCGTCGTTGCGAAAATTCGTGAGGATCTCGCACGTGGGCAATCCTATCTTCAGGCGCCTGCGAGGGTCTTAGCAGCAACCAACTCCAAAGTGTCACAGGTAGTTGCTCGCTCAGCTTCAGTTAGCAAAGTTTCAATCCTGAATTATACACCAGGAGTAGCTGCAGCCTCTCCAGCGCTCAATTTTACGACCTCTTCAAGTCGTGCGGTCTCACCCGCCGCGGCCGTGTCTTTATCGACTAGAGCTGCTACTAGAACGATCATGAGCAAAATGACCGTTGCTTCCGTAGATGGCACAGCGACTTCTTCTTTACCAGGTGCGGCGGCGTCAGGTATGCTACTCACTACAGGCGCTGTGGTTTACAAGGCGGCAACAAAAACACTGCCTTCGCCAAGACAAGAAGGAGCTCGCACAGTAATCGACACCTTTAGCGCGCGTCAGCGGGTGGCGTCTCCGGTTTCTGTCGTTGCTGTACGCGACGGAAGAGCTGAATCAAAATCATCGCCTGCAACAGCTTCTCGTAGAATTGTGGCAAGTAATACGACTTCGTCGCAACTGCTGTATACTACAACTGCCAGTGGTGCTAGCAGCAGAGCCCCAGGGACACGGCAGGAGGACACGACAACTGCAGCATCTTCACAATCTCAACTACGAACTTCAGGAGTACAACAGTCTCCTGCAGCAGTTGCAGTTGCAACATCAACTACCAGCCAAAGTGGAGGTCTTCCGACAACCATAACTCTTGCACCCCTTGCGTCAACCACTGGAGACATCTTGAGCGCTTCAAGTTCGATGACCTCCCTGCTGAGGTCCTCCAAGATGTCCTCTAAGGGGTCAACGGGTAGACCAGGTCAACCGCGTATCAGTCTGTCTGAACGCACGCCACTGGGAATCACCGTGCCTGCATTGGCGCAGAAGATTCCTCAGCGCAGTTCAAGGGATGTTTCGCCATCGATTGGTCCACTGAACATACCAGTGATTAAAACTACGACTCAAGGTGTCGGTGAAGGTGGCTTTCCCGGATCTTTTGGAGCAGCTACAAAAAGATCTTCTAGCACTTCTAGAAGCACTACACTTGTCCAAGCACGACAAGCTCAAGCACAAGGTCCTACCACTGCCACTTTTTCCAGTTCAGCATCAACAATATCCTCACGAACCCAGAATCAATTCACAGTCGACGTTGGACCGCCGTCTCGTTCTGTAGCGATGCGTGAAGACAGATTAGAAACTGCTAGACCTCGCGTCGGAGCAGATCCGAGTCATCCTAAAAAATTCGGCCACGACGAAACAATCTCAAAAGATGCGGTCGAAACAGGAGACACTTTGTCGGATCGAGAGGGCTACGACCGCACCCATGCACCTGAAGGTCAAAGGCACTCGACGAGACGGTCGCTTTCGCCAGCGATCAGTGATGGCAAAGGACGCAGTCTCGTTGAAGAAAGCACTTTTGTTGGTGTGGAAGCGACTGCGACGGGACAAGTTTTTATTCCACCTACGCCTACATCGGGCGCTAGAAGCAGCGATCAGCAGAAGAAGACTGTTGTAGAGCCAGCAGATGTTGAACCAGTAGTTGTACAACTACAAGAAAAGGAAAACCACCACCAGCAGGAACAGAGGGGTCAAGGCCGTACTCAGCAGTCTGAAGTAATTTTGACAGGCGAGGAGATTGAAGTTTCTGCTTCGGGGTCCTCGGGCTCAGCATCCGAAGGAGACACAATAAATGCGAACGCCGGGACTTTGGGTGCAGCTAGTAAAAATTCCAAGAATAGCAACATCATCTTTGCTGCATCTGCAGGTCTTCCTGATGAAGAGTCAACAAGAACATCCAAACCTGTCGAAATGACCTCAGGAACTCTACTTGGAACTGGAGGAGCCGACTCCTTAGGCAGACGCCGTAGCAGTCGTAGTCCCATGCGGCAGAGTAGCATAATAGGTTACACAGTCGGACACGACGTCGTTCATAATCCCAGTCTTGATGCTGCATTTGACTTGAACAAAGTGAGCTACACGACGTCGTCAGAGGGAGGAAGAAGTAGTGATCCTAGCGCAGGACCCGGAGGCGCTCCTGTCGTCGACCGTTTGTCTGGAAACTTTGTTGGCGCGATTTCAGAAAGTAGCCGACAACAGCCACAGGTCAGTGCACTACAACTACCAGGAGGAGACAACCTTGAACTACAACTACCAGGAGGAGACAACCTTGAACTACAACTACCAGGAGGAGACAACCTTGAAATCACTCAAGGTACATCGCAGATGGTCGAATTAGACGCACTGTACGAAGAGTTACAAAAATTGAAGCAAGACGTCCTATCAGCCTCACCCGCAATGAAACCAAAACTTGTGGCTCCGGAAGTAGAGGTGAACAGGTCGAAACTGCAAGAACAAGAGGTCGACGTGAGGGCAGGGGAACAGCTAGAGGAACCACAAGAACTGGCGATGAAGCAAGAACTTCTACTATTGCAAAAACAAGAGGCAACGACCGCAACAGAGAGTACAAAAGCAGTGCCTGCTGTGCCGCTAGTAGTAGAAATAAAGCAAGTAGGGGAAGAACAGGGAGTGCAGCTGGGCATCATAGACAATGCGGAAGCCAAGAGAGCGGACGAACAATACATCACTTACACTTCTCGAGCAGTAGAAGATCCTGAACCTGCAATGCGAACTTTACCATCCAGAGGTTCGGCACGGAAAGTAGAGGAGATATCTAGTTCATCCAGTAGTAAAGACTCCAAGAATACTAACGTAAACGACCACGTTCGAGATGAAACAGAGTCCCCATCAACAGAGTCCCCATCTGAGCAAAAAATTGAGACTACTTTTCTGGCGCGAATCATCGGGCGAGAGGAAGAAAAGGCAGGTGACGACCCTCTCCCTGTTCCGGTGGAAGTTGAAGTGAAGGAAGAAATAGTACAAAAGCAGGGTCGCGAAGGACCCTCTGCTTTTGAGGAACACAGACAAAAGCAGGCTGAACCCGTAGAACAAAAGGTTCCAAGCCCTGCCGCATTGCGTGCACGACGCAGTGAAGCGCGTAAGAGCGTCACACGATTGTCAGACAATTCTGGAGGATCAACGCTTCCGGGTCTAGCACCTGGTGAATCGTTTATTTCTGAGAAGACACAGCCACAACCACAACAAGATCAGGAGCGTCCGAGTGGAGGTGCAAAAATGTTGCGTGACCGCATCAATGCCTTCAAGGCGATTAAGCAGAGGAGTAGCATGGCACGGAAGAGTGCAGCAAGCGCCGACTTCAACATTGATGTGCTGAATAGTCCGAGCTTGGTGTTGAACAAGAGAAGTAGTGCAATGGCGATCATCACAGGAGTGCCACCAGAAGATCATGATGAACCTGGTAAAATTGATGCTGAGCCACGACAGGCGGACGCTGATGTTGTTGACGGACGTGGTCCTGGAAGCGCGTTTGTTGAGCCAATTATCCAGCCGAATGAGACGGGTGGAGGAGGTGACAAGAAATTGTTCCACATCGATCTTACTAGTTTAGCAGCTCCGTCTGTCGTGAATCCAGGGCAGAACAACCCTCCACAGTCAGTTTCAACTCCGCCAGGGCCAACACCTACAGCCACAATACCAAAAGAACAAGACTTAAGGGTAGGTTAAAGGTGCTTTTCTTACCGCTTTTTATGCCTCTCCTAAGGGAGAAAGGCATAACAAGCGGGGTAAGCAAGCACAAAAAACCTACCTCTAAAAGACCCAACTATTAAGTCGGGCTCACCAGCAACTCCGAAAAAGAAAGTGGAGCAGACGAAACGACAAATAACAAAAATTGAGATCTCTCCTCGTTTGTCGCAACTAGCAGAGCCAAAGAGGGTCTCACAACCATCACCTCGAAACACTCTGGCTAATGGGCCTCCTGGTGGAGCCTTCAGCTTCAACGTAAAAGACAAGGGTTTAACGTCACCACGATCTTCGCAGCAGGTGGGTAGTAGGCCCAGTTCTCCACGCTTGTCCACGGAAAATGCTTTGTCTTATGGCCGATGAAAAATAAGCGTGTATTCTTGGTATTCGTAATTCTGAAGATTCACAACATTGGAGATGTTCTTGCCACTCTATTTTTTATTCAGAGGAGAGGTCCAGCTCCAGGTCTTTTTGAGAACTAAGGTACCAAGGCTAAGTACACGGCTCCAGGACTAAGTACACGGTTTTCCTCTTCTAATCATCACCCCGATCCTCCACCTCCCCTGTCCGTCCAAGCAATGCGGATCTGAGGCAGGAAATCAAAGGCAGAGTTAAAGGCAAAGGTGGTTCTTCATCTTCTATGAGGATGATGAGCTATCAAATGCCTGTGCTGCCTAGAGGAGGTGCGAACTTCGTTAACAGAATGTCAGCTCCCGCACTAGAAGCACGCGCGAAAGCACGTGCCTCAAGGAAAGGAGGAGGGCTAGGGTTGTGATTTTGATTGGCGAGTTGGATTAGAAATTGAGATGTATTTTGATGAAGATGAAGCTGAAGCTCGCGCTCGGATTTCGTAAAAGTAAAACTTTCAAAGAAATAGGACCTGACTAGATAGAGTTTGAAGGAGTTTCGAAAGAGCATGACGATGACTCTATCTCGACGAAGCACTATAATTTCGGACTGAACTCGCACAAAGCAACATAAGCATACCAAAACGACGACGACTCAAGACATGAAGTTACACATTGTTGCCTCTGCCCACATTATTGCACCATATGAAGCTTACCGCTAATTACACGCCTGTCATTCATCTAGGAACACTACGGTATTCACGTCTATCTTTCCTCTATTTACAAATGGCATTATCGCAATCCTTACACTTAAGCTTAAGCCGAGCGACGCAGACGCTCACAGCATACAAAGATTATCAATCAGTTGTTAGCTATTCGCTTTCCCTCGTTTTACTCTCTGCAGTTACTACAATTTTTTACAAACATTCAAAATGGTATAGGGATACATGATCTCCGTCTAATAGTACTATGAAGAATTGCATCAACAATCAACATTGATTTCATTTAGCGTACTAGTTCGTCTTCGTTTTCCACCACAATTATGATGGCATGACATATGTAAATGTAAATGTATTATGTAAGAACATAAATGTGAGTCAGGAGTTTGAGACGATGATGGCTAAGCGTATGTTTTTGAAAAGAAACATAAAAAAAAAAGATGAAGAAAACCAATCATGATCATGCTTCATGTTCATGATAAGCTAATAACGTTAATAAAGAAAGAGTACAACGTCGTCACAGTCATAGTCACAGGCGCAGCGAGCATATGCCTGTCATCAAGGTCCTAAAATGAGTGAACAAGACCCGGAAACACAGACGAGTTCACAAATGTTGTTCTACAACACGTTCGCGTGAAAGAAGCGCGTCCGCGTTTGCAGCCTAGTTTCTTTCGTCCTCTATTTCTGGTGAAGAAAATCAATGGAATTGAAATTCAAATTCTAGTTTCAAGATCGAAACAGCAACAAAATGTCGTCATCAGAAACGATGGGCAGTGTGCCTGTATCGAAGAACAACTCGCAAAATATGACACCGAGTTCGCCTTCCGATAGCAGTCGGCCGCCTCTGTCCCCACAAAGCCTGAATACGGCTGGGAGAGGAGGTGGAGGCGCGAAAAATAGAGTTGCGGGACCATCGAGCAGCGCGCCATTGAGTGCAGCATCGAGAAGAGATGCCTCAAATAAACTTGAAACGCACAAGAGCAAAAGCATGCGTGGTGGTGCTAAAGAAAGAGACAGTAGAGGACAAGAGAAAGACGACGATGCGATCAGTCAAGGAGCTACATCTAGTAGAAAAGCGGGGGCAATAAATGCTGTGGAGGCAAGCGATGCTAAGGGCATCAGATACAGCAGGACAGCTACGGGCGTTGGTGCTGGTAGTAGACGGGAGTCTCTGGTGGCAGCCGCTACCGCTTCATCTTCAGCTACAACGAGTAAACTTTCAGCAGCCGGTGGAGGTTTTTTGGATAGCATCATGGAGAAACGTCGACAAACGCTACAAAATGTGCGGAATGCGAAAAAATTGGCAATGGGCGACACTCCAGCCGCGATGTCTAGTACCCTGAATAAAGGACGCATAGTGGCGACGTCGCAGGCAGGAGGTGCTGCATCATCTTCATCAGGCTCTCCGCAAAGTCCTGCTACTTTTATGGTTGTCGACTAAGTATATCTCTCTGGTGTGGGTGTCGTGTATTATCTTCGTATATTACATCTCGAACGGAGACGCTCCTACTCCTATTAAGTACGTATGAATCGAGTTCTACTTGTAAATGTAACTGGAAGTTCTAAACCCCCTTCGAATCGGATGACTGCTGTGTTAAGGCAGTCAACAGCCGGACAACGACTGCTATCCAGCACTGGTGGGACTCCGATGAATTCAGGCGACGCCAGAGATACCGTAAACGCTGCTGGCCAGAACAAGAAGGTTTTCAATAACCTCTTGGCTCAGATTGCTGGTGCAGCAGCACAAGGATCAAGACGAAGCTCTGCGGAGAAGCGAGACTTGACGACTGATATTTAAGGCTCGCGCAGAGATGTAGATGAGTTGTATTCTACCAGGAATACCAAGAACACCGAGGACTACTACTAGAAGAGACATTAGAAGCTACTACGTGGCGAAAGTAGGCTCCTGCTTTCAACTTACATAACTGTTCTTCTGGGCATCATGGGCTTTTCTAAAAATACTCCACTGAAGACACCACGGGCTCCACATCCTTCGGTTCTCGTTTTCGCGGTACTGTGGACCATGTCCGAGGCGTCCAGCGAGCACTGAAAGACGGCACTTTACTAGTACCAGCTGTTGATGGTCGTCCGGTGTCTGCGAATTTGCTCTCGCTGTTGGAGGAAACTGCGGTGAAAGAGCAGGAGTTGTTAGAACTGTTACTGAGTGCTGGTGGCGATGGCGAGGAGGACGAAGCCTTGACGACTCCTGTTGCATCGAAACCCATGAAGACCACTCGATCTCGTACCGTTGATGCGTGGTCAAGCGAAGAAGAAGACGATGGCGGTATGGGTATCGGATTGAAGAGCCTTGCAGCCGTGGGAGGTGCTACTGGCGCTGCTTCGGAACGCAGAAGCGAAGAAGACAACGATGATGCGGTCACTGAAAAAGCAGCAGCTGCAGGCACCAGCTTCCCTGTTCGCCCTTCAGGGGGTTCTAGGCAGAGTAAGCGTTTTCAAGCTAGTTTCGAGAAGATTCGGAGTGCTTATCGTCAACTAGCGTCTGCTGGGTTAGGCAAGGATGATCGGAGTCGAAAACTCTTTGCGCTCTTAGACAACGCTGACTTCCGTGCTTCTAGTGTAGAATCGACGAAGCCTGAGCTTCTTCGATTATTGCAAGAAACAAGTCAGAGGCAAGAGGCTGTGCTGGCAGAATTGGAGTCATCGATAGATGAAGAAGAGGCAGGAGGACGAGATGTCGATGCAGGAGCGGAAAATAGAAGTCCTGATGCTGACGAGAAGGCTCTTCAAAAGACATCGTCGACACCTCTCACTAGTGTGGAGCTACAATCATTATCGGCAGCAAGGCTGACAAAAAAGCTGTCAACATCACCACAGGAACAAACGACTCCAGACAACAGCCGCGTCACCCTCGGTCTTACGAGTGATTTGAAGGAACCGCTCCTGGTGGCAAGAGAGGAAGGAGTCAGCACTTCTCCACTGACCCTTCAACCACGAGGGGAAGGACTGGGATTAAGGCTCAACTTTCATTGGTCACTGAGATCGAAAAGGCGACGGACCCCTTCTTGAGAGAACCAACAGGGGAAATAAACGAAGGGAAAAGGGTTTAGGGTTTAGAAGGTGGTCTCTTCCGTTCAGCATCACTGAGTGACCGTTGACTGCTGACCTTTAATGGGAGCAGATCGTAGCAAAAGCGTAGTTTCCTCTACTGGGTCATCGATTCGGGCACAGGATGAGTGGTACCTTAGTGCGGCTACCATGACCTGGACTGGCTGGTTAGTCTACCTGATCGAAGAGGGTTTCTACTACTCCGTTTTGTTTACTTTGCTGCTCATATGGTTTCTGGTATCAGTTTTTTTCTTCGTGTACGAGAATTCGGCATGGGGCGCTTTCGGCGGCAGGGACCCTTGTGTTAGCGTCTTCGGAGCAGGAGGTGGTGAGGCTTCTACGGAGGGCAGCAACAACGGGCAGCAGCCGCATTTGATCTTAGACGTTACGACCAAAAGCCAATTGCAGGACATCAAGAACGGACACTTTCTGCTCGATGCGTTGCAAGGGCCACTACGAAATGGCTGTCCTCCATCAAGGCCGATCCGAGCAGTCCCTTCCGAGTTGAATTGGATGGATAGTTTGCTCTATTCATCGCCTTTTCTTATGGCTACTGCAACAACACGAACACACAGTATTTCATCCCTTTTCCTTTACAACCAGTCATAATGTTTATTTTCTCAGAGAATGAAAACTACCAGTAAAAACAAGAACATCAACTTCAACGGGATGAAGAACAGCCATGATCTCTAATCACCGTCTCTGCTTCGTCGACGCGATGTTCATGACGATCTCAGTGCTCACCAACACTGGCTTGGAAGTAATCAAATTCGCCTATCTCAGCACCACGATCCAAATCTTGTGTCTTCTCCTGATGTTGCTGGGCAGCACGCCTTTCTTCGCGATCGTCCCGCCATTGCTTCGGAAGTACAACTTTCGCAAACAGCACAGGCTTTGGCTCTTGTCACATCAGGAAAGGATCATGTACATTCTCAACAAAAGAATGCACGGAACAGTTGTATGGCTCTGGTATTTTTGGTATAGCCTGAATTTGATCCTAAGGGTTCTCTTCTTGTTTTCCCTTAGGATCAAACTCAGGCTCCCAAATACCAGAACCATTCAACAGTGGAGGAAGAACTGGAACGATTACATGCAGAGGATAAAATCCTGTTCGGACATGAAATAAACGGAGAAGGAGCCGCGGCTGAAGATGCGAGCAGGGAAACTGTTGTGCCGCAGATTGATGGTCCTTCGTTTCCGAGCATGGATCGAATGATGGAGTCCGGTGGTCTCCTTGCAGGAGTAGATCGTCTGGAACAAGCACCAGCATCAATCGCGAAAGAGAAGGGTTCGTCCGAAGAAGAGCTTCTAGGTGGTCGTGTCCCTGAAGAAACGGCAGTAGCTGACGAGTACTCTAATATCGTGGAGAAGCAGCTGTCACCTGCGTCAGTCCATCTAGAGACGGTCGTCGAGGACGAAGATGAGGCGGACGAAGGCGATGAAAACAAACGGAAAGAGAACGGCGCTAAGGGCCTCTTTGTCTCTGACGAAGATAAGGGAGACGACCGGAAGATGAACCTTGATGCCGATCATCGAAGAGATACAGCAATCATTTTGGAAGCCTCAGAGGAGCAAGGAGTAGCAGAAGTAGAGGAACAACAGCAGCAAGCATTTCGAGGGAGCGTGCTTACTGCGCGTCCATCGGCAGCACCAGAATTACGACCAGCATCGCCCATGCTGGATATGGCAGGAGAAACAGCTGCCCACTACCGGAGGCGTCATTTTGCGCATCTTTACGTCGATGCAGAGTGGCACAACGAGTCACAGCGAATTTTGGAGTACATGGCTTTGTCGAAGGTGGTCAGCACGATCGTGAAAATCTCTGTGGCTTTTATCGGCGTTATGTGGATCATATTGACTTGCTACCTTTACGTGGTTCTGTATTTGCTAGAGGAGGAAAATGTGGCTGAGCACGCAACCGCAACCGATGGTGTGATAAACGCTAGCAACATGCCAAGAATGGGTACTAGCGACAGAATGGATCCACCTCACCAAGAGCTCCGTGCAGGCCTCGAAGCGCATGGCGATACCTACCTGGCGTGGCAGAGTTTTTATCTAGTCTATTCGATGTTCGCCAACAATGGTCTTTCTCTGTACGATGACAGCTTTTCGATGTTCCGCTCAGAACTGCCGATTCTTGTCGTTGCCGGTTTTTTCCTCCTGCTCGCCAACGGGATGTTTCCGATACTGCTACGTTGGGTGATCAAGTTTTTTCGTCGACGCGCAGAAGCAAGGGAGCTGTCCGGTGAGGCGCAGGCGGTAGATCTAGAGAGTTTTCTCACTCGTTACGATCGCGTAAAAGAGCTGAAAGACGAGCTCGCGCATAACGAGATCGCCTATGCTGCTTTGGATGATGGACTGCACGAGAAGCAGCGAGCGTTTTGGAAGTTGATGCGGTTGGTAGAGGAGTACGACGATCGTAGGGAATACAGACGGAAAGCGGCAATAGATGGTATTCTCAAGAAACGACGAGTCGAGCTAGAGGGCGATAAAGGCAACGTGGATGCGTTTGATCTTGTACTTTCAGGCAACATTGAAATAGGAGGCGTGGGAGAACAAGTACTACAACAAGCGAGAACAACAACTGGTGCTACCAATCTGTTGATCAAACCACCTAGTACCGCGAGGACGTCACGACAGATGAACACCAGCACATGTTGCCTACCACAAGACTCACCTTCCAATTATAGTTCTAGCCCATCGTCGTCTGAAGATGAAGCAAGTCCTCCACCCCCAGTGCCTAGTAACAACTCATCCTTCATATCGTGGTCTCGTAGAAGAAAGCACAAACGTGAGGCCGCCCAAGCATCTAGAGTCGAAACGGAAAGAAGAAGAGAGGAGAAGAAGCTAAAGAAACTACACATGAAGCCGCGCGAGAAGAAACTACAACTACAAGTGGCGTCCTCGAGCTCCTCTGCAGCACAACAAGAACACTTGGGTCTGCTTCCTGAACACTCCACAATCGCGTCAACTATCGGAGATCTGAAACCACCACAGCAGCCGTCGCCAGAAAGTAGCTCATCGAGCAGACAAAATAACTCGGAAAACAAGCTCGTCGTGGAAAAGCGTGCCTCTTCAATAAACGACGTTTTGGGCTCATCCCACTCTAGCATACCTGTAGCAGGCGGCTACCGTTCTCCTAGCAGACCGCTCTCTCGCTCATCCAGTAAGCAACTCAATTCGTCGTCTAAAGAGGCGTCTCCGACCGATTCTGCTGACGTCAACAGGCCTAGAAAAATGCTGGGTCGCAGGAATAGTAGCGAAGGTCGTTCTTCACCGTTTCAGCACGGTCGTGGGTTTTTCGACCTTTCTGCACCGCTGTCGAGTAGTCCGAATATCATGCCGAAGGACATCAAGGACCAAAACTTGTTGGAGGTCATTGGAGGCCAACATAGGGACAAAGACGATGACAAAGGCGAACTAGCTCTGGTCATTGTTGAGGGCAGCGCTTTAGCCTCTTCCAGGAGTGGGACGGGAGTTGCACCTCCACGTTGTTCGGCCGCGAAACAACAACCGCCAACTGCAGAAGAAATCGCTATCGCAACTAACATACTAGATCAAGAGGAAGCCCGTGACCCGCACGTTACGCAAGAAGACGACGAGCGCCGATCCTTGCTTCTGTCCGCTGCTTTGCTGAAGTTGTCGTGCCCAGCCTCTGGCGTAGACTCACCTCCACATCACGATTACGATTTTGTCGACCCAGACGTCGAACCAAGCGACAGCCGGTCAATCGAGCTGATTGCTCTTGCCGATGGTTGGACCGAATTCGATGCTTTAGACTTTCTGCTTCGTTATCCAAGGAGATGTTGTACGCATCTGTTTCCGGCTGCCCATACGCAGTGGCTTCTGCTTTTGTCGGTGATGATAACAGTTGGGCTCAGCTTCTGCATGTTGGTAGAAGATTGGAATGGGCCGCTGTTTGAATTCTCTAGTAGTGCAGAAGAACAACCAGCAGAGCAGCCTGCTGTGCCTGCACCGACTCCGACAGTAACTGCAGCGCAAATTCTAGCTCAGGTTGCGAAAGAACAGTACGAGAATGCCACACCTGCTCTACTCCGTAACGAAATTCGCCTAGATTTTAACCGTGCTCCCCCCAAAGGCGCAGCAACGACGCAAACCGAAAACAGCAGAGCAGGGATTGGTGAACAATTCTCTTCTCATTTAGCACAGATGGATTGGCCCTTGAAACTAGCGAATATTTTTTTCCAGGCTGCTGCGACCAGAACATCAGGATTCTCAGCCGGAGACATGAATACGTTGTCTTTGGCCACGCTTTGGCTTGTTTGCGTTTGCATGTACGTGTCAAGTTCACCTACGGTTGTCGTTATGCGGTTTTCGTCCTTGTCGCGTGCAAGAGGAGGTGGAGGGGATACGTCTGGCTCTTCTACTGACGGAGGTGTATCGAGTAAACGAGATGTCGCTTCGATCATCTCTGAGATAAGCGGGCGAGGAAGTAGAGGAGTGCACTCGACGACAACGAGTGCTAGATCACACTCTACAACTTCTCATCATCTTCAAATGTTCTCGGATTCTTCACCATTTAACAGAGGAAATGTAAATGACTTGGGTCGTCCTCTGCTTCTTCAACATCCTGCTGTGAATAACCGATCGGATTCGCAGAGATCAGCGTTTTCAAACCGATCAGCAAGCATAGAACTAGGAGCTGCGAAGGAAGGGCCGGACTCGAAAAGATCAGCCTTTGCGAATCGCTCAGCTAGTGCACTGGTTCTGGGTAGAGGTGTTGGCGATGGGCAGGATGACGAAGAGAAGAAGGCAAACTTTTCAAGTAATCACGATCGAGATAGACGTCGTGGACATCCACCACATCATCATCGTCGACACAGTCTTGACCACGATAACCTTCATTCGCCGAAGTCTCGTATGGATTTTGTCGGGGATGTCGTTGAGCATATGCGCGCTGCGGGTGTTCCGGAGAACATCTTTACGCGGGTGCTAGGTGACCGTTCACAGGATAGAACATCATCTGCTGCGGTTCTTGGTTCCTCGGCTGGAGTTGGAGGAGCATCACAGGATATCAACAACTCCTCTTCTGTTCCTGCTACAACTACTTCTACAGCTCACAGGGATAAGGAACACCAGCACGACCATGACCAGAAGCTGCGAGTGCTTTATCCATTGAAGAAGAACCGGATTGGCAGAAGCCTAGTAGATACCTCTGTTGAGCCAACATTAAGATTGAGTATTAAGGATCGTAATAAACCTCCGGGAAGTAGTGGAAGTGATGGAGGTGCTTACCAACCACCTGTGTTGCCTGGTGAATCAGAGGGCGTTGAAGATCGATTCGGAGAGCCGCCATCTTGGATGAAGAACGAGAAACAGGACGAAACAGGGCAGATGAAGGGGCATCTACAACCTTTCTTGAGACACAGTAGCAGCGCTGCTGCTGCGTCCGGTACAAGTAGACCCAGCTTCTCAAAAATTCTGACGTCCTCTAGTGCAAGTAGCGCATCTACTCTCCGATCGTCCGTGGAAGACTCCGACATGCTTTCCATCATTTCCGGTGTTGCGGGCGGGATCGATATTACAGGCGGCGACGGACTGAATGAGGACCGCGTCAGCAACACCTTGTTCGGACAAGTGAAACTGTACATGTTTCAGCACTCGGTCTACGTAGTCTTTGTGATTTTCTTCGTGCTGACAATCGAGACTAGCCACAGCAATCTGAGCTATGCAGGCTTTGCCGATAATGACAGTGCTCTGGCCTACAAGGATCGTAGCATGCTTGATGTGGACAGGCAGTACATCTTGAGTCCAGGAAGTGGTGGTGGTTCTTCAAGTTCCTCGACGTCGACAGCTACATCGTCTTCAGGATCTTCATCTTCTAGTGTTGACCACCAGTATCACCTAACTCCTGTAATATCAGTAGTTGGATCAAATTGTTCCAATAATGACAATTTTTATCCAGATGATCATGATGATGCCAAATCTTCCCAAGCAGCTGCACTCAAAGCCCTACTAGGTGGGTCGGATGCTAGCGCAACTCTCTCCTCGTTTGACTACATCATTCGCGGAAATGGCGGCTCCGCTTTCAACCCTCAAGTGGATGATCGGCATGGTGATTATATCGAGAAGACAGGAGTGGACGTGGACGTGGATCATCTGCCTGAGTCTTCGGATGCGTCAGTCTTTGCAGCATTGTGGCATGACCTATTTTATGAGAGAAAATAGTAATATACGAAGCGAAAATGTGTTATCATTCTCACACTCTTCTACTTACTTAAGAAACTTGATAATGATAATAGATTTTCGTTTCATATAATAGTGCACTCACACTCAGAAAAAGTGGAGGCTATTTTCCTACTGAAATCGTAGCCAATTTCTTGAGCGTGAGTGCACTTTTTCGTTTCATATATTTGGGTATGATCATACTGATACGCAGCAGGAAAAAGAAGATGTTATCGAGGAACAACGAGAAAAAACCACAGGAGACGAGGGCAGTGAAGATGCTGCCCCACCAGGAGAGCAGGTGATGAAGACACTGGTAATAGACACATCGACGAGTTACGGAGAGCCGCCAGCCGGGAACAGCATTCCGTTTTTCAATTATGAACACCAACAATGATAGCACTTCACTTCTCCATTCGTTATTGTTTCTTCCCTATGATCATGATGATCATGTGTAACTGTATCTCTAACTATGTATCGGAAGAAAAATGTAAGACTATGTGAGTGTGAGACTCATGCCATGCCAAGACAAGCGGTATTGTCACTCATTTCACATTCACTCTCATCTCCATCGCCTCCTGCTTCTCTTCCTTCTCTAACCCCAACTCGTGTACGAGATCGTTGCTGCTTACGGTATGGTCGGTTTCTCTCTCGGTGGCGGTCGGTTAGTGCAGGTAGAAGCCATCCAACTTCCAAATGGTGAGCTCCGACGTTTGGTCCTGTACGCTGACAACCCCAGCAGCTACGTGGCGTCTTGGTCCGCTGGCAGCAAACTTTTGCTGTGCTTCGTCATGCTGCTGGGGAAGCTGAGAGGACTGCCGGAAAGCATCGATCCAAGTGTGGCGATTGTGATGGATTGAACACGGATTTTTTGAAGATACTTACAGTCTTAGATAGAAGTAGTGACGAGGAAAGTTGTGATCTTCGAAATTAACTAGGGCTTTTTTGTGTTCCACTTCCACTAGGGCGTTTGAGTTCTCGTTTTACTACCCATAGCAGCGGTACTTGTAGTATCAAAATCTGACTTATTCTTAATGGGCTAACAACACATTTTTTTCACTTTGTAGCGTGTCAGTTTCTGAACACTTTTCTGCATCAACACACCAGATGCAGATGCACCAGATGACGCGATAATCATAATATTCAATCGTAGACGAGGCTTATTAAGATATCGGTAATCGCTATCGCAATGCAAATTTTTTCTTAACCAGATTAAATAGCAGAGCACTCCTTTGCACTTGGTGGAAGGCAGAGACAACGAAAATCATCCTGCAAATGCACAGATATTAGGACTAGCTTAGATCAACTTACTTGAATGTACATTTGTAGGGTATTGAATCGGGCTTTGCATGTTCTTGCATCCATACCGCTCTGATCGTCCTACAATCAATACCGTCATTGTGTCTGCTCATCCGTAGTAAAGACCTTGATCTTGTATCGGATAGTCGTGGCTTGGGCAGTGGTGCACAGGATATCTTGTATAGAATGATAATGAGCTGATTGCTTCATAGTTTTCCTTCTCCTGAACTACCTACTCAAAAAAATGAACTTCGTTCCCTGAAGCTTTCACGTCACACTTGTTGTGGTCGTGCCTCCATCGCCTGTTTGAAATCGAAGACAGTTGAAGGCCACAAAGACTGCAACGCTTTCGAAAATTAAAACTGTTTCTGTTCCAGGGAGGCACAAAATCAAAAACTCCGACCGAAACCACCACGATGCACCTTCTGTTCTTAAGACCGATTTAGGTGCTCGGTCAGACGCACACGCACGTCTTGCGTACTATGATTTGTTTTGAAAACAAGAGTTGTCCCATGACCTACTGCAACTGCTACTACAAGTAGATGCAGGATGTGGACGGAACATCAGTCAACATGATTACCAAGAAACAACGGCGCAGGTAATTTTTTGCTTTGTACTTGAACTTTTTGTTTTCCTTTTTAGCGATGAGATTGTTTTCCTTTTTAGCGATGGCCATTCTACCAACGACAGAGTTTTCAATCCGTATGCAAGTGCAAGAACGGCAAGAAGAAGATCTTACTAGACATTCTCCGTAGTTTTAGTTACGGCAAAGCGTATTTTATCGTCATGCACCAGCAGTACCAATCTGAAAAATTAAGAACATCAACATTTTGTCATGACAGCACAACAAGAACTAGAAATTCCATAATTGAGAATATATAAGAAACCTATAACGCAACAACGTTAATGTCCTTGCTCTACAGAAAAATGTCCACCCCACCGTCGGGTCGTGGTCGCACCGACCACTTCCTTTCGTCAAAAAATCGAAAAAAATTGTCCGTCAAATCGATTGGCCTAGTCAGCTTGCTTTCGAATGCGACTGAGTTTGTCCTTGCGGCGCCTCCAGTTTCGTATTATGCGTCGCATTCCAGCAAGAACGTTCCACGCATGTGGACAAGACATTCGCCGAAAGCTCGTACTAGTCAAGAACGAGAACTACGTGTACTTCTTACATCTTCTAGTGAGGCTGTCGTTTCTAGTGGTGCACGTGCAGGAGCTGAAATATCGACACAACCAGCAAAGACGCCACAGGACCGAAGACGAAGAGCCGTTTCGTTCGACAAGACGAGTGTGACAGATGTTGTAGCATCAGCAGAACATCCAGCCCTAGTAGAGAAAGTAGAGAACCTCGATCTACTAGACGGCGTGGTCTCAAAGAAGGTTCTTGGCAAGAAACCTGCTACTCCTACTAGGAAGAAGAAGATGGAGCGGACGTCGTCGCTTCTGACTGGTGCTGAAACAAGAAGGAACAATAGCACACATACACAAGAGCATCAAAATGAAAAGGTTGCGGAAATAAAGGTCGATGCGCATCGACATCAAGATCAAGTAGAACCTAAGGAACTTCCAACTCCTTCAATTGCAAGGACTAGTAGAACTAACAAGACGACGAGGACGACCTCCTCATGGCAACCCAGTTTGTCGATTAAGCCCCTAGAGCAGGAAGATGTGTTTTGTGCATGCAGGCAGCTGATCTCGCAACTGTCAACACAAGTGCCGAAGCTAGAGGGCACGGCGCCAATGACCGATATAGCGCAGCAAGAAGAACATGTAGTGAAGATCAGCGATGCCGAAATTCTTGATGTCGCAGCAGATGATGTCGCTTTTACTGAAGGACGGAGCGCTGTCGACGATAGTACTGAATCGAAGGAGGTACTGCAGCTGTGCTTATTGTTTTGTCATTCTGTTTTTGTCATAATTCTGGGCTTCAATTCATAATGTATGTAGGCCTTCCTGATATTCCTTTGCGACGGGAACATCCTTCGAAAAGAAAGGATCGACTCATATACTCGCAGGCAATACCGAGCTTATTCCTCCTACAAGAATTTGTCTCGACATTGATGAATTTTTAATTACCTCAAGGAGGAGTTTCCAATTTCGAGGCACCCAAGTGTCCTTGATATTGTTTAGTCTCCTAGGTAGTACATGTAAGACTATGTGAGACTCATGCCATGCCATGTATGTCAACGTGGTGGTTAAACTGCACAACTACAACATCTTCGTGATCAGTGGAGTATTTGTATGCATTGCTTTTCATTTTTCCACAGGAGGCAGCAGCAGCGAAGAAAATTGAGCAAAGAGCGAAAGCAAAACCAGTTCTGGTTCCCGTAGCCCGGGCTCGCTCGTCAACTGGAGGCAATGCGCGTTGGTGTAGACGTTTGCTTGCTAACGAATCGAAGCAAGTGCAACAACATACGAAATCCTCCTCTTGTCCGGCAACAGAAAGAAGTAGAGACCATGTTATTGCAGCTGCTCGCCAGACAAGTGCACCAGAGACAACGCGAGCAGGCGATGTTGAGCATGTCGTTGCGGCAACGCCTTTCGCTGCCCTTCTGTCGGACCCAACTCCTTCGCAACAGTTAGTTTTTGGAGATGTCACAAGGGTGTTACAGCGTCCTCAAAAGCCTGAACAGCTGCAACCTAGCGTCTTCAGACCTGTGCCGCTCCGTCCCCCTCCAGGACTGACTCTGCCTAGTCCTCCTGAACGACCTGAGTATTTCAACATTTCCACACCAAAAGAAGTACTTGCAGGAGGTGCAGAAGTAGACGCTTTTCTTCCTCATGCTCTACTCCTTCCTCAAGGGACGATAAGCGCTGTTCTTGGAGCTGCTGTTGTACGTCACCCAATTGATCATGACTATGAATCTTCTAGGTCCTCGTCAACGTCATCTTCACGACCTCTAATGTCATCACCTCCTCCTAGCAGTCATGTTGATGGTCCAGCATCCTCTCCAGAGATCTCTCCTTCGACTGTTGATGCAGAATATCGAGATGTTTTTCTCACACCGCAAGAGGAGGAAGAGGAGAGACCGCAAGGTCGTGGAGATAAACTACGGCACGCAGGCAGAGAACAAAGCACTAGGAGCGCCAGCAGCCCTTTGCAATTTATCCCTGAACAGGAAATGGGGCGACCACACCTTTTAGATCATATTACACCGAAGGCAGTGGCAGACGCAGACGCAGACCTAGTAATGCAAACAAGAAGCAAGAACAAGATGAAAGCATTGATAGAATCGGTTCGCCCGGATCCTATCGAGACATCTTTTGCGACTTCTAGTCCGGAGGAAGATGAAGAGGGCGTGGCAGGTGCCACTGGCATGTTGAAATCCTCAAAGAGCAAGTCCTCTCCTGCCTCAAAGTTGATGAGAAATGAGAGCAAAGCGTCGACACGGTCTACGACATCTTCAGCCTCTACTGCTCTGCCGCCATCGACATCGAGCATATGTGGTTCTAGCCCAGGTTCGAGGCTGGACTCGTCCAAGCGTGGGATCCTATGCTTTCCCTCCTCAGCAACGTCTTCGGGATCTTCAATGCCTCACCCTAGAAAAGCAACAGGAAGTGCCACGAGTGGTAGTCTTGAACAACTTCACTTTTCAACACGTGGAGAGCGATCATTGGGGAGCAGCGATTTATTTGATTGCCAACCCTATCCGTTCGGACACGGTTTTTACACGAGCTCGTCTGAGAGAACAAGCACTCCACCTGGGCTCTTTGATCAAGGGTCCTCTAGTGAGCAGGTAGATCCGGAGCAGTTCAATTGGTCTGGTAGCTTTAGGAGCGACCAATCAGGTCGTTCATTATTTGAACAAGCGCAAGCACTGCAACCCTTCCGTAGATCGCCTGGGCCAGCATTATCCTCGTCAGCCTCGACTACCCCACAGTCAGGACCCGCACCTTCGCCTCCTCCGCCGGTTAGGCTGCCTACTTTGGAGGAAGTAAAACAACTACAAGGTGGAGGAACTGGCACAACTGATGATGCTCATCTTGTTGCTGATCTTCATTTAGGACTCGTCCCGTATAGTTTATGGGGTGCGAAAGCGAATAACACCTACCAGGATGGACAGGATCATGGACACTTAATATTGCCACTGCAACCTCCAGCGCTAAGTGAAGCTGAAGCTAGAAGCGTAGCAACCTCAGAGCATGAGGAGGATGAACAAGACGAACGAGCAAAGCTTATTGAAAGGCTGAGGCAGGAGCAAGCGGAGGAGCAGAAGCAACTAGACAAGGAACTGGACAGACAAAGGCGCAGAGAGGCGTCCGGAGTTTGCTCCTTCAGCCAAGGAGGAGGAGCAGAAAGTGACTGCCCTTCATCAAGCGCTCCTTCGTCGCCTACGCGGCGTGGGACCGAACCAAGACTCATGCACACGCAACCGGAAAAATTTAGACCACGTCTGCTGCCTTCTGGAAGTACTAGTGGCGACAGCGCCAGTGAGGAGGACAACAGCAGCGGTCACATTCCACTAGTAGATGGAAGAACTGAGTTGCGGGACAGAAATGCCGGGACCATGGCGGTGCTGGGAACTTTGATGAATAAAGCAAAAGCAATGGAGTTGAGCAAGCTGGCTGGTGTACCATACCTTCACGATGGCCAACCTGTTCATCTTCACGGTCACGCTGTAGTGACTGGCAACCAAGATTCACCGGGAGGAGCTTCTGTTGCTTCTGCTTCTTCTGATGAACAGCTACCTACTGGCTTTGCGCGGTTGTCGACCGATGCGCCGCTAATCGGTGGCCCGAAAAGTAGAACAAGAACAGGCAGCTTCGCAGTTGGTACTCCATGGGTGGCCGATGACGATGTTGCTGAGCCGTATTAACAGCTCTTTGGCTCTGGCGGGTGATCAATGGAGGGAGGTCTAGTGTGATGCTATTGGGTACATGTGTGGGTGAGAGTGTGCAAATTGGCTTCTTTCTTTTCTCCCGCCTTACCCCAGAGAGCATTCTTCCCGCTGTGCTCGTTTTGATTACTTATTTTCCTAGTGCAGGGCTAGTGCTCTCGCTCTGTCTACTGTGATTAATCGCCGTCGAGTTTTTCACACATATGCATCCTACATATCACTACTTAACCTTAAGTACCTTCGACTATGACCTTGTCGAAAAACTTGCTTCGTCTCTTGGATTTGATATTTTTAATTGATTTCAAGTTGTTGTTGCTCGTTGTTGTTGTTTTGGTCGCCTTGACCGATGGGCCGCGATCAGCCTGAGCTCGAAAGTCGAAGCCTTAGGTTCAGCACGGTAACGTTGTACACAACATGGTCTTCGATCATAGTCGTGTAGGGTAGCGTTTGTGCAAGTAAATGAGAATTTAAAATGACATGTAGCCTCTCGGAAACGGGCTTAGCTGCCAAGTATCTTCCTTGCGTGTAGTTGATGAAAATGAGGCTATCATTACAGGAACCACCGGTGCGAGGTGTCATAGCTAAAATTCAGTAGGCCTAGCCTATGATATCATGTCGCAGTGAGGTATAATGGGGCAATTTCAATCACCACCGTCAAGAACAAGAAGATCGAGAGGAATGACTCATCGTGAAAGGATAACGATTGCATCATGCATATATCTTTGACTGTCGCTGTATACACTCTAGCTGTGAATTTCAAATCTTCAACTTGAACAACTTTAAGGTTAGACTACTTTGTGAAACAATTATTTTATCAAAAAATGGTAACATTTACAACATTATACACTGTGCAATGCTCCTCCATCTATCTGCTCTAACTAGTATGTGAAGATACCGAGGCCTGTGAAGATGTTCAGCCTAGTGCCGTCGAATGAAGACCCACACTGCATCTAGTTGCATGTTTTCGCCCATGGGAATCTGGTTGACGTGAAGCCATTTCGTTTAGAACATTTATGTTGGTATCTAAATTTGATTTTGAATTTCATTTTCTTCATAGGCCCAATTACAGCGCAGATTCATTGAGAACAGATTTCATCCTTGTAGTAATTGATCAAGATATCAAGAACAAGGTTTGAATTTCACTTCCTGTTATCATTAATAGCAATACCCCCTGAGTGCCTTTGAACGGTCGCGGTGTCTTTGTAGCCCATTTTGGTGCCTCAAGCAACACCTAGATGCATGCAACAATCAAGTGGTTAAGATCCATGACAAAGATGAACGAGTCTTCAATACAAGAATTACTGCAAGAAATACAGAGGCGAAGATCATGAATCCAAGATTTATTTCATAGTGATCAGTGACGACCACAATCAATGTCGGCATGGTCTATGCAATGCTGAGGTGCAGATTGGTCGCGGCGAAGTATGAAATATGACGAGGAGGCGAAGGCCTTACTTTGAGTTTGATCAGGTAGAAGTACTTGTAGCTTCTTCATCTGACTTCTTCTTGGAGTAGATGGTAAAGAGAACTCGGTGGAGGAGAGGTCGGGAAGAGTAGAGAACAAGAAAAACTGTCATATTGAAAGCAAAAACGCAAGGGTCAAAGCCCGCCAACATCCTAGATGACCATGACACTGAAGAAATTCCAAACTGAATAGGCTTTGCTCAAGAACAAAACACTCACCGTTCTCGTTGCAGAGAGGCCGCAGGTAGCCACAGTCTTTGCAAGAGCGATACTGTATCGACAGTAAAATAAACCGAGTCAGAGCCTGGTACGTAGTTGAAAAACCACAATGATCTAGCCCTATCACTCCAAATAAGTACTTAAAAGAAACATGTTCGCTCTCGGCGGCCGTGGTGGGGCCAACATCTTCGACCATGTCAAGAAACGACGTGGCGGCATCAGTGGGGCTTCTCCGGAACTGTCACCACGCGGTAACATCTGTGCAGCAGCCTCGGTCGCAGGAGTGCATCCGGCAGCACTTCAACAGCTTGGGGTGCCTTCAGAGGGTCTACTAGAGGGGCTTTTAGTGGACGGACACGGAGAGGATCATCGTCGGCTGCAACCGGAAGGAGATGAGGGTGGTCTGGGTGGAGGTCCGTTAAAAGCTAAATTATTAGGAGTCCCGGGAGGACTTGCAGGTGCGTCGAAATTCGCAGACCACCCGAGTAGAGACGGCAGTGGTGGTGGACTTAGTGATGACGGGTCTTGTTATGAAACAAATGTCTTTGTAATTTTATTTGTAGCTGATTAGAGAAAGAGATAATTGCGTTTCTTTGAGGTAGACGAACCCGAGGGGCTACCACTTACCTGATTCTTTCACAGGCGTGTGATCATGCTCCTCTCCTCACTTTCTCCAACTTTCTTCATACCTCGTTTCTCCAACTTTCTTCATACCACGCAAGACTCTGCAAGAGGAGCTTTCTTTGGCAAGGGACACAACGCCGACCTCGAAAAAACTTGCGGTTTGGCCAGCGTCGCTTCCTCTCCAGGCAGAGAGCATAACATCTGGCTGCACATTTTTCTGACCTTGGAGTCGGCATCCAGCAGTAGACTTGCAGGCAAGGTCCACAAATTGCAGATCGTGGTGATTGCGCTGTCGATTATTTCGTTTATTTTACAGACGGAACCTAGACTAGCAGGCTACGAGCACATGTGGAAATTTCAAGTAGTGGAGATTATCTGCACTTTCTTATGGCTGGTGAATGGAGGGCTATTATTGCTACCTATATCGAAATCGATCTACTAGAACTAGATGGACAACATCATTTTTTCCTCTAGTTGATGTTGAAATCACATACAACACTTTCCTCATCTTTGCTCGGTATCCTACTCCTTACACAACTATGCTAAACATTTTTTAACACTGCCCCTTTGCCTTTTCTAATCTTCTGTTTCACTATGGAATACGCCCTGCACGTAGTCTCCTACTATTTCGTATACGGCAACGCTTGGGATTTGATGCTGAAGCCGATGAAGATTTTCGACCTTCTAGCGACTTTGCCTTACTACTTCGAACTTCTGCTGGCTGCACAGGATGAGCAGAACATTGCCGCTTTGAAACTACTCCGAATTGTGCGCTTAACCCGACTCTTTCGCGTTTTGAAACTCGGGAAATACTCAAAATTAAGGCTCAACTTTCAATATTCATTGGGGTTGGTCACTGAGATCGAAGAGGCGACCTCCCCTTGAGAGTAGAACAGGGGAAAACGAAGGGAAAGGGGAGAGCTTCGGAGGGGGTCTCTTCTGTTCAGTTCAGAGTCAGCGACCAACGAATGCTGAGCTTTAACAAAAGGCGTGAAGCTAATCTACGTGGTCATCAAGGACTCGGCAGAAACATTGCTAGTGCTGTTTTTTCTGTTATTCATGGTGGTTTTGTGCTTCAGCAGTGTCATCTACTACGTGGAGAAGATGAACTGCCCTGATAGATCGAAGCTATCACCTGCAAGGCTCCAGCAATACTTGACGGACTGCGAAACGCAGCCGTGGTCGCGTTTGGACGAACAGAGTACGTGGGACGTGGACACGAGGTTTATGGTTTCTTGATGTGCTGGTTGCCATTTCATTCTTCCCAACGTCAACCACAATATGCTATTTGTCTTTGCCTGTAGGTCTTGAGGTCTAGATGTACACTTATAATATTTCAGATAAATTCATTTTCATGTTGTAGTTGTATACTATAAGATGAAAAGAGAAAGAGAAAGACTACTACTACAATAATTCTTCCTATAATTCCCCACGACCTATAACTAGGAAATCTAAAAAGCCACTCCACTTCTCGCTCTATACAATTGCTGCTCTAAACCCTACTTTTTCCTGACCACTTCTCGCTCCACCCTATACAATTGCTGCTCTAAACCCTACTCTTTCCTGACCACTGATTACGGCACCTGGGATTCCGATGATGGAGACCGGAATCTGCTGTGCTGCGGAGCTCACCCAGAAAGCGGATCCAAGGATTTTCCCTCAATAGTCCACGCTCTGTGGTTCACCTTCGTCAGTATGTTTACCGTTGGCTACGGTGACCAAGTGCCTCGTACTTGGCTAGGCGCTTTTGCAGGCACGATGACGCTTTTGATAGGCACAAGCCTGATTACTTTGCCGGTCGCCGTTATTGGAGGAAAGTTTCAAGAGCTTTACGACGCCAGCTACTTGTTCGAAGCCATGATGCTGCAGCAAAATCAGTCTGGTGGCAGCGGGGATGAGCAGGAGATGCAAGAGCATCTTCATGGAGCAGCAAGTCCTGGCAGTGTTGATGAAGAAAGTGAAGAATCAACTGATGAAGATGAAAATGAAGACGCACCACGAACACAAAAACAAGTTGAAGAAACAAGTAGTTCGAGAAAACGACCCAACAAGCAACATCAAATCCAGCAATCATCAACCCCGGGAGAGATTTTTGATGAGACTGCTGAGCTGCTGGAAGTGGAAGAAGATACAGAACTACCTGAAAATAATCATATGATTCCCCAACTACATGACTTACCATTACCTGTCTTTACAGGGATCATAACGTCTGAAGAAGAATGTCTGTTGAACCGGATTGTGGATTGCACCTCAACAACAACACAAGAAGAAATCACGGATGCTGCGATGAGTAATCAACTGTCGCAGGATGAAGGCCAAGTAGGAGCTGTCCAAGAAAAACAAGGAACGATAGTAGGGCTCCACAATGCAAATAGTAGAGAAGGACAGCACAGTATGGCTAACCCTAGTGCCGAAAGCGATGAAAACGCTGGTGCTAGTAGCTCTTCAACGTCATCTGCCGATAAAACGAACGCTCCACCACCTACTTCTTCTAGTAGCAGCGATCCACAGCAACCTGCGCCAGTGTCAAACGTATCCGCGCCACCTCCAGGAGCATCTGCGCCGGACGGAGGAAGCAGCACTGGAGCAGCTACGCTGGGCATCCAGTACGAGCTTGCTCATTCGCCTCCTAGACGTCGCTCCGGAGGAGGGCTTCCTATGTCGACCGGTAAAGAGCTGAGATTGACCAGTTCGCAGCGCAAGCAGTTCAAAACAGCGTCTCAGCCAGAGGCGGTGATCAAAGTAACTGCCTTACGAGAGATGGGAAAGACTCCGCCACCACATCACTTAGTCCTTGGCGGAACGGGCGGAGGAGGTCATTTTGTCGCGAACTCACAGCAGCAACAATTAAGGCTACTGCTCAAGCATCCTGATCCTCAGCAGCTTCCTTGGCTCTTTTCCACTCGAAAAACAAGCTAAGGATGCACACAGGGATGCGAACGCGGTAGCTCTAACGCAAGACCATCTCAATCAACTTTCAAATCATGCTAGTGCTCCCAGCAACTTGATGTTGTCTAGCAGTACTGGAGGAGTTGGAGGCTTAGGGGGGACGCCAGGACCGAGTGGTGCCCCGGGTCCAAATGGTGGCCCAAACGCAGGGCCGACTAGTGCAAATCATCTCGCGCCACCAGGGGCAAAACGTCCGATGTTGCCAAGAGCGTTGTCTTTATGGATTGCGGTTGTTCTTCTCTATTCACATTTTTGATTTGTGTTTGAAAAGATCTGGGTACTTTTAACTAACTTGATCTTCCAGGACTAGTTGTTAGGCAAAAACCACCCGGTTCTAGCTGCTGCAAGTATCCTTGATATTCTTATCCATGATCTAATCTCAAGTTCTTCCTTGTCTTCGCGTGCGAGCTCGTTATCCAACGCTTCAAGGATTCAGTATCTACGCGCCATCGCAAACGCCCACAAAAACGCGCACAAAATGGCAAAGATGCCTAGTGGTCCGCCTAGTGCTGCGCCATCCGCTGCTCCTAGCCGACGCGGATCAACAGGAGCTAGTACAGGAGCAGGAGAGGGTAATTTATTAAGGGTTTCCCGATTACATTCCGCACTACCATCCCTGGCTCTTTTCCGAGTAGAAAAGAAGCCAGGGATGTCCTGGATGAGGTATGTAATTCGAATTCCGTAGGAGCCTCTAATTAATAGCCAGCAGCTAGCGAAGCAAGGCAGTCAGCACATGTTATCCTCAGGTGGTGGCGCAGGGTCAGCAGGAGGTGGTGGTGGGATCTTGAATACGTTGAAATCAGGCTTGCTGATGAAGCATCAGAAAACAAGTACGCAAAGTCGCCAAGTGCCAGGTCCGAGCGATAATGCAGTTTCGCGGGAAATCTACTTATGGCCAACCACCTAAGTATTTGCTTGGGTAGCATTGATTGGTTCTCACTCTGAACAACTATCTACATTGACATTCTTTCTGAACAGCATGAGGCGGTCCATGTTGCTCTGTGTAAGATTTGCTTCAAACCTGACCAGGGAGGGTTAGACCTGAAGCACATGACCATGACCATGACTTCTCTCATCATCTACTCACTAGTAGAAGTAGCACTCAACCCCAAGTGCTTTAAAGCTAAGGAGGCCTACACCTACTCCTGCTTTAGCAGCTCTAACTTCCAGCGGTTCCAGCTCAGGAGGTCAACGTCGCGGTCGCCCGTCTGGTAGTACCGCCAGGATGCTATTCTATCCCTCAAGTCATGAAAATAATGGTGACATTGACACGGAGGATCACGACGACCCAGCAACAGCTACATCTTCTAGGATGTCGAGAGGCAATGGCAATTATCACGTAGAAATATGTCATAGTAGTTCGCTTCTTTCAACAGACAAGGATTCTTCGTCGAAGACTATCAAAGCCTTGAACAACAAGCACGACTACAAGGAGAACACTATGACAAATCAAGTTGTTGAAGCAGACGGAGTGGTTGAGAAAAATGGAAATAACTCCTGTAGGAGGCGATTATCTGCCGCTTCTACCTCTTCTAGCTTTGCTGGTGGGAATCAAGTAGATTCCGTGTCTCAACAACCCACAACTACACAAGAGCACCACTTGAGTCTAGATCTCCCCTATGAGGGGAACTACATGCCGATTCCGATGGGTGCGCTGCGCAGTATCAGTAAAGATAGCGCCACAAGTAGCGTCACGCAGATGGGCGGCGCCGGTCCGGGAGTGATCGATAATTATGCCCAAATTAGAGATAAACCCGTTTACGAAAGAAGTAGTACCTTCCCCCCCATCAACGAACGACGTGCACTGCTCTAATTACCCGACGTGTACTTGCAAAAACTGCGCACTTTGCTAGCACGCCATGACATTGAGTGCTACCTGCTAGAGAACACGGATTCTGGACCAGAGCGCGTGGTGCATCGAAGACTACGCCACCTTTTGCGGTTACTCGAAGATAACAAGGAGTGTGGCCCAGCCCGCATTAAGATCTGGGAACGCGAGCTGGAACGACACACGACGTTGTTGACAAACTTGAGCCCCTATGTATTTCAACAAAGCATGGGAGCGTAAGCTTGTACCTACTTGGGAAGTTTATTGTATTGCTAATCTCATTCATACTAACAAGAAAAGAAAAAATTTGACAACTTCATTATACTACTGGAAGCAGTACCGGAACTGGTGCTTCTGTTGTTGAACAGGGAAATTAGGTGAGAGGATCACATGCTTTCCTTTGGTCTATCTTTTGCTCTATCTTTTTCTTCATCTTGATCGATGAACTAGAATCCCTTTCTTTTAGTTTTACGTTGAAGAGATAGGTTTATACAAAATACTTACTGATTCATCAATTTATTTCCAAAGACTCCCATTTGCTGTCGCCGTACAACTGGACCTGGTGCTTATGTTGTTGAACAGGGAAAAGACAATCAGGCGTTTCGTAAACAAGCACCAGCTGCCTCTTTTTGCTGCCAGCACGTATACTATAAAGTTGACATTCACAACGACATAATCTTTATCGACTTTTTTCAAATTTTGAAACTCGCTTGAATGGAGCGAGGCCTCACGCATCCTTTGATTTGCCTAGAGGAACTCCTGTTTTCTATTCTTTGTGTTCTGCCTGTCTTCGTTCTCGTACTCGTTTCCTTCATCGTGACCGTGTCAGTCTCCACAAGAAAAAGCTTCTTGACGCTTACCACCATGAGGCATGAGAAATGAGCGTCCTCGTCTCGAGCTTTCGTATTCGTACCGATGATCATCGAGTGGTAGAAAAATTTTCTGACGAGCAGATGCGGGTACACAAAAGACAGAAGAGATAGAGAAAAATAGAAATGAGGATAAAATAGAGAGAGTGAAGAACAATTCGAATACCTCGCAAAGTCTACATCGGCTTCCTCGTAATATATCGGTATCCATCTTCGACGTCGAAGTCGATCTGTGCAAGAACATGTATTCACGTTAGAGGCGCATTTCCACCTTTTAAAGTCTTCATCTTCCCAATCCTCCCTCAACACTAGAGTAAAAATAATATTCGACTTCAGTTTTTGTTGTACGTTGATTCCTCGTAGATCTAGATTGATTGCTGTGGGTGTGGTCATCTCTCTCATCGTTTCCTTGATTAAAGAAGGCTTCAACTATACTATGACTCATATTTTTTCACTTAAGCCTTGTCTGTGTTCGAGATCATGAAAAATCCAATCTCCTTTACTACTTCTGCAAAAACCTCTCTGTTCAAAAAACCACCACCTTAGCAGGCAAAAAGAATACTAGAAGAAGAAGTAGGGGTTTCTCCATGACTTCTCAACCTAACTAGTCTTAAAGATCTCCTTTTCTCCTACCACGATTTGTATTTCTCAACCCGCCTAAGTGACCTAATTACACAACGCACAACAACATCAAGATCAAGATCTTCAAGATCAAAGTGTAAAAAACCTCCAGCGCAGAAGTAACTGTACCACAAAAATTGGTACAGCAACAGAAGAATCAACTTCAACATCACGAAAACAACCAGGAACAACGAAGACCACGTCAAGGGAACAATCAACATCAGAGATCAGACAAGATGATGTTGACGCCGTCACGTTGGCCTTCTCGTGGCTCGCCTCGTTCGGGTCTCATTGTGCTGTCCCTTTGCTTTGCAGATAACATCCTGGTGGAGGCGAAGGTCAAGTTATGGACAGCTGTATTTCTCCTTAGCTGCATGATCTACTTGGTCCCCCCCTTTATATTTTTAGACCAGCTTTCTGCAAACAAACTCTTAGCTTCGATCATGTTGAAACCGATGGTGCGAATTGTGTAAGTAGCGTGTAGTTGTGCAGGAGGTTAACGCACTCCCACCATCGCCGGGCAGCATCCTGGGAAAAATGTGGGTCATCGTATATTTCTAGTATACCGCCCGCCATAACCCCCTCCCTGTTGTTTGTAATTGTAATTGTATTCCCATGAATTGTACTTACAAAAATATTACATATTATTGAGATGAGACGAGGAGCAAGATACTTGAATAAACCAACACGAAGAGATGACACTACAGATACTTGGATAAGGCAGAAGAGATGACACTACTGATACCTACTTAGAAGATAAACCAACTCGACTTCGACTATAGCGAAGAGATGACACTACAAGCAAGAGCAAAAAGGGTCGAAATATATAGCGGTCACATCAGGAAGTGCAAAGGATGAACTCTATAACAACAGCAACCACCTCTAGTATAGGCACAATCATCATGATCATCATCATCATCATCATCATCATCATTATCATCGTCATTCACATGAATACGAATAGAAGAGGACTCTAATCAAGGAAGGGAATTTGCGCGGTATCGACACTGGTGCAGCGTACCTAGGAACGAGCACGCAGAAGGCTGCTGAGAAAGAGAATTATGAAAACTGCAATATCTATATCTATAAGTAGAACTACCAACCTTCCTACAACACCTAAGTACTTACATGATATTGATAGGTAGTATCTTCCTACATCTACAAGAACTAGTATCTTCCTACATGATCTGGTACAACTTGTTCTATCTTCTACTTCTGCCGAATGAAGAAAAAAGGGTACTCTTACACCCACAAAATTCTTCTTTTAATACAAAAATTAGACTTCTGATACTGATGCTGTTCTATATTTCTAAGTCTAAGACAATCATGAACAAGCGGAACAACAAGCGGATGCTTATACGTCAGTTCCTGATGTCTACTCTGCAGTCTCAGACTATTGGATTCCCGCTGCAACCTCGTTCTTAAACGTGTACGGTGGCAACACGGACGAGCCAGAGCCGACGAAAGTCGAGGCATTTAAGGGAATGGGATTGGGAAGTTTCTTTCTCTGAATATAATATTGTAGTCTACCTGGTACTTCTGATTGTTGTTGTTCTAAAAAGGGGATTTTTTTCGCTTGTAGTTCAGATGAGTGCCTTAGACACGACTCAGGCGGGACTCAATCAACCGACGACTCTCAATGTAGTTAGTTGAAGAAAAATGAAGAGCAATAATAGTCCTCTGCGACATCATCAAGAAGAACTTGTAGAGTTGGCTTTCAACGAGTGATAAAACCCATGTGTCGGCGTCGATATCACTGATTCTTTCGGTACCAATTTCATCAGTAATAGTTTTAGTTGTACTAGAAATACAGTCTTTACCTACTGCTTCTAAAATCAGTGCTTGTGATGGTTCTTCTTCGGCTTTGGAGATGAAGCAATCAGCTTGCTGCGGAGGTGGTTCGGACGATTCATCGAAGAGCACTGCAGCTGCAAAACCTCCTGCTGAAGTCGGAACAACAACCCCATCGGCAAGCGGAGCCCGTGCGGGTGCACCACTTAATAAGGCCTGGGTAAGTCTTTTGAACTCGAAGTCTTGAAATGTGTTTGAATCTTTGTAGAAAAATCTTCAGTTATTAGTAATGGATCGTGATGCAACTCATCGTTAAATATCAAATCTTCTACCTGATCCTCTTCCTCGTCTTCGTCTTCTACCTGAACTGTTGTAGTTGTCTAGAACTACTAGTGGTAGTAGTCTAGAACTACTAGTGGTAGTAGTTCTTGTCAGTCTGATGGATGCGACAGGTATAGGTAATTAGTACAACATATAATTTATTATAGAATAGTGTAGTTAACCTAACCTAACCAGTTGTAGTACGATCTTTTGCACTTCTGTTCTCTCTGCTTCCGAGCTTCATCTACTTGCTAGTAGTTTCGCTAGTGGCCTTCCAGCTAAAAAGATGATAGTAGTTACTTTCGCTTGAAGAGGTACTCCTACATCATTTTTTACTTCTGCTGGTCGGGGCTTCACCCGTGGATCTGCGATGAGTAGAGCGGTACCTCACTAACGTGTAAGATTGACAGTTCTCGTTGCACCGTGTAAGATAATTCTACTTGTTCTTGTCACATGAAGATAGAAGTTCTAGTTGTAAGATAGTAGTACTATTAGCTCATCTTGTAGGAACGTGTATGTACGATGGATCATGAGACGAGACCTGCTCTAATTTCCGAGGCCCTGGCGCTAGCACAACTGGCGGTGCCAGCACTGGCGCGCGCACTGGCACGGGCAGCGATGGCGATGGCGCTGGCGCTGGCGCTGGCGCTGGCGATGGCGATGGCGGCACTGGCAGGACTGGCAGGAATGGCGCCGAGCGTCCCGATAAAGGGACGGCTTCGGGTTTGAACAGAGACACGAAGACCTTATTCACGGAGAAGCACGTGAACATCGTTAAGGCTTCCCCTAATCCATCTCCATAGAAGGGATCCCTCAACCATATGCAAGGGCCCATATGCCTATTCTGAAAGATGTTACTTTTGTGAAAAAGACAATCTGGCCTTTGGTCTTCCCCGGTCCATCTCAATACTATGTACTGAAAGCGCCCCGAACTTGATCCGAACTTGGGGGCGCAACTTTCTCCGAGGGCACGCAGAGGCATGCCAATGCATGATTTGGTCAGGGATCTCTGTCTACAGGGATGAACTACGCCGGAGCGGTCTAATGTCCGTGCTCATGTCACGAACGCTGCCTGGGGTAAGGGCGATGACCCTTACAAGTGCCTTATGATCTTTGGAGCAGCACAGTTCTACATTTATCTTTTTTTGTTTACCTCCTGGAGTTGAAGTTGATTAATGGTTGGTGGTGCCTCTGTGGCTACTTACACATATTCGCCTGAGGATACGGGTCAAACAGTGGCTGGTGATTATACAGTCAACTCCTTCTATCCTATCTATCTCGCTACAAGTACAACCTCCTCACACACATCTTTCTGCCAACTAGACAAGCACCCCTAGATACAACATCTGAGCTTGATCCCTCGTATTTAATCGCTGTGAGCCTCCAGGTGCAGTTTCTATCTATGTAAGTATTATGAGCGTCAGTCTTATATATTTACTTCCCCAGCCATTTTGGCTCACGCTTCTCAACGTTATGATCAAGATCGAGCAAGTCAATGCTTTGCACCCTCTGGATAAAAAAGTTATTTCTAATATCCCTGCATCTGACGAAGAAAAGGATGCTGTTGCAACTCCGAAGATGGAAACGAGTTTCGCTTTGATGGACCAGTCGAAAAAGAATACCTTGACGACAAACAAAAACACTTTGCAAATTACGAGAGACTCTTTTCCTATCCTACTTGTCCTATCCTAACCTATGCATGCTATCCTAGTAACCTATGACAACCTATGCTACCCTATCCTATCCTGCTATCCTATCCTATACTATCCTATCCTATCCTATTTCCCACTTCAAGTTCTTGACTGTCCTCTTACTTGTAGCCTCTTTACTTATATCATTTAATGACATTACGTAGACTGATGCGACTGACTCTGACGCTGACCCCATTGACAAAAAGACAACCGCTTGCTATACTAATTCGAGAGAACAACCAACAACAACGATATTAACAAAAATGCGTATTTGAGTTTGATGTTAGAGGTTTCATTATTATTTGACCAGTAGTCGCGAGAGCCGAGCACTTCACCGAGGCACGCACAGGGCTGTTGGACAACACGCGGCGCCTAGAATAGAAGGGTCCCAATTAGCATGGCCATGAAATTACTCTAAACGCTGTTTTACATCTACATGCTTTCTTTTTTGCTTCTTCTAGTTAGGTTGGCTCCACCACTATTATTTGACCAGCAGTAGTTGCTGTTCATCCTCAACATCCAGCGTTTTTGCTGTTTATTCAGAGAAGATGTTACCTCAAGTAGTGGATACTGTTATTCAGCGATATTCTTCTAATCTTGGTCTCGGCTGTACGGATCCGAGCAACGAGGAGTATAAGCAGTTGGAACGCTTGTGGGCGGAAGAAAAAACTGCAGATCATTAAGGCTTGCGCTTTTTGTGACTTCATCAATTTGTTGCTGTTTTATAGATGAAAAATAGGAAGTTATACATAGTGTCTTCTGGTCTTATCCACCCTTTACAACTGCTGCTGTTTCATAAATCTTGTGTTCTAGCGTCTTCTGATCGTATCCACCCCTTACAACTACTTAGAGGTTTCTATTACTTAGAAACTTCTTGTCGGGGGAGAAGATCAGAAGCCAAGAGAGCACTCAAACTATACATACAACTAAGAGGACCTCGACGTCATCAAAATCAAGTATCACTTAAAATAATTTGAGGGATCACAACTTCAATAGCGTTTATTAAAGAAGGCACATTGCACAACGAACTTGAAGTAGGATAACCATTCTGGAATTATAAGCATAGAAATTGAACAATATTACCCGTACAACTACTGAAAATAGGCGAGTAGGTATCTGAAGTAACCGAGTATCTGCGCAGATAATTATCTATGCTACTCGGTTATTTCAGTTTTTTGAGTAGCTCTAAAGAAATTTGGATTTGGAGACAGTTCTCGGTCGAACGGCAGATGGTGCTGTGCTCACGCCCACCCCTTGCGAATACGTTGCCTTGCAGAATTTCGCGGTGGTACTAGATTTCGACTTCTACAGGCCTTGAACTTGATCCATCTTGGTTCATCTAAATTATATTGCTTTTGCTCCATCTCAATTTAACAGAAAAGTGTATCCGGAAAAGTTTAGTTGTTGAGTGTGAGTAATGGTTTTGGTTATGGTTTTCTGTCTACTTATAAGCAGTGAATGTAAAAATTCATTCTCATTCATTGGTTCATCTCTTCAGCTTAGAAACAGAAAAGTGAATGTTGTAATTTATTGGTTCATCATCTTGTTTTTCAGAAAAACGAGTTGGTTGTTGTGACGATGTTTTACGCATATTGGTGTACGCATTGCGAAACTTTTCATTCGAAATTTGCTGACGCCGCGAAGCAGATCATGCTCAGAGGCGATGAGACAGATAAGAAATTCCTCTTCCTGGGTGTGCATTGCGAAGCACATTGCGTTGGAAGTTTTTTTATGAACTACGGATCGATGGATATTGGATCATGAGGATGTGGAATTGATGCTTATCTTTATCAGATGTTCAACATGTTGTAGGAGCAGTGGCTTTCCTTATTTCTAGTGAGGGCTCCACTGGATACATACCACTGGAACCTTTATCTACTTTATCAGTTGTTGTTGTATCACAAGAAAGTAAAGAGGGGTCACTTCATAGTCTCATTGAGAATTGGAACTTTTGTTGTTGCTCGTAGTCTTTGGCCTAGAAGCGCTGTAGCTTTCGCTTCAAAACTTATTTTCATCGAGTTTGAGTTTGAGAACACCGATGAAAATAACCTCAAAAGACTCGTCTGAATTATTTTCTTCAACTACCACCTCGACCTAGACCTACATTGTTTTTGTTAATTTCGATAGATCTTCATCTTCTTGTTCATCTTGTTGATCCCTTTCTACGGCATGTCCCTTTTTCCGCTCTGTTCTTCCCTCCGCTCTGTTCCTCTTTCTGCCTCCTTGTTCCTCTTTCACCTGCCTACTTGTTCCTCTTCCCGCCTTGTCCCTCTAATCGCCTGTGCGGGACAGTCATCAACCTTTATCCGACTATTGTGTTTCAGATGATAAGCGAAGGAGAACCCGTATGGGGAAGTGGTCTTCCTCATCCTAAGGATGGTGCTGCGCTTGCAGACATCCTCCGCGCTATGTATGACAAGGAACAAAAAACGGTACTTTTTTTTTCTTTAGTATGCCAATTGTTGGTCTCAACTGCATAGGAGAAGGTCACGAATAGAACATGAAACAGGAAGTGCTATGCTAACGGCCTATAGATGCGTCGGTCATGACATGCAGCTCTCGCATGTTTCGGTTCATTTGATGGCATATCCAGCCTATACGCTCACTCCGTCATAAGTGAGCCTACTCCTATCCTATCCTATGCCAGAGCATTCTATAGCACGCATGGCGCACGGAGTGGCATGGAGTTCATGGAGCGCAGATCCAGAAGGGACGCAAGAGGCGCCCCCTTTAGCTCCATGCGGTCCATGCACTCCATGCCAAGCGAGCTGGCAAATCTTAAAAATTACTCTGGTATACCTACTTAGGTAACTGAAAGCGAAAGCGTTTGCGTCTGATGCGAGGACAAGTCTTCAACGTGAAGCTGAAAGCTTTACTTCTTGTGCATCTTCTTCCTTATAATAAATAAGTAGAACAATTGACCCCACGTGAAGATAATCTCAAATAGAATAAAAATGATAACCCCAACAGCACGACGTGATAAAGAGCTCAAATTCCTGAACAGAATATGAATTATATCACGATCACCTGTACGTGATAATCTCAAATTAATAGAATTTATGATTATGAATAACAATAACCCCCAATGAAATATGACACATCATACTCCACATACGCATGACAATACTTATGATAATCACAGGCTGGCAGTGTTTTGACGTTGTCTACTATGAAGGGTGAAGCTGACCCTTTTGCCGGATTTGGCGCCATTGGTGATGAGCCCGTGGTGGCTTACACTATTATGACATGAACTGACACCTTAGAATCCTAGATACTGTGATTTCTCTTAGATACTGTGATACCTTAGAAATAAGAACCTGCATACAACTGTGACTTCTTTTAGTTAGATACTGTGATTTTCTCTTAGAAACCTAGGTACATAGTATTCGTAGATAACTAGGGAAGTAATTATGACTACATGAAAGGGCATCAACTATGACCCGAAGATCTTGTTAATGTATCATCTCTACTTTTTTGGATTACTATGCTGCTCCTGCTGTGGTGGATTTGTATCATTTAATGTTTCGGTCTCTCTGAGTAAGTCAACAGTAGTTGTACTAAAGTTGTGAAGTAATAGTAAGAAAGTATTAGTTTTAGTATCTTTCACTTTCAGCAGGCTAGAAAAGCGGGTAGAACTCGTCAGGGAAATCTTAGGCATCTTGCCGAATAGATTCAAATCGTCACCTTTCACTCTCAGAGTCAGAGTAACAGTAAGTCCTCGTCTGATTACAATTTTCCGCCGACTAGTACTAACAAGAATACTGAGTGTTAACTACATTTTCTGTAAGAGTGAGGTCGTCGTTGTTGTACTTGTAAGTAGGTAGTCGTACTAGTGCTAACTTCTACTCTATTCAGTAGTCTACTTTACTCAGTAGTTGTTCTTGTACTGTACACCACGTCGCTGGGAACGTGATATTCAGCAACTCCATCCCCTCTAAGACTCAATTCCTGACGATGAACGCGGATAAAGTCCAGTCCGGTTGGCCTGATAACGATCGCAGCTACTACAACAAGGTTCAAGAAAAAAAGCTCTCGGGTGACGTTTATGCTTGTCATGCTCTTATTAGAAATCTGAAACCTAAACGTACGTGTGAGGGTAGGTAGCTCTAGCTCTGGGGCTAGCTTTGCTCACGGCCTCCAAAGATGATGTCCGTATCATTGTCTCTTCCTTTTCTAACAAAAGAAGATCCAGATGCAAGGCATGGACAAGGAAAAGGCAAAGCAGGTCCTGCACCAGTTCACTCCGATCAACCTCGTCAAGCTTTACAATTACGGCACCAGCAACTTAATACTGAAGATAGTAATAGTATGTTGTTCTTGTGCATGACAAGGACAATATCTTCGTAATAGTATGCTATGTGTATGACAAGGACGATGATTGCCCGGGACCACTCATACCTATGCATACAAAGGCAGTAGTACTAGCGTGGATAAAAAAAATGGATCGTCCTAATCATGTTGATGCTAATCCATATTTACAGCCACAGGCTCAGAGGTGTGATCCTGATCGGTCCTGGAGATTATGAGGGTTTATTCTTATTGCAAGGGGAAAAGGAAAAGGACGAACACGAAAACGTTTTTTCTAGTTCTAATACAATCCTGACGGCGAGACGAATATGTCTCCCGAACAGGAAAAGCGGCTGGAGGAAGTCGGAAAACAGGTCACCAAGATCGGAGAACAGGTCATCAGCAAGGCTACTGCGAAGTTAAGAATTGGAAGAATTATTTTTCTTAGACTACTTTTTTAATATGAAACAAGTCATGTTGATATTGATTACATTTCAAAAGTCATAATTTTAATTACATTTTTAAGAACGAACAAGAAACTATGATTATCTTCTTCAAGACCCCATCCTCCTGAACACCTTGAACAGAAGTAGCAATACCCTCAACAGGAGAACTAACAATTACAATACCCTCAACAGAAGTAGCAATACCTTCAACAGGAGAACTAACAATTGCAATACCCTCAAGAGAAGTAACAATACCCTCAACAGGAGTAACAATACCCTCAACAGAAGTAGCAATACCCTCGTCCTCCCTCTTCTAAGTTCCGAAAATATGTTGACAACTTCGCTTCTGTTTTTCCTGAAGTTTCTGGCGAAGCCGCAGCACATGAGCGCGTTGCCAATGGGCGGAGAATCGGGACAGGAGAAACTTCTTGCGTTTCGACGTGTTGTCCTCGCTACCTTGTCGTCTGTTTTCTTTATGATTCCTTTTAAAAGTAGTTTTTAAAGGGCAAGGGGTGCTGGGGAAACAAGAAACGACAGGATAGAATAATCTTCATCAATTTCGAATATCTCGCCCTCACGTTCACGACAATTTGATGAAGTTAGCAATTCAATTTGATGTCAATTTCGACTTCGAGTGACAGTCTGACTGGTAACTATGTATGATATCTTCTTTTTGCGTTTGCATTGTCTACTTTCTATCACAATGTTGTACCCGTTAGGTTCTTTAGAAGTTATAACTATAGCTGTAAATGTACAGTGTCATCAGCCTCAGCCTCAGCTGCTGAGCACTCTCTTTTTCTCGTACGACCTTACAGTCTCAGCACTCGTCGTGGTCGTCTCTAGTACGGCGGAGCACTCGTCGTCTCTAGTAGGTAGGATCAGCGTCACCCCCACCACCTCGTCTCAGCACTCGTCGTCTCTAGTAGGTAAGATCAGAGTCACAGTCTCCCTCACCAGAACGTACTAGCAGTAAAACTGATCCTCTTCTAATGTGGCACCAGAGAAACTACAGAAGAGCAAGGCTCTCAGCCTCAATCTTAAGGATGAAAAGACCGGGACCGGTGGAAGTGTGGATCTTACTGGCGCTGACACCGTCAGCACCAATATGCTGATGGGCGCCGCGCATTTACTTGGGAGGATCAATGGCTTATGAAAGGCGAAGTGGTACTAGAGATATATGAAGGTCATTCCTTTTCTTGCGCTAAGAAAGACGAAAGGTGAAGAAGTAGGAAAAGATAGACATAGAAGAATGATGTTCATGATCTTTCTACAAGAAGTCATGATGTAGCATTTTATTAGCAGAAGATAGCTGATGTGTACGTGATCTACCTGTACCTGGTGAATTCAAATTCATTCTTGTTCTTCTGGAACTCCTTCATATGATCGAAGTCGTCATCATCATCGTCATCATCATCATCATCATCGTGCGCGCTCGTACTCAAGGCGTTGGCTTTTTTTTGCCAAATACAAGATGCGTGATGTCTGGGGCTCATTAGTGACGACTACTTCTGTAGGCTGACTTCTACATACAATATCCCACGTGCACGTCGGACCACCTCTAACTCCGGTGACACCGAATCCGAGCCACATTGCAACCGGGACAGAGGGAGGAGACCCGCACCGCCCGGAATTGGCGATGGGCTCCCTTTCTCCACAGACCGCAGCGGACGGTACTCTTGCTTAAGGCAACAATACAGCACACCTGTTGGCTGTTGAACAGAATATAGAGACGACCCCTCATGATAATAGTTGCCAGCAAGTGGCAACACTTGTGCTAAGTGTAACTTCTAACTAGAACCAGTAATCTATCTAGTACTTATTTCATCAACAGATTCTGATACACCAGATAAAAAAAGACTGAAATACAGACTAATATCTTAGCAAGTTAATCAAAGTCAACATGTTCATGTTGGTCAGTATCAAATGATTGTAACGGTGCGTCTACTTCTATGTGTTTTACTATCTAGTTATAGGTGTAGCAAGGGGTGTACGATTTGCACGTGTTGTACTAGGTGTACCAGCAAAATGAAAATCCAGACAGTATAGCTGCAACTGCAAGGATTAGCAACATCAACATACTACTTGAGTTCTAGTTCGTGTGTCCTGTCCTCTAATTCACAAAGGCGCAGCACCAGTTGCGAACGGAGATGATCAATGCCAAATTGGACATCAATCCGCAAGGTAAAGATCTCACCGCGGACGATGTCAGCTTCTTTTGTTATGAAGACTGTGTGAGAAGTGAACAGGCCAACGCTTAAACAACTGAACCAAAAACACTTAGAAACTTTGAATGTAACAGACGGTTGCAGGAGTCGGACAAGTATCGCCAGAATTTGAGTAAGTCTCTTACTCTTGTTCTCATCGACTTGATATTGATGCATGTGCTTGTTGCTACTATCTATTGTTCCTCGACGGACCGGCGTGCCATCTTGTTATCCGTCCTTAGTAATAAATCCGTACCATTGTAGTTGTATGACCCTCATCTTCCTTCCCTCGTAAACGTTTTTTGTCCCATAGCACTTCATCTTTGTAATCTCACTCCATTTCTTGAAATTCAAAGGTCCCCAACATGCTTAGTATCCACTCTCTAACTTTGGTCCATTTTCCATTTCGTTGCTGTGGCCAGCGCGACGCCTGAGATGGCCTTCAGGTTTATTGACGAGGTGATGAAACACTGGATGCTCTGCAGCCAATGTCGCCGCCACTACATGCAGGACCCACTTGCACGTCGTGCACTGAAATCAGCTGCGGACCCGGCAACGGGAGATAAGAAGAAATTCATTTATGATGATGAGGATGAGCTGGAAGAAGAAAATAGAAGTACTAGAATGAATTGGAATTCATCTATGATATGTTGTGCTAGAAGAAAATGAAAAAGCTACTGTAGAAGCAAGTAAGAAGTAAAGGTTAAGATATCATCTTAGCTTTGGATGAACATGAAGAAAACAAACAACAAGTTTGTATATTACCGGATTATCTGTGTAAGACTTCTTCTCTTTCCTCTTTTCCTTCATTTCTTCCTGGCTTTGTGGCGATTTCACAACGACGTTTCAGTTCGCGTGCAAGTCGAAAAAGCAGTTGGCAATTCCTGCAGCACTGGAGCACCGGCGGATGCTGCAAAGCCCAAAATCGAAGATCGCCGTTGGCCTTCCTGCAAGCTTTGCCCGGATTGCTATCATGCAGAAAAGTATATGTTGCTCATCTTTTTGTTTTTGAGTTTGAGATGATTAAAGATAAAGAATTAAGAAATCCATTCGCATTCTTATCGTAAAAATGAAGAGCCCGAAGTAGATCTTCTTGTTCGTTGTTTATTTTCACAACATAATAAATCTACTTTTCAGACTACTTACAGACTATTTCGAAGACTACACATTAGAAGGATTAGACATACTTATCCATAGAAGTGATAGAGATAGACTCGATCCTCCTCCATTTTCAAATTCTTCTAACAGATGCACGGACAGCACCGGTGCAGCCGCTCCTGCCGCTGCGACTACCTGGCCCCAAACAGCGGAATGCGAATCACTCATGTCGAAGAGTGTTGAGCGCCCTCATGCACAAGAGGAAGAGGCAGATGCAGTCTTCAACCTAGATAAGACCCACGAATTCCTCGTGTCCATCTACGGAATCGAATGAGGAGAAAGATTATAGTAGATGTGGAAGTTATACTTAGTACTAGGTTACAGGAGGTGGAAAAGGGATAGGGGAGGACAAGGTGGATGGGGTCGTACTAGGTTACAGGAGGTGGAAAAGGGATAAGGGAGGACAAGGTGGAGGTGGAAAAGGGATTGGATAGGGGAGGACAAGGAAAATAGACGAGGTGGGAGAAATTATATGGGGGAGAACTACCAGGAGGGGGAAAAATAGGGTTCAGAGGTGGTGGTTGAGGGGGAGGATGTGGTAATAGAAGAGTAGGGGTAGGGGAGGAAGAAGTGGAGTTTTTTCTGGGAAGTAGAGGAGCTCTTCTTAAGGAGTTGGAGAGGGAGGATGAGCAGCTCTTACTAGAGAAGTGTAGGACCACGAGCTCATGATCATGGGGAAAACAGAGGAGGAGGAGGAGGAGGAGGTCTAAGACTAAGTATAGATCAACATGAAAATTTACTTACAAGAACAAGAAGAAATGTGAGAGTGAAAGAATTAGAGAAGATAGATATCAATCTCATCTAGAACTAGGATGCACCACGAAATATTGCAATCAAAGTATGTGTATGTAAATTTTCATTATCTGGGTGGCGCTTACGAAACGAAGAAACGAAGTTGCGAATCCGGTCACTTGTAACTCTGTCGCAGATGTAGTCGGGGGCGCATGTTGTTCGCTCTGGGAACTTCGGGGAGGGGGTTTTCGCATTGTCTTTCGGTTTCCGCAGTGTGGCGCCGGCGCCCCGTTTATCCGAGGCAAGAAACTCGGACACGGCTGCCGCCAGGGTTGGGCTTGACCGCGGTCGGCGCAGGTTTAGAGACGTCTCGAAAGCGCTGGCCGTGTATTGGGATTCTCGCTCGCCTCTTGCGGGGGGCGAGAATCGGGGTGCGGGTCCTCCTCCGCGCGGCATGTTGGGCATGAACACGACAGCCGCCGCCGGCCGCTCCGGCGAATTGCCCAAGGCCTGGGTCGGGTCTTGCTGTTGTCGTTCTCCACATGCCGCGCCTATAGCCTTGGGCCCAGCTGTCTTGCCGCCGTCGTTGGCGCGGCGTGTGGTCTTCGTGATGGGCCACGGCGGCTCAGGCGATATGTATGCCCCAGGCTCGCTCGAGGGAGCCAGGTTCAAGACTTCGGAGGGGTTCGCGAAAGTTGGCCAGGCGGCGGCGGTGCTGGGCCCTCGACTCCTCAGGCGAGATTCCCAGAATGTCGCCCAGGCTCTGGAATTCTCGCCCCCCTCTTGCGGGGGGCGAGAATCCCAGCACGCGCCGGAAGGTCTGCGCCGTTTTTTGAGCAAAATCCGCAAGAAAATGCACCTAAAACAGCTGTCGACACCCCGGCGCGTGCTGGGATTCTCGCTCCCCTCTTGCGGGGGGCGAGAATCCCAGATCCCCGGCGAAGACTTGGAATTCTCGCCTGAGAAGTCGAAGTCGTGGCGCCAGCCATAGTCCCGCGCGCGCCTAAAGTTCAGCGGCTCCCCTTGTCTGAAATCTTCGCCACCGGTGAACTGGGAGCGAGAACGAACCAGCGACAGCAAGGAAGCCATAGCCTGAAAACGCCACCGGCAAGGCACTCACTGGTGGCGTGCAAAACCGGCTTGATTGGATTGCCGCGAGAGCCCAGGCCTTGGGGCATGTCGTCAGCCCATGGCACTCCCGGGGTGAGGCTGCCTTGGGGCTTGGGGTCCGCCGGGTAACGCCTCTCGGCGGCTGCACCCATTCCGCCGGCACTGCTCGGGGCGGCTTGTGTCTTGAGTAGTCTATCGGCGTTTTTCCGTTGTGTGGTCGGTGCGGGCCGCCTTGACGGACGGTGCGGCCCTGGCCTCCCCTCTCGCCACCCCCGCGCTTCTTGCTTGTGCTTGTTCGCTTGGGCGTGTGTCATTTTTGGCCGCTCTGTCTGTGTAGGTTGTCGTCGATTCGTCTGGTTTGGGTCGTGTCGTGTTGGTGGTGTCTGTTCGTTGCAAGTGATCAGCCAGACGGCTTCGGCGAATATCTCTGTTAGTTTGTATCAAAAGAGCACACGAGAAAAAAGGGGGGCAAAGCGCCACCCAGTTATCTATCAAGTATCATGATGTCATGTTAGTTAGGAGCACTAGAAATTCTGTCATCATCGATTACGAATTCGGAATATAACACAACAATGTCATGAACCGATTGACCAACCTATGTTTGCAAAGTTGAAGAACAAGGGTTACCAATTAAAAGCTACAACTCAACACGAGAGCACTTACCAAGAACATTCATGATCTAACAGCCTAGTTACTCTTCAATACAGACAACAGACTCGATAGCAGTAATACTATTAGTATTATCATGATTATGTCCTCGATCACAAGACCAACAACTATCGACAAGGGGAGGTTCGAAAGCAATCATTCATCTGTTCATATTGTCAAGATCAGGAACTACGGTAATTAGCATTAATAAAGCAATCATCAAATCAGCAATAACAGCGAAGCAGAACTAGAACTACAAGGATAAAGCGAAACCTAAGGACCACTAAATCAACAAAAGCACCATCAGATTCATCAAATTTGTAAAACACACCGAACGTAAAAATAGCAAGACTACGTAATATCCGCATCAAGAGTCAAGCTATTAATGTCTTAATCATCATCAATCAATATCGATACTATCCTTTCAATACTAACACACAGCTGTCGTGCATGTCTTGAATTCACAATAGTTACCAATGTCCAACTCCAAACACAACGTATCGTAGGTACCATAGTTCTCCACATAAAGAAATCCATTCAATAGATATCGCAACAAATTTGCAGTTTACATATGTCTATGTCATTAATCTTCACAACACTCAAGAATGAAAAATGTCAGGTGAACAGAGCATTCCTTAAAGAACAACACCGCGACGGTCTTCAACGAACTCGATAATACCACTAGGACTAGCACATTAGGATAGTACATTTGAATACGTATTACTGGTAACTACACACGAACAATATTATCGATCCGAAGATTTGAATTTTCGACCAACAACTTGTACAACGAGCAGAACTTCATGTCATGGAAAGCAGGAAAACAGTGATAGTGTACAAACTAAGTACAACGTTCATCAATTTTCTAGGTTTTGTACTTTCTTATGTAAAGCCGAGTAGAAATGGGCGAAAGAAGAAGTGACGGCTAGCCCATTTTCTCCTGAAAGAACGGTAGAAGTCTAGAAAATTGTGTAGAACGAAGAACTATGCATCCTATGCAATTGATGTTGTTTCGCATCTCTGCACTCCGCTCTTCGTCGACAAATCAACGTCATTATGTCTTTCTGAGAAAGAAAGCTCAATCTAAATCAAGAACTCCATAAAACCTTCTACAAGATACAGGGTCACCCCAGACCCTCATTCTTGCGACACCAGAATCAGAAAGGAGATTTCTTATCGGTCACGCCCGCAAGTCCCGGGCTACCGCGCTTCGCCCCCTGAATGAATGAATGAACTGCGCAAGCTCATGTGACATCGACTACGACTCTTCGAAAAAGAGAATTTTTTCTGCAGGGACATCGATCCAAAACATCAAACTCATGAACCTGACAAGAATTTAGAATTTTCATTGTACATACTGTTTGCCATTGAAAAAAATAAAAATTCCTCAGCAGTGGGCAACGAACTGCCTGCTTAGCTTTCCAGACGGCGAAACTTCTTGATTCTCATGTACTGGCGCAAGAAGAATGATCATGTGGTAGGAGTTCATGCTTTGTTGCTAACGCAAAAATTGCAAAAGAAACACACAATGACAATTACATCACATGATTCAACAAACGCAGAAAGAAAAAAGGTCAGCGGCAACTGTTTCTACATTTGTCATTGGTAGCGTAAGTAGTGGGACTTCTGGGACGGGGTATAGAATTAGTTTCAGCCTCGTTTAGGTCGCAAAGACATGATCATTTATACAGTATAATCTTAGTTAAATAAGAGAAAGGTCGTGAATGAAAAAATAAGAGAAAGGTCGCGAATGAAAAAAAGATATACATATAGCAAGCAGCTGAATAATAAGAGACCAAAATTTATTGGATGTCCTCCTCTACTCGTGTACGGAGGACCAGGACCAGGTCGCCTGGTTTTGTGTCCTTGAAGACTGTGTTTGACGAGCAATTGAACCAGGTCGATGACGAAATCGCGGTCATGTTTGCCTCTCTGAAAAGCGGTTCTGACTCCGCCGATGCTTGCGCGACTAAACGCAACAGTCTGCTGCGAGCGCTTACACAGTGCGATCGGGATGAGGAAGAAGAACATGCGAGGACTGCAGGGAAAGGCGACAGCAGCAGCAGCGGAGGTAAAGACAACAACCAAGGCGATGCAAGTATGCTACTAGATGAAGCTCAAGATCGAGTCGGTCGGATGCAGCAAGGGCAAGGACATCTTCCAGCACGACACGAGCAGAATCACAGAGGAGATGAATCGAACAGGTCCAGAAAAACGACCCATAGTAGAAGCAGTGACGAGGGATCATCCCCATCCGTAGTGAATGTGAAGAATGGTTCTTCCTCTGCAACTAGCACAGCACAAATAGCAGGAAAAAGGCTAGGAGAACAAGGACAACACCTTGTCCAACACGGTCTAGAACAACAAACTCCATCACGTTGTAACACGACAGCGACAGCCAGTACATCCTGTAGCAGCTCTGCGACCGCGACAGGAGCCTCCTCGTCCTCCTGCAGTACTAGACGTGATCAAATAACACCAGCTATACGTCCGTCACCAGCGATCACCCCTGTACCGGAAGAGGACAGACCGGGTACTAATCATGCTGCTGATCATGTTCATGTCGGTGGAGATGACGTGGGGTCCCTCGGGAAGAGTACCAAAACCACTACCGCCCCTTCCCCCACGACATCCTCAACGGCTTCCTCGACCTCAACATCCTGCTCGCCTATGGAAACATCGCAAGGACCGCATAGTGCCTGTATTAACCTTGACGACAGTTGTACCAACACCTCTCATGATGAGGACCTATCCTCATCGATGAACTCTCGTACTGGTACTATCAATAGTGCGAGTGCCTCTCCTTATGCTACTGGCTTTGGACAGGGAGATTACTTGATGAAGTCATCTTCACCGTCAGGAGAAGAAAGTTCAGAAAGTACTAGAGCGTGCCACGGAAGTCCAGCCAGCAGCAACGGAGATGGTCAGATCTTTACGATGACAATCGTTGAACATGAGGAACAAGATCTCCGCTCACAATCACAAGCAATACAACAAGTTGAAGCTGCTCGTACACGTAGAATAGCAGATCAGCTTCAACAAGAACCAGCTTATCACCGTGACGCTGCGGGAAAGGCACCTGCTTTCGACCCTGCCACACGAACGACCAAAAGTGCAACACCTACAATGCAAGTGGAGCAGCGAGTACCTCCAGCACGCGGCGCAACGACCTTTCGATCGAGGACAGCAACAGATCATGGCGCCGTGGTCTCCAATCATGACCCAAGAAGAAATAGCACTATCATGTTAGAAAATGCTGTGGAACCAGCTCTCGTGGAGAACCGGTTGCATGGTTTGGGGCGAACGTTGCGGCGTATGCATTCGGCGTTTATGCATGATGATTGCGATGCGTTTGTCATTCCCCGACTCAAAGAGATGTCAGCCTGCGAGCGACAGTTGCAACGTGCTGAGCGGCGATTTCATCAAGCATTGGGTTCTTCCACTGGGGCTGCTAGGCAACCGATATTTGTTGCCTAGGGTGCTTCCGTATTCTTGGTTGCACTTAAGTAACGTCTAGTAGAGTTAGAGAGTCTAAATTTACTTGATCATCCACAAACTAAATCATTCTTGTAGTTATAGACGAAAATAGTACCGTGAAGATGAACACGAACAAGACGGAGTAGATAGAACATGTTGTTGAGAACAATTCATTTTGACGTGTAGTATACAACGTATGGTAAAAATGTGTACAATAGAAATGAAACCAACCCGAAACCGAATAGTTACGCATAATACGCGTAGCAAGAGATACGAGTAGCCTCCCTCATTAGTCAGACCCGCAAACGTATCGTTTCTTTCCTCATAAGTTCCTAGTATTTGTAGAAAAACGGTAACGGATATGATTCGTGGATACTTCTGACTTTCCCCGCACCTTTTCAGTGATTGTGATACATTACCCGCCATAAATCTGAGCGCTCAAGACCTTCAGGGTAAGCTCATTCTGCAATGCAGCTTTCCCTCTGGAAGGAGTATGGGCCTTGATGGTTTTCGAACTGAACTTCATCTTCGGTCGAACTTTCGGCGGCATCTTGTTTCTGCATTGTCACTAGTTTTACTTATGAGATTCAGTCTGTCGTAGTCGTCACGCGTCGTTTCTGCGTATCTGAAGAGAGTTTGCTGAGAGAACGACAAAGAGAAAGTTCAGTCAGAATCATAAATTTGTCCCGCTGTTGTCGTGTCCTCGTCATTCTCATCGTTTCTGACTCTGGGAATTCAACCTGTTAGTTCGGTCGCATTGGAGGGGTGTGCGTTTAGTCTGTCGAGGTGTTGAGACCACGCATTAGTACTGCCAAATAACCGACGTCTGCCCAGCATCCCCCAAATATCTGCCCAACTCTTACGCTGCGAATGTTGAAACACAAACAGCCATGCTAGGAGTTCTGGTCCTCGGCTTCGGCAGTTGACTATTGAAGGTATTCTTTTATGATGCCGATCCCGATGCGAAGTTACTAACTGCTAGACTTTTTTACATTTTTTTTGGATTTTTGAAATTTGAAGTGGACAAGCAGATCTAGTACATGCGCGCGCATATTGAAGATCATACGCAAGACGTATGATTAACTATCCACGTCGATCGATGCATGAGGCAGCAACGACGCAAATGCGATGAGTACGATGCTTCTCTTGACCAGGTAGAAGTGATTTAGATTCTGGCTCCATCTTTGTTCCACTTGTGGAATAGAGCTCGTCATCATGAACAAGCCTCGCACCGCTAGTAGCGGCTCCGCTGCAGGTGGTCCGAACGCGGCCTCCAACAACACCGACTTCAACGGAAGTCGCATCAGCCGTCTCAGCGCACATCTGCACAATCTGCCTAACGCACTAAGGCTCAGTCCTGGCAAATCAGGCGCTTCCCCTGGAGGTGCCGAACCCCACCAAATGCACCAAGTAAAGCAGCACCGCTATCGACAGCTTATTGAGCAGCATGTGATGTCGGAAGGCGGGATGATGATAGGAGGATCGTCACCTGGTGAGCATGCTGTACCGTCACCACATCATGGAGGGGGCCACTTGGCAGGAGGAAGTAAAAGCCCAGCGAGTTTAGCGGGGATGCGAAGTAAACACCTGGTCAATGGAGGGAGTTTATGGAATTGTGAATGAAGCCTCATAAACATATTTTATTAACATTGTAGTATGTTGTAGTGCAAGTGCAACAAAAGGTGAATCTGAATTTGAATTACTACATAATTCTTGAAGAACTTCTTGATTAACTTCGTGTTTCCCCCGTTCATATTCTTTACAAAGCGGCACTGGAGCAGGTGAGCACTTGGGAGGGAATGCACCAGGAGGTTGCGATTTGGTCTATGTCAATAGACTGGGAGGATCGTACCATCAACACCAACAACAGCTTCTCCAAAAGCAGCATCCACTTTCACCGAATGCTGGTAGTAACATGGTCAAAGGTTCGCAACTGAGTACTGCTGCCACTCTCCTAGCAGGCAATCATTCAAGGGGCACAAAGAAAGAACCACCCTTCCGTCAAGGGGGTCATCTGATGCTAGTAAACAACAATGGCACTCCCAGTCGTGTGAACTACAGCACTTCTGGTTCTGGCGGAGATGGAGCAAGTACTTCAGCAAATACCGCACGAGCGAGTGGCCCATCTCCCACATTTAGTCAGAATAGTAGGGGTAGTGCTCCGGCTCGTTCCGATCTAGGTGGTTCAACTTCGGCAGGACCTGGACCTACTGGAGGTGGAACGGGTTCTGGTGGCATAAGTGTCAGCACTAAGCATGTTTTGACAGCAGTGTCACCGGGAGAACAAATATCACCCAAAAATCATAGTCCTAGTTTCGGCACCACCCGATCTCCAAGGTCTGGATCTCGTAGAACCCCTCCAGTTGGCCATCTATTATCGAGTTTGCGTAGCCCGCTTACCCCGACCCTCGAAGTAGAACCTGTAACCCCAGCATCCTCAGGACATCAAACGGGCTCATCGTGGGGTGCCGCACCAAATGGAGAGACCACGCAGACTGGCGGAGATTACAATAACGTTGCAGCACAAGATCCACAAGTACTAGGCGGAGCACAAGTACTACAGCAACCATCTTCAACTCTGAACCGTCAGCCAGGCACTGCTCAACTACCGGTTTTGACAAATAATCTTTTTTACAATGACGAGCAAGGAGCAGGAGCAATAGGAGGCACGAATCATGAGCAGCACATGGTGATTACGAAAGAGAGCGTTGTCGCAAGTAGTGGTCCTGGAGTTGCCTCTTCAGCGAATGAAGTTCTACTAGTTCCTCCTTCTGCCGACGATGACCTAGAGGTCGTTTCGGCTGCTAGCTCTCCTGTGCGTCCGATCGGAAGCTTATTAGGTGGTGCCAACTCTATGAGCCCGAGTCCTAAGGTCATGTCCTGTGCAGCAGGATCAACTCCGGCAAAAGGCTCAGCTATCGGCTTGCAACCACAGTTGCTAGTGGGAGATCATATGAACTCACTGCTGAACAAAAGTGGTAGCGGTTCTGGGGAAGCGGAGTCAGCGATGCAAAGGATACTGGAGAAGCATTTACCAAGTCTAAATCCAAATGCAGCTAGCAGTGATAGTCCTCCACCAGCACTGCCACAAGATGACACAAAAACAAGAACTAGAGACGACCAGCAAGCAGAAGATCCTCAAGTTCTACCATCAGAGCAGCAGTCTCTGAAGATGCGGCACGAGAAGGCAGTTCTGAAGAGTTCACATAGCTCAAGTGTCAGTTTAAGCTTGCAGAAGAACAATGCCTTGTTGTCGGCAGCAGTATCAAAACTCCTGTCAGGTGATGACCGCTTCACCACGAACGGCAGTCGACTTGCTACGTCGGAGGAAGAAGATCATCAAAACAAGGAGCACGATTTTGAAGGGGGTCGTACTAAAAACAAGGAGCTGCACGACACCAGAGACAGGAGAGTACTAGAAGTAGAAGACGGACACGTCGGCGTGGTCACTCTAGATCCTGATCTACCACTGGTGAAGACCATCTCCACGACGTCAAACAAAGAAGATACTATTGAGAGGACGACGTCAGGTTCTTCAGGCACAATTACAACAGGACTGGAAAGCTCATCATCGACGAGTGCAGCATCTTCATCCTCAGTGGCAAACACGCCGGGAGGAGGTCAAGCTGTCGCTATGGACAGTGCATTATTGCAGCAACAGGGCCTTGAGAATGGGGCTCGCGTAATTCTTGATCCAACTATCAGAGCCTTGCATCTTGGCGGCGCCAATATCGATCATTTACGATCCAATCTCCCTGTTGGCGGCAGTCGACCGGGTGCCAGACCAGCTGTCGACTATCGCGACGTCGACTACTACGACACTGCACATGAAATAGATGCGGCAAGTGAAGAGTTTGGAGGTGACCCAGCATCCGCCTCGTCTCGTCCGAGTAGCAGTGCGAGTTTGGTGCTGTTGAATGTGAATAACAGTCGGGGAGGACAGATGATGGGTGGAGTGCCATCACCGCACAGAGGAAGTAGAGGAGCGCCGCTTTTGAATGGCATGATTTCTTCAGCTGCCATGGCCGCTGTAAAAAACGGTAGTGCAGCTTTGAAGCATCAACGAAGCAGTTGCACTTCTTCCAGCTCCGTTGGCCTGGTGCGTGGGACCGACTATCTAGCGAATGTTGGTTCTACTGCTGTAGCAAGTCCTTCCGGAGGCCAGCAGCCATCGGGTACGTCACCACCACCTCAACAGGAACAAGCGCCTTTGGTGACGACGATGTCGTCTGCTGGCGGAGCTAATGCTCCGGGAGGCGCACTACCAAGTCCTAGCGCAGCAGGTCCTGCTGCAGCCGCGAACCAACAGGGAACACGTGTCTCGTCCGCTGCCTCACCGAAAAACCGGATGCCAATCAGATCATCCCTAGTCGGTGCCCGCGGACCCCAAGCCGTCATACGAGATCTAGAACATACAGGGTTGATTTCTAAACGGGCTATGTCAAGACCAGGTAGCGCGTCGAAGTCACGAGGGGCAGGCTCCTTTTCTGGCGATCCTAGTGGTGCGGGTCCTCCACCGGGTTCTGCAGCCGGCTCAACCCCGGGTCCGACTAGACGGAAGAGTTTGCGCGAGTCTTTTTTGAACGTGCCACCTAGTCGAGCAGGCGGTGCACGCAGTGGTAACCCCGATTACACATACGTATTCAACAAGGGAAGGCCAACAGCCGACGAAGACCAAGCGTTTAGGCCTTCACTAGCGCGTCTTGGAATCTGCTCGCCAGAGTATCGCGACAGCCCTAGAGCAGACGCTGCGAACGCTGCGAAGAGTCAGAGCCACGAAGATTCTGCCTCTTCTTCCACCTCAAAAAATGCAAAGAAGCGAAGGCTGTTACTTAGGAAAGCAGCTGTTTTGCAAGAAAAGGCACGGCGCGATCTGCTGCGGTCTATGTCGAAGTTGAGGTGGTTTCGCGGCGTGATCGGTTCTCATAGCGCTGCTCTCGGTCTGACTCCCTCTACTACTAAAGTTAAGGGTAAGTACAAGAAATCTCCCATCTATTTCAGAGTCATCTTCTTGGTCCCGTGTTTAAAGGGACAAGGAGACCCAAGAAGATGCTGCTGAAGATGGATTTCCATTTTTAGTTCTAATAAAGGAGGCGAAGACCACGCAGAAGGTGGAGGCGATCACCAAGAGGGTGACGGAGATCATGTAGGAGCAGTGGGCGATGATGCGAGCTTGATGACTACTGGACAATCGTCTTCTGCAACTGGAACAGGTAGCTCAAGTACAAGTAGCCCCTTGAGACGTAACTCATCTACAACTAGTACAACTGCATCGTCTGCCGACATTCGTGGTTTGCTCCTGCCTGGCCACATAACCGAAGTAGAGAAGATAGTCTTCGACGAATCACGAAGATACGAGTTCACTCCACGTGGGCCTGCGGCAAAGGCCAAGATCCTGGCGCAGATGCGCGCTGCGAGTCGGGTTATTAGCGATGCAGAGAGTGTTGATATAGTGGAGGGACCGCAACAGTTGCAGCAATCTACTTCACCAGGGAAGAGCACCTCCTCGTCTTCTACAGCATCGAATCCACCCATCCGTGGTTCTCTCGCCAGCACGTTGGACGCTCTGAATGCTGCAAGCGCAGCTATGATCCAGCTCCAGCCTCAGGATGAGGTGTTGTCAGCCGCTTCAGGGGAGCAAGTCGATGTCATGCACGGTGCAATCCAAAAGATACCTTCTATTAGTACTAGCGGAGGATCTTCTAATCACTCCAATTCCAAGATCCTAGATGAGACCACGCCAGCGCCAATCCAAATCAAGCCGCCTAAAACTAAGAAATCCAGGATAGCAGGAAATCGGCACCCTCAATCAGAAAGCATCAGTCTGATCCAATCGGCGTTTCCGCAGATATTCGGACCCAGTTTGTACTTCGAATACGCAGTAGGGATTGGTGCCCCACGCGTACCAGATCCTACGGCGGAGCCAGCGCCGACTGAACAAATCGGCGGGTCTTCATCCTCGACTGCGACCACACCTTCCAATGTAGCTGTAGCGCACCAGACTACTTCAGACACTACTGGAACAGAAGATGGTCCAAAATCACCACATCCGGCAGCTATGGCCGCTTTTGCCCCATCTAGTTTTGCTGCGGCTGCAAGAGCATTTTCGAATGCCGATGGTGGCAATGCGCCCGCCTCTTCATCTGAATCAGGAGAATCAGCGATACCTGCTCCATCTTGTTCCTCAGACACTGCTGCGCAACGACCACTACAACCCCTGCAGGATGAAAAAGACGTCGAAAAAGAGCAAGAGATCCAACTACTGAGACATAGTAGAGTATTCAAATATCTCAAAAAAGATGCGGTTCCCGATATGTACTGGATGCACACTGCCAAAGTCCACGTGTACAACTCCGTTTTGAACAGCTTGAAGAAAGGAGGTCTCCAATACGTAGAAACGAAGAAGGACAGCATCAATCCGCGATTTTGTCTGATCTGGAGTGCACACTTCAAGCCGGAGAAACTCAAGTATTTTTTGCGAATTTTGTATTTGTTGCTTCTTACTGTGATCATGTGCGCTGAGCTCTATTCAGGACGCATGGTTCATTCATCATTGATGAAACTTCAAAGTAAAAAGAGGCACCTACAGCATCTTGTTTACTACACGATTATATATAAGTTTTTCTGGTCCCAAAAGAACCTTGCGGATCCTCATCAGGACCTTCCACGGCAACCAGAAGACCAATCACTTTCCGTATTCTTGGTATCTCGGAAGAAAAGACTTGATGTGCCGAAATATCATGCGCATGCGACGACAGTGGCCTCAGGAATTCAATATTACACCAGAAACTTTCATCCTGCCAGAAGACGGAAAGAAGTTCATCGAAGGCGTCAAAGGAGGATCGACCCGTGGACCGACCAGAGACTTGTGGATTTCAAAGCCAGTCAGCAGTAGTTGCGGGAAAGGGGTGAAGATTGTGGGAGCACATTCGACGGGGTACACCTAGTCCTAGAGCTAATGACTTTCTCTATTCGTGGTGAATCGGGTGTGTGGTCCACCATAATCTTCTAGGTTTCAATTTTGATTTCCCCGTAGAACGAAGTAGAACGAGTCCTCCAAGATTTCCATTTATTCCCCCCTCGCTCTCACCACCAGGTTAGAGCGTATGGCGAAGCAGTACCGTGTTGTGCAGCGATACGTGAACCCGCCTCTTCTGATCAAAGGATACAAATTCGATTTGCGTTTGTACGTGGTCGTGACCTCCTATGACCCGCTTAAGGTGTACCTTTTCAAGGAAGGCTTAGTCCGCTTCGCAACCGAGAAATACACGACAGAGCGAAGGTCAGACCTAAGGTGTCGGAAGGTGCATTTGACGAACTACAGTGTTAACAAAAAGTCCGAGAAATACCGGAAGAATATGGACGGGAATGGTTCGGTGAACAGCACGCCAGTTGCGACGGGAAAACAAGCAGGCAGTGTCGATCAAGAGAAGTCTGCGCAGAGTAGTGCGAAGAAAGTTGTTGCAGTGGCTGGTAATATTAGTGTAACTTTACTTATGTTGATTGAGGCCGTCCTGGATCTCGAACTGATCTGAAACCTCCTGAAATTTCTAGAAGAAAAGTTTCAAGATATTCTAAATCTAACTTGCAGCTTCGTTATTAACATCCCTTTTTCCACCGTTGCTGTCGTGTGGTCGCATCATTATCATAGTGGCGTTGACAAATACATCACGTCCTTGTTCTCCACAGCCACCTCGACGCCTCCTCCGCTCCACAGTCGGGGCACTCCCTCACCTAGTGGCAAAGGAAGTTCCAGCAAGGCAGCTGCAAAGTTGGTGGAAGAGGAAGAAGAGGAGGAGGAAGAGGAGGATTTCTCCAAGCCCCCAATGGGCGACGAAGAGTTTATGAATGACGATGAAAACGGTGCTGAGGACGACGACGATGACAGTGGAGACGAGGATGACGCTGATGTTGAGGGTGAAGAAGTCGAAAGCAAGTGGAGTTTGAGCCAATTGGAGGAGTATTTTCACGCCCAAAGCTTGGATTACGACAAGTGTTTTGCGGAGATCAAGGCTTTGGTAGTGAAGACGTGCATCTCGGTGGAGCCGACGATTGTGAGCACTTTGCACAGGAGCACCAACTTCGAAAACTGCGAGAATTTGGAGGACACGAAGACGTGCTTCGAAATCTACGGTTTTGACGTACTGATCGACGCGAATCTGAAACCATGGCTGCTGGAAGTGAATGTGTCGCCAAGTTTGAGCAGTTCGAGTCCGCTAGATCGGAGGATAAAATCGATGCTGTTGGCAGATACGCTGACGCTTGTTGGTATCTATTATTTGTATTTATTTCATCGGATTTCTGATCCTCCTGATGATGTTGCTTTTCTTCATACGTTTACCTTGATCTCATCTTCAACGTCTCATCTTCAACGTCTCCCCAGGTTGGAAACCCTTCGATGCAGCGGACATTACGAAGGATAAGAAGACAGCTGCCAAACAACGAAACGCCAAGCTTTCAAGTACAGCCAAAGGACCAAATAACAAGCACAAGAGACTTGGTTCTGGATTCTCAAATCTCATTCTCGGTTCATTGGAGGACAAGAAGGATCACGCGAAAGAGTTGTACTTGTGTTTGTGTATGAAGATATGTTGCCAAGAACTATGATGTAGATGTTGTAGATCATGTTGTAATTGCAGGTGTTCGGGATTGTTTCATCTCATGTGGAATCTTTTTGACTATCTAAGGCTTACTAACTCCAGCATGGACCACGTCGATGAGCTTTAGAAGAACTATGATTAAATCAACTTAAGTTACTAGAAGTAGAAGAGTTATTTTGTTGGATAAAGACGTCTGCGGAAACAGGACAAAGACGGCATGTGAAACTTTGAACTAACTCCAGCATCCGACAGTTCGGGGAATTAGAGTGGCGTTTGATCCTGGACCACGTCGACGAGCTTTACCGCCGTGGCGACTTGGAAACCTTGTTCCCGCGCAACAAAGAAGCCGTTCTCCAGCTTTCCGATTACCTGCCAACCCCACGCATTTCCAATCGGATATTAGCGATTTTCTACATCTGTGGTGGAGAACGCATTTTGCGATCCAGAACGCTGCAGGAGCAATTGGGGCTCACCTACTTGCTGCAAAAAGAGATTCTCTTGACGGCGGCGAAGGTGTGATCATGTACGACCAGTAGAGCATGTGAAACTTAGTATTAAAAGTCCACACTTAATAGTCTTAATAGAGAAAAGGTGGATGAAAACACAAGCACGACGCTTGTCCTTGTTAGGCATGATTTTTTAGTCTTAATTCACATTGAACAGTTTATTTCGACTAGACGACTTACAGACGAACAGAATCAAGAAAAAGGTCGGAATGATGGTTTTGAACAGGCAGTATTAGTATTTCAACAAAGTAGAGATAGTGATAGAGTCGTAGAACTCATCAATTTTTTTTTCCGAAAATCAACTCAAAAATCAACGCATTATATTACTACAAAAGTTTTTATAGTCAGTGTAGGCACACAACAGCCAGAAGAGGCACAACACACAAGCTCAAGCAAGCACCAGGGAAGGACGAAAGACAGCACGAGAAAGTGGCAAAGTAAGTTTTCCTCATTGCGAGTACTGCTGCTTGTGATGAATTCCGGTTTGGAAGATTTGGCATGAATGACGAAATTCGGCACAACTTTCATTATGAATGTTTATGTGATAGTGATTCAATCGATTTATGTTTATCAATCTCAATGATGAAGCCATATTCCTGTATTTAGCTTATGTTAACTAGACACGTCTACTTTCTTTGGTATCCTCGGTCACCTTCTTATCAATGTATTAAAGCAATAAAGGTGAAACGACAACCATGAATCATGAAACAACCGCTCGCTCTCACACACATACTATTCGCATATCATGCAAGAAAAAAACACGAGCAATGCATCTGATACTGATCAATCACAACCATGTTGTAAGTTGTTCTTTGGTGCAAAAATGCTAATGCATCTAGATATGCTTCATAGTCTCTCCCCCACTACGTAATACCTGTCGTTGGAAACATTTACAACTGATAATTTTCGAGGAGAAAACCGAATTCCTGCTAATCGGGCATGTAATATTCACCTGACCCTTGTCTTTGAGGAATTGTTGAACAAAAACACCGAAGCCAAAGCAAACGAGCAGTTCTTGCAGGCAACGGAACAGTCTCACTCAGAAGGTCGTTTGGTGTTCCTCGTGATGCAGGCCTATTTCGATTTTCGAGATCGAACCTTGTCTCAGACAAACCACCACTGTCGCTTGGAGGGACCGAGTATTGCATAGGGCGAAAGGGAGAACGATCTCGGTGCCGCTTGGACACACATCACGACATCATATTCCATTTTCGTTCGCGATGAAGAGTGTCCTCGATGTTTTCGAGCTTCGCAAACTCGCTCGTCATGCGGAGCGCATGCTTGGATGCTGATTGTGATCCGTCCCATAGCATGTCATATGAGCATTATAGTATAATATTTACTTGTCTTTGCAATTGTTCTCTAGTGTAGACATCACGATAAATAAGGCATAGTTGTTAGACATCACGACTGTGATGAAATTATAGAGGTATCTCAACCCATCAATCCCCTACCGCGATGAACGCTCCAGCAGGCACATCCGCGCCCAGTGCGGCCACCGGCACGCAGACTATCGCTCCGAATATGTCACTGTGTTTTCCGCCAGGTGCAGACTTCCCCAAGGACGCCTTTCCCGAGTTGTATCCGCTATCGGATCATCGATATGACATTCAAAATCCGACAAATCGGAGTAGTGGGAGACATCAGACAAGGAAAAACCTCTTCAGCCGACCAATTGACCCTTCGAGTATCAAGGGTGTCGTAGCAGAGAGCGTGAAGGAACAAAGGTACAACTTACACGTTTGATGTTTTAGCATCTGTATAACGAGTAACAGGAATCCGTTTCACTTCATTTCAAGCTCCTTCATCTTGACCCTAAGAATCGCCACGACCACTTTCTCAAGTTAACTCCACGTTTTAACGCCACGATGATAGGCCCGCTGGAGTGACGACTGCGAAGTTCAACGATGTGAATATGGCGAACCTTGTCGGTTACAAGGACCAATACTACAAACTCGAAGCGCTTGAGAATCCGACACGAGCGAAGAAGCACAATATTGTCAACAACGTACTAATAGCCTCATTATTCGTGTCTATCTCTATTCGTACGAGACTCGTTAGTTTCGAGTAGGTGGTGCACGTGCAATATTGTGGTTGTGCTCGACCTCCCTATCGTCAGAACAACCTCGTGGTGCCCTGAACACACAAACAGGTGATGGCAAATCCCGAACCATTGCGACCTGCTGTGGAGGTTCCGAAGAACAATGACCCACAGTCGTCGACCTTCGGTAAGGTCATGAACACTAAAGCAGGGGAATTTCGACTTGGGTACTGAGCAGAAGGGTTCGTAGGACTTTGACGACAAGGACCAGGGACATAAGAATGACACCAATTATGGGCCAGCTGCCATTTTGCCTCGTCTACGGTGTCGGTGGTCGCGAATGACCGTAACAGGGGCTGTTGGTGTCTGACTCGGTTCCATGTAGCAGACTTGTCTGCTTGGTGTGCCGTTCTTTGTGGCTTTCGTCGACGACGCCCGGCGACGGGGAGATGGAGTCACGTCCATGCCATGAAATGGAAAAGACATCGCGTTGTACTCAGTTTGATGTTACCACATACTGGCATTAGACTTGACGAGCTGTACACCTATACATAGTGTACTGTGTTACATTTATTTGGATCTAAGTAGATGAAGAATCGGATTTCTTGATTGAAGACAACTGTCATATTCAGGACGCTTACTCCTACATTGGCAACAAACAGTCCGTGACATCAAGTAGCATAAAAAGATTTGCATGAACAGCAACATCAGGGTTCTTCTGCAGGTAAACAAAGCTGTATTACAGAAGACGAGCAAAACGTTCGCGGCGGCCCTGTCACGCGATATCTCTCGAAGCGCAAGTGTTCTTTTATCGCACTTGGTATTTTCTCCTGTAGTTCCAGCAGGAAAGGGATCTTAAAGTCACGTGTCACGATCACTGCAAGATGATCAGTTCCTGAGATCAATCTTAAAAATCGTGTCACGATCACTGCAAGATGATCAGTTCCTCAAGTTCTGGTAGGAACTGGACACCGCTCGTCCTCATCCAAGAATGGTTCTCGTAAGTTGATCAGCAGAAACGAGCCACGCAGTAGTTTTCCTCCATCGCTATAATTTCCTTTTGAAGATTCACGCGACTCAATCTTCGAATCCGAATGTAGGAATAGATACGAGCGGTGGTCTGCGCTGCACGACGAGAGAGAGAGGGTAGAGAAGGAAGACGAAGAGTAGAGAAGGTAGAGTAGAGAAGGTAGATTTAATGGTACTAGGTAGACCCGTAGAGGACTCATAGTTGTCGGAGTTGATCATAGGGACATTCGTTTTAGTACTAGGTAGACCCCCCGTAGAGGACTCATAGTTGTCGGAGTATGAAGTTTTGTAATTCAATTTCAGAAATACGATCCTAAAAGACAGAAGGGCTTGTCCTTTGCCTTTCAAACCACGAGAACCCGCTCGAAGATCCTCCTTGATATTTATTAGAGTCTCTTAACATCAAGGGCTTCTTGTTCGATGAAGATGTTGAACTTAGAAGAGGGTCAAAGTCGGCAAGTAGATTCTCCAAGCAGGAGAGGACGAACCCCTCAAATGGAGATGGTTTCCTGGTCTCGCGACCACAGGTATGACATTAGGGACTACGGTGACGCGAGTGGGAATGATGCGGACGTGGAGCATGAGCGGCCGTATTATGAGCTGCAAGACATTGATCGTGCTGAAGAAGGAGGAGTGAACTCGTCCTCAAGGAGAAATTATCACGCCTTCGAGCTTGAAGATGATCGGCCTATCGGGTCAGCCTCGCGGAGTGCATCGTCGTCCGCCGGGATGTCATACAAGGAACGAGTGTCGCAATGGCGCGTAAAAGCTAAGAGTGGACTTGGAAACGTTTTCGCAAAAACGTCTAGCTTGTTTCGAAAAGCACTTGTTAGAGGTGGTTCTGGACTACAACAGGCTAAAGAGAACGGTGTTCAAGGTGCTGGCGAGGGAGACGGCATAGAAATGCTGATGAAGGAGCCTTCTAGAGGACTTACTGGAGAAGGAGATAAACAAAATTTTCAGCAGCTTTATCATGGAAGGCTTGTTGCGGCATCATCGGGCTTTGGTTGTAGTGGTGCAAACGCTCACGCTCGAGTACCTGCTTCTAGGCCCCCTACATTATTGGCGGTGCCTGGACCAGGAGGATCACCAGGAAGCGTGAAGCAGATACCACTGACTCCACCACCCCGGTCTCCACGTCCAGTCTACGCGGCTGATCGTGACCACTCTTCCAAGAAGAAGAGACGTCCAAGGGGCTGTTGTCGACTTTGTTTGGACCGGATCTCGCCAGCAGATGTGCTCTTCGCCATTTTTCTCCTACTTGCCGCAGCTCAGGTGTCTTTCTTGTTCCTATTTCTAGTACAGTACGACTCGTTTGAAGAGACGGACTATTGGGCACAACTCTGGCTCGTCTTGTTTCAGGCATTAGCAGTCTTACACATCATTTCTGCCGGACTGATATCCTTTTGCAAGTGGGCTGCCGATAGCTGCTTGGGACGAGTGGAGCTGATTCGGGATCAGCATTCTAGAGACTTCGGTCACGGTACTATCGCTAGGATTGGTAGCCACCACCACGAGCAGGAGCACCAAAACTGCATGTTGGAACAAGATGCTAGAAGTTACAAGAACTCCAGACCGCATGGAAGAGGAGGCGGTTCCGAGAAGCGTATCAGTGCTTCTGGTGGGGTCATTGAGGGAGAAGCTAACGCAGCTTCGGGACCATCAAATCTGGTCCAGAAGCAGATGGAAAACCAAAACGGAAAAAAGATCAAGAACAGTAAATCTTCGAAAACTACTGGTGGTTCTTCGTCGAAGAAGCGTCGAAAAAGCCGAAGTCGACAAGCAGGAGGAACAGCTAGTGCGACTACCCATCCCAAGGTACAAGTAGCAGGTGCACAAGCAGATCATGGATCCTCATTACAGGAACTCGGAGACTTGGAGTTGGATCAAGTCCAGGATGTACTGGACGAGAACTCTGTTGCCGAAGCTGCAATATCGACGAGCCCTGTTGATGCAGAACAAGTTGATGTTTCATCAGTTTCTCCTGATGAAGAACGACTGCTGCCGGCACCGTCAGAGGCCGAAGTTGCTGGACGACTGCTGCCACCACCGTCAGAGACCGAAGTTGCCGGAAGCGTTCGTGAGGATGACGAGGAGCCTGCTGTGCATTCCTCGGAAACCAGTACTAATGAAGTATCTGGCGCAGCAAAACAAGCGAGGACGAGGACACAAATAACATGTGAAACTCACACGGAGGACGCAGGAGCAGTAGAACAATCGATCCTAGCTCCGCTGAACGAATCTCCTCTTGCTCGCTTGCCAGACAGCTACACTAGAATCCGGGCTACCTCCATTGATGGCGGAGCCGAGCGCGGACGATCTCGCGCTCTCTATTCCTTTTCATCTCTTGCTTCACTGGCTACTATCAACACGACAGGCGGAGGTAGGTCGTGCAGGCGATCATCTTTAAGGCTACAGAAATAAATCTCCCCTTTTATTTCAGAAGCATCTCGGTCCCCTCGGTCCCGTTTTTAAAAAGGGACGAAAAGGGGGCCCAAGATGCTGCGGGAGATGGGTTTCTGTTAGTTTTACTAACATCTACAGGAGATGACGACGCTACAAGAGATCACAGGCAAGAGTGTTAAGGGTAGTGGTCCAAAGGTGTTCCTGTTACTGTTTGTTTTGCCGCTCCTAAGGGAGGGAGGCAGAACAAATGAGAAACGGAAACACCAAAACCCTACCTCTAAGAGTGGGTCAAGAATTTGGCAGGTGTCGCACGCTCACTGTCATCATCGCGTCTCTTACAATTGAGAAAGTCGAAAAACCATTTATTTGCTTCATCAGGGGCTTTTTCAACTTCATCGGCTGTGGTGGATGGTTTTGGTTCTCTGTCATTTCCTGACTTTGGCATGCTTCCTCGAGGTTGCATGGCATTAGCTGTATCGAATAACTCAGCGGACTCCTCGAACTTGGTAAACGTGAAACTCGACGACCTAGTGGAGGAGTATGACAACGACATTAACGCAACCGCCATCCGTCCTGCTTCTCATAAAATTCCACTGGAAGTGCCTCTTATTTTTGACGAGCAAGTCGACCTAGAGGAAGTGACACCTGACCACCCACCTGCATTTGCCTGGACATTGCCGCATAACCAGCGGGCTCAAACTCAAAGCTTGAGCCCTCGACGAGCACGTGGGCCTCCAAGGAGAATTCTGAGTTCGACTTGGATTTGCATGCCGTCTTTGCCCAGTCATGATCTAGATGTAGTAGTACATTCGAGTGCCCATGAGGCTGTGAAGAAGATATCAGGTGATGTTGATGTTGCAGTAGCACCAGGAGAAAGGAGGCCAGAAGGGGCCCTGCGACTAGAGATGGATGAAGGTGGTGGTAACAAAACGAAAACAGCTAGTTGTACAACACTAGTAAGAGGCAGAAGTAAGAGTATCAGAGGCACCGACACTGCACTTTCATACCCCCAGTCGGTGTCTACCGGCCTCGGCCCAGTCTCTTCTTCCTCGGCCTATTCAGCACTAGCTCAGCACGTCGCTTCGCCCCATGGGCATAAGCGGTTGAGTTCACGTGGCCGTCTAGTCTGGCCATCATCGAGCAGGGCCCAACTACCCGAATGGAGTCTGCGTCAGATTACGAACGTGAGCACTCTTGCTTCACTGGAAGGGGTTACGGAAGACTTCTTAACGGCTTCTATCAGGTCATCGCTTGACGATTCATCTCCGAAGGGTGGTGGTAGGAGCGGGACTGTTGATGGTGAAGACACTAAGCCAGATGCGAATATGATATTATCACTAGTGCCACCGTTGCCATCGTTCCGATCGTCTCGACGAAGACATGGCAAGGAAGAACAACGACTTGCAGGTGTCGCACGGCTTCTACCGAAAATCGAGGAAAAAGTGCGAGGCCGGTCTCCGAAGAAGAACTACTCTTCACCTCGTGGCCAGGAAGAGCAGAAGGAACATATACATAGTGATGTTAATAGTTTCCAAGTTCTTACTAATTCGACGCCAAGCTCAAGTTTCAGGACGTCCAGCTCAGGATCAGGAACAAGTTGTAGAAGGAAGAGTATCAAAGAATTGCTGACAAGAGCACCACTTTCAGAAACGACTACAAGATCCATCAAAACCAATAAAAGCAGTGTTAGCGATCACTTCATCTCTGCTTCTGTGTTGTACAAAGGGACTACGAGAAGTGTGTCTACTAGCAGTTCTTCGACAGGTACTACTAGTTCGGCTAAAAATAGTACCTGTCGAAGCGCCAGCAGTGCTTCGATTGAAAAGATCAGTCGTTCTTTGTCCTCATCTTGGGAACAAGACCATCCGCGTATCAAGTCGTCTAGAAGTTGCTCTACACCGCCTCTTCTACCTGGTGGCCTTTCTGCCAAGCGTGGTAGTCCGACAGATATGCCTCAAAGACATGGGCTTTTTGCCGAGCGTGGTAGTCCGACAGATGTGCCTGGAGGACCAAGAGCCTTTTCAACACTATCGTCTAGTAACATGTTGAACCAAGTCGTAGTCGTTGAGGATATACTTTGCCCGCGACCAGGTGGACGAGTCTTTCTGTCCTGCCCGAGGACGACTATCTTTACAAGGATTCAGCGGCCTCAAGTTGTGACGAAGAACTTTTACAAGAAGGGTGACGTTCCAATCCGAAGCGGTAGTACTAACATGGAAACGGAGCGGAACGAAGCAGCCACTGGCGAGACGGCCGCGGGTCAAAATAGCGATAGCATTCTTGTTGATGAAGCTCCGCCAGAACAGGGTTGTTATATCG